CACGTGACGTGACGTTATGACGCGACACTGTGACATCACGTGCCCCAACCACGTGATCATCGGACATATTGTACCTACGAAAGGGTTTAAAAAATCTCAAACAAATACCCAGCGCAGCTCATAACACGCTGCTCATTTTCTGTCTTGAGTATGCCCAAAGGATTAAGATGAATTTTAATTAATTATATTAAGATCATATTTAAATAACTCGTTCAAGAACGGCAAGTCAAAAATGTATTCTCAAGTGCACTTAAAATCACATCATTATTATAACTGCGTGGTTGAAGTCAGCGTAATAATTTTTTTATTCGTGTGCGTGGCGTTAGTGCTGCTTGATAAATATATATTTTTTACCTTGATTTGAGAAATTAGATGTAATATTGTATCTTCCTTACAGAGAAATGCTTTTACCTTCCGGAGAAACGTTCTTGCCCCACCGTAAAACTAATTCAAATTTCATTTATATTTTTTTTATTCAGGAACTCCAGGTTCAAACCCCGGGGTTTGGTAAATATGTGCTTGGAATTAATGATGCACATTTATCATGTAGTATACATGGTAAGATTAATTTATTTAATTTGTCATTATGCGCGAGAAACAGCTTTTTACTGCTCTAAACGGCCCTGAATTCATTTGGAGAGCCCTGCCTTTTGTTCTTTTAATGACGAGGGCACTTCGTAGAATTATCGGATCGCAAAGAAAATAGTACCATGATGTAGCTGGGGAACTGGAGCTTATATAACCGTAGAGAGCAACTCGCGATACGGAGTGGTTAGTTTGTAAATCAAGTTTGAACTTAAATATTTCTCTGTAAATCACAGTACCCCCATAAGGATAATGCATTTTTTTGCGATTGCCAGTTGGCTCTATTTATCATAGACATACAGTCCTTAAATTTAGCACAATGAACAAAAAGGGTATCTACTAAAAAAGGTCGCTGAGAGCAAAATAATGCGACGCTTAGAATTTCGTGAAATAAAAAATATATAGTTCGTCCCATTGAGTTACGGGCCGTCCCGCCACCGCTGCCGATAGATGGCGCAAGTAGTGTCGGCGCGCTCGTGTCTTCGAATCCTGGGTATGCGTCCAGTAGCGCCGGAAGAGGAAGGGGAAGGTAGGTCTTTTTTTCGTCCTTGGGCGATTCACAGAATACTACGCAAAACAGCTCCTCATCAGTGACAAGTGCAATTAAGTATATATACTTAATTGCACTTGACATTTGAGCACGGCTCGCCTAACTGTGGTTGGTCAACAGATTGCACACTGATTGATCGGTATCCAAACGTGCGAAGGCACAGAGACACAGCACTTCGGCGTGCCAAGGAAGCTTTGAACACGCCGCGAGACCGGCGAAACTTGCTTTCGACAGATTATACCTCTTTCCTGCGGCACTGCGCTTTCGCAAAGATTTTTACGTATTCTTAGCGGCAAGTATTACGGCTGACACAGGATCTTAAAGAACGTCTTTGGCAAATGACGACGAACGAGTAGAAAACGCGTCCTTAGCACGCTGCCGCCGGCCTCTGCAGCGCTAGCAGAACGATAACCTTTGATATGCAAGATGGTCATCCGGCGGCCGTACTATCAGGAACCCAAGGAGGATAGAAGGGAAACAGAAGGAAGGGAGAAGAACTGCCTCCAGGGGGGGAGGGGGGGGGGGGGGGGTTCCTCCGGATGGATGGATGGATGAATACGGCTGAGCCCTTTGGATCGGGCGGTAGCTTACGCCACCTAGCCATTTTGTTTTACCATTTAAGCTTAGAATATTTAAATGTGAAATCTATATTCACTCCGCAGTGCCAAGAAAGTGAGGCTATGAAACCCCCTTGCCATCAGTGATTAAGAAAATACCTAGTTTTCTCTCGATTTCTGCCACCATTCACTTAATCTTTGCTTGGTAATCTCTACAGTCTTGAAATCCACTCTCCCTTCGCTGTCTCTAAAACCCAATGACTTTATTAAATCTATGTTGTCTTCGGTAGGCATAGGGTGAAGCCCTTTACAGTAGAGTATCAAGTGCTCAGCCGTCTCGTCCTCCTCTCCACAAGCAGTGCACACTGTATCAATTTCCTGGTACTTCACTCTGTATGTTCTGGTTCGCAGAACACCCGTTCTTGCCTCAAACAGCAATGAGCTTCCCCTAGAATTGTCATAAATGCTTTCTTTGGCAATAACTCTTTTGTTTAATCTATAGCTTTCCAGAGCAGTCTTTGTCTGCATTCCCTCTAGCCACCGATCTCTTTCTGTGGCCTTAACTTTCTTCTTAACTGAGACTTGCTCTTCCGTATCTTCGCTATAGCCCAAAAACCTTCCTCTTAATTTCCTAGTGCGCTGTCTCCACTTTGTGTCTACACTCCTCATGTATAAATAGCTGAAAACCTTTCGTGCCCATTGCTCCCCATCCATTAGCCTCAACCTATCCTCAAATTCTACCTTGCTCACCGCTTCCCTGCTCTCAAATGATGCCCATCCCATGTCTCCTTGTACTCCCTGGTTTGGCGTTTTGCAATGCGCCCCCAAAGCCAGTCTACCTACTCCGCGCTGTTTTATTTCTAGTTTCGCATGCACTTCGGATTTCATGCATAGCACTGCGTTTCCAAAAGTCAAGCCAGGCACCATGACCCCTTTCCAAATCTCTCTCACCACCTCATACCTGTTGTAATTCCAAAGTGCTCTATTTTTCATTACAGCTGCATTTCTGTTGCCCTTACCTATTATATACTTTTCATGGTCTCTGAGATATTCTGCACCATCACATATCCATACTCCTAGATACTTGTATTTACTAGCTCTCTCAACTGTAATATTCTGTATCTTCAGCCTCTCAACTTCATCCTCGTTAAAAATCATGACTGCCGATTTTTCGCTACTGAATTCTAAACCTAATTCCTCTCCTTCCCTACCACAGATGCTCATTAATTCCTGCAACTCTGTCCTGTTGTTAGCCATTAGTACAATATCGTCCGCATACATCAATCCCGGTAAGGATTGCTGAATTTTTTGGCCTAGCTTACTGTAAGAAAGGTTGAACCCAAGCCCACTCTTCTCTAGTCTATCCTCCAATCCTCTCAGATACAACATAAACAGCAAAGGCGATAACGGGCACCCCTGCCTAAGGCCTCGTCTTATCTCTATTTTCCCTGTCGCCTTTCCTTCCCATGTTATAATCACCTTGTTATCTTTGTAAATGTTCCTTAATAGTGCTGTTAGTCCTTCATCTAGGTTTAAGTTCTCCATTATGTCCCACAGGTTTCTTTGGTTCACATTGTCATAGGCACCCTTGATATCCAGAAATGCCAGCCAGAGCTGTCTGTTTTCTTTTTGCGCTATTTCTATACACTGTGTTAGAGAAAATAAGTTGTCCTCCAACCTTCTTTGTTTTCGAAACCCGTTCTGTAACTCGCCCAGTATGCGGTTATCGACCGCAGCGCCACATGCGGCCGTCCGCTTTTTTTTGGCACAGCGAGTGATAACTAGGGGTGTCGCGAACTTTCGTCGAACCGTATTTTTAGGTCGACCTTTCGGGGTTCGACTGGTTCGAACCGGTGCGACGAACCTTCGAACTTTTCACCAGATTCGACTGGTTCGACTTTGTGGACAGTGTGGCCAGACGTTAATACAAGCATGTCTAAGTTTGGAGAATTTTTTTTATGCAAAGGGTTATTTTACTTTATGGACAGTTTCAATTAAAAGAAACCAAATCTAATCAATAAAGAAGTTGATAACATAATTTGTTTTGTACTGTATTAACTGAAATAACCAATCAGTGGTGCCCTTAATTCATACCTTAGCCATCACCATCTAATCCGAAGCCAACTGGCCAGCCTGTCGCGCATGCGCACACGAGTCGAACCTCAATACAAGGTTCGTCGAAATTTCCACTAAAAGTTCGAAAAAGTCGAACCTGGTCGACCTCGAACCTCGGCCGGTTCGCGACACCCCTAGTGATAACCATGTTGAATAAACCTGAGACTGGGGCAGAAATGAACATTTATGTCGAAGGAACAGAAAAGGACAGGACTACGTCTCACGGCCCACTGCTACGTCCACTACAGCACAACGGTGACTACAGCAGCACCGGATGGATGGATGGATGAATGAATACGGCTGAGCCCTTTGGATCGGGCGGTAGCTTACGCCACCTAGCCATTTTGTTTTCCCATTTAAGCTTAGAATATTTAAATGTGAAATCTATATTCACTCCGCCAAGGAGGTTAGAAGTTCTAGGAGGGGGCACGTTGCAATATTGGTGAAGCCTAGTCATAAAAAGTTTAAACGATTTTGTGCCCAGCGTGACCGCAGATCTCTCTGGCGATTGGTGCGCGTGACATGTCACGTGTGAGATGGATGGTTGATTGTAGAAGGTTTCCTTGCAGGCTTGCGCGCGCTCCGTCCGGTAGGTTTTATCAGATCGAGGGCTAGGCTGTGGTGTATTCTAGTACCCCATAACAAGACGAAGCTTAGCTACGGTCACGTGATGCGGTCACGCTGGCATGGTAAGTAAGGAGAGTAAGGAGGAAAATGAGAAAGAGGCGAGGTGTCAAGGGAGCATGGCTTGTGGAGGCTACGCGGCCGACGTCATGCCCTCTCCTACCCTTCTATTCTCCATGCACTCCGCAGTGCAAAGAAAGTGAGGCTATGAAACACCTTGCCATCAGTGAATAAGAGAATACCTAGTTTTCTCTCGATTTCTGCCACCATTCCCTTAATATTGCTTGGTAATCTCTACAGTCTTGAAATCTATCCTCCTTGCTTGAAATCCACTCTCCCTTCTCTGCCTCTAAAATCCAATGACTTTATTCAATCTATGTTGTCTTTGGTATCGGCCCGCCATCTGCACGACAACTTTCTAACTACATTAAAATCAAGCCGGTATTTTGCGAATATAACACAAATTAATATATATATAAATATATTTGAGTTATTTTAAAATTTATTCAGTACATAAATTTGCAGCTGAGTTTTTTTTCTCGTGACTTTTGGCATTTTTGGGCCAGTCTTCATTCATTATCAGGTTTCCAAGATGGCCGCTTCCTCCTAGCACTTGTCTCGTAGGCCGAAAGGGGTTGGGGCAGTTGGGGTTTTTGGGCTGTTTGACTTAACGCACTCGTGAATTTCTTCCGTACTCTAAGATGCGCGTATCCCGTAAGACATCTGTGTGCCTGTCGCTGCTGTGCCTCTGGTTGAACTTGGTCGGACAATGCTTAGCCCTGGAGCCAGTGTCGACGGCGTTCGCCGTGGCCACCGGCCTGGGAATATCCTTCATGTACGCCGGATGGAACATGCTCAAGTGTAAACACGCCGAGTGTTGTTCACCGCCCTGGGTCAAAGACAACGTCAAAGGTGAGGCTCGACGCATTCTCGCTTCGTGTGCTTTGCTTCGCTCAGCATCGGCACACTGAATGCCGATCGCCAGCGGCCCGTAGCTTTGAGTGGGCAGCTTCTTTCGCCACTTCGACTGCACTGCAACAGAGAGATGATTGCTGATTCGATTTCCCTAGAAATTTACCCCTCTTCTTCCTTCCAGGAGAGAATGTGGTATGCATTGGTACGGTACAAAACACTGAAGTCCATATTTGCGAGACTCGACGGAAATAACCGAAAATTCAAATGAGCGAGGTTAATGCCCTCTTTCCCTAATCCTAAGCTAAAAAAAATATAAAATAAATGTTTCTAAGAAACACTAAAAATTGCGCTTTCGCTGTTAGCAGCCGAAAACGACACGAAGCTCTGTGCGAGAAGAAAGTACGCTTTTTTAGACCTTTGTTTAAAAGTATCGCGACGGTGATTTTCTATCATATCAGTTTTCATTATTAACTTTATAATTTAGGCCGTCCGAAAGAAAGTCGGACCGCGCGTGTCTCACTGAAGAGCGTGCAAACCCACCACCCGCCTGCGTTCACGCCGCTGCTAATAACTGCCAATATCGTCAAATGTTTTACCGAACTTTTCTAAAGATTTGGCAAAAATACATTGTTACCAAGCTTAACGTTCATATTTAGATTTTTGTGGCGAAAAAGGGCTTATGTTTTTTTTTTCTAACCTAGATGCATGAATGCATATTGACACAGTTATTACTAAATAAGGTGATATTCTACAAGATAATTCTATCGGTGTTGTTTTTGTGTGTTTACTGGCAATTTTAGTGACTCCTCACAGAAGTGGCATTGCGTGACGAGGTTGGGTAGAAGCGAGCGCGGCGCAGTCGCGAATCAAGCTACGAGAGTTTCGGTTTTGAGGCATCATCTGCGCAAGCCTGCTGTGTGTCTACATTCTTAAAATGGAGGCATACATTGTTAAAATGGAGGCAATAACGCTGCGTTCTTGCTTTCTCTGGGAGTCACCGTTTTGTGCGCGAAAACGAATGCAACATTTGCTGAGCCTTCACCTGAAAAGATATTATTATGGTAAATATGCATGTTTTTCGAGTTGAGTGGCTTGACGTCAGCTTTGCATGAAAGTGTGCGGCCCATATTCGCAACGTCTTGTTTTTAACCTTTAAAATGCCAGTTTGTGGTGTTAGGACACACACGGACGTTTAGGAAGATGGGGAGAGTTCGGAATGGCCGAATGTGCAACGTCGAGCATTATAGTTCTGTGTTTAGTTTTATGCAGATACATGAAAATCGCGAAATAACACTAATTTAAAAGCAACATGATTTTGTTTTGGAACACGCTACTTCTGTGCCGAAAACAGAATTGTTATAATACCGAGGAATGCTTTATAGTAATTGTCAGCCAATGTTTCAACTACCTCGTTGTATCACTTGAAAGGTCAAATGAAAATCACTTTATCCAGAATGTACTGCATCATTTGTCACTTGCACAGTGCACTGCGTAAATCACTGGTTGATCTTCTGCTCTTGAGGCAGAAAATATTGAAGAGAACCACACTCGCTCACAAACGCACAGTTACCGTGTTGCCTACTCCACACCTCGCCGTAACCGTTGTTTGTACTACACTGCACGACTGCACGGCGTCCATTTGCAATCCATGGCCCCGTTGCGTTCTCGAGCATGCGCAGACATTTGCAGAATTTGTGCCGAATCTTTGCTAAACTTTCCTTCATAAGTTCGGCGCCAAACTTTGCCGAATCTGAAGTTCGGCACATTCAGTCCATCACTATTGAACGCTCTGCAAGAGTGCCATTGAAAAACACTCTATACACTATGTATAATTTAATGCTACTTTCTTTATTCTTTCCCAAGTGCAAGCTCCACTGTCATCCACGTCTTGCAACTCTACCTTCTGTGTACACTCAACCCATTATCACCCAAGCATTTTGCATCACTGCAGACCTCTTGGGAGTTGCGGCTATGAAGAGCCCAAATAATAATAATGATATTAATTATTATTAATATTATTATATAGCTTAAACAGAGTTCGGACACTGGAGAGTAAAAACTGGGCAAAAACCCAAGAATTTGTATGTTCCAAAATGCTGTGCACCTTGATGCTCGTGTTTACTAATGTTCAACTCAATGTTTACAAATGAACTTTCCTACAAAAATGTCTATTTACAAAGCTATCTGCACAACACATCTGTACGAGCCTGTTTTTTTAGTTTTCTTTATAGGAATGAAGTATTTGCACATGCCACATTTAACAGCTGGCACCACCACATTGATGTGATGTTAAAAACAGGGGATTGATGCGCTATGCCCCTCGGAAAGCCTGAAATCCTATAACAGTTCGAGAGGACAACTGCATCGCAACACCAAGACTGAAAATCTACGAGGGTGTAGAGCAGACAAGGGAAAGAAAGTGGGTTTTCTCTTTTCCCATTTTCTCTTCCATTGGCTGTCCTCTCTCTCGCTCTCTGCCCCTCCCTCCCTCCCTACCTCCCCCATCTAATGATCACTGTCTGGCCACTGGCTATGACTCCGACATTAGTATTTTCCTTTTTCGCTAGCCTTCTCTCTCTCTTTCCTTGTTAAATGCTGCATGAAGTGCCTCTGGCATGCTAGTTTATGAATCCAACTGGCACACTGCAACAATAGAAAATGTGACAGTACATTCCAACCTCTTTTTTAACAGCTTAACATACCCGTTGCTCCCCACTTGATTGTTGTGCCTCCCTGGAACGAATGCTGCTGGGCTGGCTCATATCACCGCGTCCCGTACACTGCCGTCGACTTGTAAGAATATCCCAGCAATGCAATGATCTCGTTCGTTTTCGAGTTCCTTCTGCAAGCTTTGTCTATCTTTGCGATATCTATGGGCTTCCCTCCAGAAATGTGAATGCGGAGGAGTTGAATGATCCCGTTGTCTCTGCCCGTCATGTGCACTTCCCAGGCTTGGAGAACACGCTGCGGGCGCGCTTGCACGGCCAGCCTCTGGTGCACCGCGCCATTGTGCGGGCGGTGAAGGACCACCTTCAGAACCCAGCCCCCAAGAAGGCGCTGGTTCTGTCGTTCCATGGCTGGACCGGCGGCGGCAAGAACTATGCCAGCTCCATGCTGGCCGAGGCCCTCTACGAGAAGGGCATGAACAGCAAGTATGTCAGCCTGTATGTCTCCACCAAGCACTTCCCGCACCAGGATGAGGTTCCCAAATACAGGGTGAGCGACTCCGCCCAGGCAGCTCCATTCGCTCGTCAACAGCAGGCTTCTTAATGCATTCGGTGATGCGAGCTACTTCGTAAAGCTGTTCTAATCTCTGGAAAGTTGTAAGCCTGCCAAAGGCATAGTATTTATAGGCAAGCTGAGTCACCGTTCTGTTCGATGGATACTTTGGGAACATAATTGCAACTACAACTACTTTTCTCCAGAAGCAGGTTATTGGAGTGCAAGAGTGATTAGCCCACCTTGATTTTCGGCATGATTTTCTATTATCCTAATGGCTTTAGTTAAATTGTTAGCCCACCCCGTATTTTTGCCTAATATGTTCACGGTTTTAGGTGGGCTATCTTTTGAGATATGATATTTAGATTTTGCATTACATTTAATTTTCACTTAGTTTATTTTACCTCAAAGGCATCTAGCGATGCATTACGGGACGTTGAAAGCGAGGAAGTTTGAGAAGTCTGGATATACATACATACAAAACAGAATTGTAACTAGTGATAGACATTTTGATATACATTCATATACATATTCAATAATAGTAACAAGAAAACTGTCAATTCTAGAAATATAGCGACATTAAATAATGCGACATGCAAAAAGATACTCTTTTCACAACTCGGTGCATCAACAAGTGCAACAAAGGCACGTATGCAGAATACAAGTCATAATGAGGAGGTAACAAACTAACGAGTTCGCTCACAACTGAACAGCATTTTTTTACATTCAAGGGTCTATTCTTCAGATTCTTGTTTGAGGATTCAGTATACAGCACCTTATATTCATTGCATTTCAGGCCCTCATTTCACCAAGTTTATTATCTAATCTCGGTAAATCGAAATTATATTTTTCTGTATGCTGTTAATGGAAGGTAGCGTCTGGTGTCAGGTTGATTTGGGGAGTATGAAGTGAGCAAGGAGCCAGGCATGAAAAGTAGTACCACGCAGATGTGGTTCATTACATTCCGGCAGTAGGGAGGTTCAAGTCCGATGGCCTTGCGCCCCATGGCTCGCACAGCCTTTGGCAAATTAAGTAATCTCCGCATCCCCTTTCCGGATCCGCTTTGAACGAAAACCAAAGGAGTGCCAGATAGACAAGGACAAAGTGAAAGAAATGGTCAAAACAACTGCTGCAATCTCATCCACCTCTTCTCCTTGTTAGCGTCTTGTTTTTTCGCTGATGACGTGAAATTTTTTCGTAGTATCCACACGTCTGTAGACTGAATTGTTACAAAAAGATGTTGATGCAACTCATCTGTGGTGCTGTGTGAACTCGCTTGTTTTAAACCCTCCCTAAACTAAGGTTGTCTTTTTTTCCTAAAAAACAAATGTTGTTGTTCGGCCTTACACATTAGACGGCTCTGAAACTTCTAGATCTTCTGTTGTTTGTGACCTTGGCATTCCGGTGGACTTGTGTCTGAACTTTAACTATTAAGTTTCAAAGAATTATCAATGATTCCTTACACATCCTGGGCATAATTGCAAGCATTACCCGTGGCTTCCGGGATTACATCTGCATACTGAACCTCTTTCGGTCTTTGGTTCTATCACGGTTGGATTTTTGTTCTGCAGTGTGGAATTCTTTGAGTGTCAGTCAGGCACTCACGTTGGAGTGTGTACAGAGACGACTTACGAGAATTGTCTATGATCGCCTTACTGGACGGTGCGTTTTTTATGATTATGAGCTGTTTTTGGACACCCTTGGTCTATCGCCTCCTTTGACCAGACAGCTAGTTTGCGACATGGTGTTTTTATATAAGTTGCTCAATACTGTCATTGAATCCCAGATGGTATTGAGTAGAATCTCAATCCATGTCCCCCAGCGACAAAATAGATCTATGCCTTTTTTTATCCTTCTTACTTAGAATCTAGTCCTCTGCTGACACGGATGATGCTCATGTACGATAAGTGTTTTAACCATCGAATTTTCACTTTTCAAAAGTTCAAGAACAGTATAATACTAAGGATTGCTGTGTAGTATGTAAATTTTAGTGCCGTCTCATTTTGTGCAAGTGTAACCCTCATAAGGCCCTAAAGCTGTTTGGGACCCAATAAAGCTTGGATTGGTCAATTGATTGTTGGTGCTGAATTAACTTTCATTAGGTTATGATCCATTCCGCTCAAATTTCAACTGCTTCTAGAACAATCCTTGATTTTTAAAATTTACGAGAAATGTTTGTTGCCACATCGAAGTCCTCAATCCAGTCTTCTGTCTCCAGAAATCTCTGCAGAAAGAAATAGAGGCCAAGGTGAAAGAGTGTGGCCGGACACTGTTCATCTTTGACGAGATCGACAAGATGCCCAACGGCCTCATCGACATCATCAAGCCGTACCTGGACTTCCACGAAAAGCTCGACGACGTCGACTACAGGAAGTCCATCTTCATTTTCCTCAGGTCTGTCGGCAATGCAGTCTAAATGCCCACCGGACGTGGGTCTTGCTATGTATTGCGCATTCACCGGTACGTTGCCAGTACAGTTGACCTGCACATGGTGAGCTTTGCGTACAACTTTGGCAGTACTCGTTTCAGTGCTGCGCTGTGTCCTGTTGCCTCTCAGTGCTTCAAGCTGAAGGGGGAACCTGAGCCTTTCTGAATTGTTGGAGCTGCCAAATGTTTGTAAAAGGAATATTCATTATGTTGACATTCAGTGTGTTACTGTCTGGCAGGCTGTGGCTATAGGAAATGAAGGTCACGTTATTGTTTTTATGTTGTTCCAACTTATCATCTAGGACAGGGGTCTCAAACATGCGGCCCGTGACCCTTTAGGACGCGGCCCGCAAGTGTCCTGTGGCTGCGAGCACTCGTTCCCTCGAACACTATATGCGCCATAATGACATCTTGTCGTCCATTCATTTCCACTAGAAACGTAGCTCTGCACGTATGGCATTTTAACAGATCTGCCACTAATCTGTTTTCTTTCAGATCAAGGATTGTTTTGTCTTACATACCTTTGAGATGAAAGTACATTCTTGTAATTCTGCTATAAAAATTGTCAGGAAAGTAAGAACCAACGTACGAAAAGAATTTATCTCCCGACATACTGAACACGGATACTTCCTGAGGGAATTGAGCGATACAGTAACGATTCAGTGCTTGGTTTCTACAACGCCGTCGACGCACAGGCGCAGTAGCAGCGTCTTTGTTGCGGAGTGCTTAGTGGAGGGGGAAACGCGGTGTATAAAAACTTCCTAATATATATCAACCCCGCCCTACGCTGGCCCTCGACATTTTGTGGGTGGGCTATTCGGCCCCCACGCTCCAATGAGTTTGAGACCCCTGATCTAGGGCAAGGGAATCTGATTTGTTCTGTGTGCCTGTAGTGATCGAGTGTTACACATGAAGGTGTTTGCTGCGAGGAGAATGGAACACAACACGGCTTTTTTGGTTCGACAAAAAGGAAAGGATAGACATGCATTATGAGTTGCAAATGAAACTACTGGAAGAAAGAAAAGGACGGTAATGTTGACACTTAAATGAAAGACAATTCAACAGTAGAAATGGGATGTTCATCTTACAATTGTCAAAAGAGACGCAGGGCAGTCTGGTGGTGGGTTGAGCTGCCAGGTTGATTGTTTCACTTGCGGGCCCGAAGCTCCGAGTGGTCAGCAGGGATTTCTTAGTGGGTCGAGGACCTTGCGTATTAGCTATGGGTCATCGCAGTTCCCGTTCGCTTCTTTTTGTACTTCTCCTTCGTGTTCTGCCTCGAGCCACCCGCCGGCTTCGTCGTCGTCTTCCTCGTAACTGTTGCACTGTTGAGGTCAGCGCCACCGCAGCTCACTTTTATCGCGATAATCATCACAGTGCCCTTCAAATAGTGCCGCTGTGGCATGAATGCCTCCCAACAACGGTAACTGAAGCTGCTTCACCAACTCAAGCCAGCATGGTCGCCCATACTTCCACCTTTCAGCTATCTCTGGGCTGCAGCTGTACAACTGTTCAATTCTTTTTATGACCAGTCACTCTGAATTATGAAGATTTCAGGTTTGACAGAGTGGGAAAAGACCAACGTCAAGGACGGTGGTGATATGCAGACAAAGGTTTCGAATGATGGGATTCTGTGTCAGAAAGATGCAGCTGATTTCTGTTGCAGCAACACGGCCGGCGACGTGATAGCGAGGGCTACCCTGGACGCCTGGAAGGACGGCATCGACCGCAGCAAAGTCCGGCTTAACGACATGGAAAGGGTCATCGAGCTGGGCAGCTACAATGAAAAAGGCGAGTCCCGCTTCGCTTTGCAATGCACAGAAATATTAAATGGCTGGAAACAAGTTATTTTTTCTTTCTTATAAAAAGATTAGAAAGTTTGGGGCGAGTCGGAAAGTCGGTGCCATTGGGCACATTCGTTTTTGCAAAGTAATCCTATCGGGGAGGTGTTTTCAGTGATGTGCTTGCTGCGCCAATTGCACCAAACTGTGCCAAGGGACTAACCTTGCTACATCATGCTACATTTTGCCAAAATATGGGTAATCTGCGCCAAGCCTGTGCCCAATGACCAATTTCGGTCGCCTTTCAAAACAGAAACTACATAATTGGGTATGCGTGAGCTAGGTGGCGGAAGCGGCCGCCCGACACAAAGTACCCTGCATCCATCCGGTCTTGAATGGCTTTTGCCGCCGTCTCGCGTTTCGCGCCTCGTCGTCTCGGGAATCTCGTCTCGCGTCTTTTTTAAATTTTTTCAACGATAGACGCGGGCGTGTGCGGATGCTCCAACGCTAGTGTGCCGGGTGCCAGACATGCCGTCATGCTGTGAAACAAAACCACGTTTTTGCGCGACGAGAGTTGCTTTGTGAGTTGAAACGCTGGTCGCGCAACGTCGGGTGTTGCCATCTCCATGTCGCTGCAGATGTGGTGCTTTCTAAACTTGTTCATCGACATTCCTGTCCTTGTTTAAATCATAGTCTACTACAAAAATCCCCCTTTAAAGGGATACTACAACGAAATTGCGGTGCTTATCTCTTGGTCTATTCGTGTTCAAGGGAGCACTATCACATCAGACATATCAATCTGTTGTTGAAAAAGGCACGAAAAGGAATTTTAAGACGAATTAGACGGTTAGCAAAGAGCACCTGGTGGTTGTCGCTAACGCCTCGTTTGTAATGCCCGTCTAGGAACCTTGACAGGTAGTGACGATAACTGTCTCGCCTCCGGCCACCACGAGAAAAAAGGGGAAGATTAACCCGTCACTCGAAATTCATACAAAAACAGCCGCTTTGGTGGCTGGAACCGTTGGGACATCCTCTCGAGATCAGCCTCGCCGAAGCTTTGCTCGTTCCGAGACGAACTACGTCACGATTGCCGCGAATGTCACATGCTCTCCGCTGGCTGCTCTCCGAGCGGTTGCGAGAGTGGGCCGTTTATAACCAAAAATACAGCGATCAGGCTCAAAATACGAACGTGCAATTATCGTTTACGGATATTGTGGATCATATTCAACCTATTTCTGAACACGACGGGTGTTTTTCAAATTTCATTGAAGTGTCCCTTTAATTCAAAAACTGCTTGTCGAAATAATGATTACCTATAGGTTTCTTTCGGTGGGCTTTCTTTCGAGAGGGACCCCCGCACGTGAAAAATTTGCTGCAAAAGAAAGTTGGTGAAGAGAAGGGAGCTAAAGCAAAGTAGGCAATGTCTGCACTCTGAACCCGCACATCGCGCTTGTTTGTCTCGAGTTCAATCGTTGCACAAAGCGCTCCGAGAAATTTTTGACCCTGGCTCGCGATTTCATGCATCGATGCGCTCAGGTTCTTTTTTTCTGTGTGCCTAGCTTGTACCTCACCTGCCGGTTTGGCAAGCACGCGCCACTGGACTGTTGTTTTGTCGTATGCTGGAGAATTACATTTTGCATGCTATTTTGGGAACCAGTTGGCGACAGAGCAGAGTGGCATTGTTTTGATTTCGATTGAACAGCCGTTGTCTCTGCTTGCGCGACGAAGCACGTACAACTGCAAGCCTGCTGATGTTGCCCTCACGTGCACGTGAACATGATTACACGATAAAGGCTCCAGCCGGGGCTCTTGCAATTCATTGTTTTGCGTTTTCTTACTTTTGACGAAACTCTGGCACGTCGGGAGCCAGCAAAACGGTGGCAGGCGTTCTTTCTGGAATTGCTCGGCAACGCCTACAACACTCTACACTTGTGGGATGTCTCAGCAGTAAAAACACAAAAAGCGAGTTCGGTCACAACACAGCACAATGTGCCCTTCATTTGTCTAGCACTTAAAATGAAACAAAACAAAATTCTCAGAATTTTTGCTTCACAAGCCACTTTTGCTGCTCCGAAACACTGTTTTGGCTGCTCCAAAAGCCACTTTTGCTGCTCCAAAGCACTGTTCTGGCTGCTCCAGAGCACTGTTCTGGCTGCTCCAAAGGCCACTTTTGCTGCTCCAAAACACTGTTTTGGCTGCTCCAAGAGGTGCTCCAAAATGGCTTAGGCCAATCACATCACTGTGTTTTACTTAGCACAGATTTCCTCGACATGTGGTGAACACTTGACGTCTTGTGGAGTGTGGCATTAGGACAACCGTGATATTTTGTAGTTGTACTTGCAAACCGGTTGTTTTTTTGCCTGTATTTGATTCACGCAATGAAAGTGCTTCCAAATGTTTGTATAAATCATCTTGTAAAAGTCGCTGGAAGTCACCATTGTTGTAGCAAAATAGTATGCCGAAATCAACAAGATATACCGGGTGTTTCACAAAATCCTGGCTAAACTTTTCACAAAACAAATAATAGGTGTTACATAAAAAAACTACTTATAGTGCCAGCAAGTTAATAGGGAAGCAAGCTGGCAATCCGACAGATTTGTACTCCACTGCATCGAACAAATCATCAAAGTACCGTATTTACTCGCGTAATGAACGCACCCCCCAAGTCGGCTCTCAAAATTTACTTTTTTTTTTTTTTTCACTCGCGTAATAAACGCACTCCCAACTCCGATGTCAAAATTTTTACCCCCTCCCCCCACGCGCGCGAAATGAACTCACTTTTTTATCCTGGTGCAGCGAAATCGCGAATGCATGGGCAGCGTGGGCGAACAAAACTCCTTGCAAAAGGCGTTAAAAATTTCGCAAAGATCCAACGGTAGCAAGAAAAAAAAAAAACATAAAGAGTTTTTTTTTTTGTTTTGTTTTTTTCGCACAGTGCAGTTTGGATTTTGGTTTTGCGCGACGCCGCGCGCAAGGAGGTAAGAAAGAGGGGCAGAGAAGCGCTCTAAGCGAACGAAACAGCTTGCGAAAGGCGGCAAAAATAAAAAAAATAAAAACCCACAAAACTAAAAAAAACAAACAAAAAAAAATTTTTTTTTTCTTGCAGTTTAGTTTGGTTACGGGGGTCGCGCGCCGCGCGCAAGGAGGTAAGAAAGAGGAGCGGAGAAGCCCTCTAAGCAAACGAAACAACTTGCGAAAGACGGCAAAAAAAAAAACAACAAAAAAACACGGAATTGAGAAAAAAAACAAGAAAAAGAGGAGCTTTTTGTTTTTTGCGCAGCGCAGTTTGGTTACGGGGGGGGGGGGGGGGGGGGGGGGTCGTGCGTCGCGCGCAAGGAGATAAGAAAGATAAGCGGAGAGCACTCGCCTAAGCAAACAAAACAGCTTGCGAAAGGCGGCGAAAAAAAAAAAAAAAAAAACAACAAGGAACTAAGAAAAAGAAAACAGGAGTTTTTTTTGTTCTTTTTTTGCGCAGCTTAGTTGGGTTATGGGGTCGGGCGCCGCGCGCAAAGAGATAAGAAGTTACTTCGATCTTTCAGGATGAAAGGTCAGTTCATTATGCGAATTAATACGGACGCAAAAATTTTACTCCGCGTAATAGACGCCCCCCCCCCCCCCCCCCCCCCCCCAAGTTTGCATCGATTTTTTGGAAAAAAGAGTGCGTTCATTCTGCGAGTAAATACGGTACTTGTTGCTGGCAGGAAGATCCTCAAAAGGATTTAGCTTTAGGAGCCTGAAGAATATGAGCTTCCTAGTACCACTACTACTCCCAGGATGTCCCTTTCCAAATGCTTGTTTGTTGCGGGACAGGAATCATAAAGACCCACAGAAAATGGGCGGATCATCCTGGAATAAACAACAGGGTCCTACGTTCTAGATGAAGTTTCCCACCGTTTGTACACGTCCAGCCAGCTAGTGCAGAACGAGGTGCGTCTCGTCGGAGAGACTGCAGGCGGTCGATTCCCCATGCAAGGAAAGCGGTCTTGGGCGTCGTTCTGCTTCCAAGGGCCGTGTTCCTCCCGCAGGGGGCCTGTACCGTGCGGACATTGTGGACAAAAACCTGATCGACGTGTTCGTGCCCTTCCTGCCGCTGGAGCGCAAGCAGGTGGTGGCCTGCGTGAGGGACGAGTTCAAGCGCCGCAGCCGTACCACCAACGACCGGACCCTGGAGGAGATCGCCGACGAGCTGGACTACATCCCCTCCGACTACAGCCTCTACTCCTCGACAGGCTGCAAGAAGATCCACCAGAAGGTGGCCCAGCACCTGGGCTTCCAGGAGAAGATCTGAGGCCCCAAGGGCCGCCCCGACAACCTTGTGCCTCGCTTGCCGTGCCTTTGGGTTGCGCCGCGACCCAGTTTTTGGAGTCGTGGGATGTTTGTTTGTTGTTCCCTTCTTGTGCCGTGCGGTGAATCGTGTGGTGTGCACGAGCTGGATGCTCATAACAAGCATGCTGGAATCGTTCCAAAAATAGATAGCGGAGAAGACAAAAATGCTGCGCGTTTTTGTGCGATTGATATGGGTCTGGCGGGTGCTTGCGAAGGCGGTTACTAGGTTCGAGCTTGTTGTGGTTGGAACAAAGCCCCGCTTCGTCGACTGTCGCAGTCCTACAGGGTCTGTCGAGCATCTCGACAATGACATTCTCTTCCACACCCGGTGGATAAGCACGAAAGCTGGTACTGTTAAGCGAATAGGATTTCCTACTACAATCACTTTCAGTAACGTATGTTACGAAAAGCAAATTGTTAGTCTGGAAACGATTTTTATGCCTCTCTGTAGAACATATCTGGTAGTTCCTCATTGTGATAGATTTACTAGCTCGTTTTTCCTTGTTTACTGTTTTCGGCATATAAGTACATAATTTGTAGCCGCACTTTTCATTGTGTGTACCTTAGTAATTTATGACAACGAATTTGTTAGGACAGAGTGGTGCAGCTACGAGCACAATAGGGAGTGCGACATTTTGAGACACCATCTGGCTGCAAGCTAGTCATGCGCCCAACTGTTCTCGGATATTAATTCCCAGGGACGCGACCCCCTGGAGTTGGGTGAGTGGCGTATTTTTATATGGGCACCCGAAAGCCTCTGAAGAGCAGCTCAATATTTTTCCCTGTCAGTTTGTTAGTATTGTACAGAAAACTGTGGGCCAATAAAAATTGAATGTTTGGCCGAAATGATGGCGTTTATTCTAGTTTTACACAGTTGTTAGTGCTGTTCATAAACAAAATATTCACTCGGAAAATTCATCGAAGCAATGTTTGCTACAAGGAAACATACTTCTTGAACATTATGTACATTGTACCAACTATAAAAAGAAAGACATAAAATAACTCAAGATAATAACCTCGCCACACAGTAAAATTTAATGTCACTTCCATCGAATGATATTCTTTGATCATACTACGGGCACTCGTCACCCCTAGCACAGGGCACACATGACGCTCATGGTGAGAGTTCGCAGACTGCATCGTGTCATTCTGTGAAAATGACAGGAGATTTTGCCACGTGACAAGCGTATAAGGAACTTGTCCTAAAACAGTCCAGCAAAAATATCACTGAAACTCGCACACAGTGCAATCCACTTATAACGATAACATATAAAATGATGTGGTGCTTATAACTATCAGTTTCTAGAGCTTCTAGACTCGATAATCGGTTATAACAATTGAATTTTCTGGTTTTTTCGTTATCATTATAAGTGGATTGCACTGTAGTCGCAGAAAAATAAATAGTAAGTGACTCCTGTTACATTTAGCATTGAAAGACCCCAACATCCCTTTGTCCGCAGTGTCGATGCATTCTCGGAACAAGAATATACGCATTCTAAGCCAGCGCAGCGTCCGGACCTCCGCACTCAGGGAAAATTCAACGCCAATTTTATGGGAACTTCTTTACAGCCGGACTCCGAAAAGGCCAAGCTCTCTGGAGGATAGAAAGCAATTTCTTCCATCAACCGTTCCAGCTTGTCGTCCGGTACCTCGATCCCAGCTTTCATTTGCGACAGTTCTCGCCTGAAACACTCCTTGACGTCGTCCCTGGTCATGGGAAGAAAAGGCACGACCTCGAAGTCCCGCATCCAGCGGGGCAAGACGTCCCGGTAGGCGCTCACGAGCATCGCGACGTCGCGACTGCCGTTTGTCGGACGATCGTCCGCAAGCATCCGCAGCGCAAAGCCCTCGGCGATGTCCGCGCCGTTGGTCACGACGAGAATGAAGACCGTCGGCTGCTCTGCGGTTATCTCGAGCCGGTCCCACGACGCGAACGCTGCCTGCAGCTGCCGTCGCATAGAGTCGTCTTCGAGGTCAAAGTCGTCGACAGCGATCAAGTTGGGTCGCCACGACGACACGGTGCGTCGCAGCCAGTGCCCGAGGTCGTCCCTCAACTTCCGGGTGAGGGCGATTCGGTGGGACGCGACGATCGTCTCGGCGAACTCGTACTGCTTGGCGACAATGGAGACGGCGTAGGTCTTGCCGCAACCTGAGCAGCCGACAAACACGAGCACGAGCGGAGACGAAAAGTTACCGGCGTCCAAGTAGCGCGATATCGCGCCGACCACCCGGTTGAGGGCGACATCCTGTCCTATGATGCGCTGCCGCAGGGCCTTGCCGAGGCCGTCCAAATCCAGACGCGGGGTGTCGAGGCACTCCGGGTTGAGGAAGAGGAAAACGAAGAAGAGGCAGCAGACAAACACGCACGTCTGCAAGAGGAACCAGGCCGCCGAGATGGAGCCCTCCACTGGTCTCCAGCGGCCAGCCTCGGAGAGCCTCCTGCCACCGGTTCCTGCCGGCCGGCGACCATTCCGCAGCCGGCCTCCGACCCCGTTCCCGACGTCTGACCCGTCGGTGCGGTGCCCTGTGGGAGAAATCCATCGAGCAATCTATCATTTCACGTTTATTGTGCCCCCGCGTTTTGCAATGACCCAACCACCCACATTTCAATCAAGAACCATTACATAAAAGTCAAGAGACCTACCTCCACCTTTTAACTTTATACGAAGGGCAGGCACCCAATCCGCTGCTACTCCGATAGTGTCCCGAGTACAGTGATGCACCAATGGACCAAGTCATATAACTATGCGGCATATGATTATGGTTCAAGAAACATTGCAGCCGAATAATATGAGACGAAACAGTGTAGCGTGGTGGAGAAAGGTGAGTTTATGTCTCTATTGACTCAGTAGAGACAAACCGGTCTTCAATGCATTTCAAACCCTTAATTAGAAAAAGAAAAAATAAATTACGACTGGAGAGTTAGCAGCCTTAAAAAGTATCTGCGATTTGGCACTGTCTCGCACAAACTAGATCAAAATATGCTATCTCAACAACACGGTGGGCTGAGCAATGCGTAAAACAAGTAGTAAACAAAAAATATTTTCTGCTTTTTTCTGGGGGGGGGGGGGGTAGAGTCGTAGAGTTATTATAATGTACGCTAGAGGTTCAAGTGGCGCTAGTGTGCTGACGCAAATTGAAGCAGACAGCAACCAGTCCGAAATTGACTTCCGGTAATGCATTTCTATGGGAAGAGTAAGCGCATTTTCTCCCTGCGCTCGATCATAAGTGCAAATATCCCGAATAATTTGTACGTACAAGGTAGCTTGGAGCAGTTCTCAGTCAGGCCGATGCAATATTTAATCAGTTACCGCATTCTTCTTTCAAATTCATCGCATTAAAAACGGTGCTAAAACTGCTTCGTACGTGTATTTATGTGCACTGTCAGACACTGTTGGCGCTTTTCAGCATGGGGAATATACATGCAAAATGAATAAAGGACATCTGGAAATTGAGGACTGCAAGAACTATGCAGCAACACTGGATCAGCCACTACCCGTGCATGTACAATCAAAATAAATTGAAGGCTATGTAATATATTCCAATTTTAAATAAGTACCGCTTTATTCTTTCTGCTCTGTGCGAAGATGCTTGTTTTAAGTTCAAAATATCACCCGCACGCTCAAAATCTTTGAGAACAAGTGCCTGATAAAAGCTGCTGCGTAGAGAAAACAATACGAAGAGACGCCTCTCACAGCCCACATACTTTATTCTTTACGTTTTGAATGTTTTTATCCACTCGTGCATGACGGGGTCATTTTCATATAGTGACAAGACTGGCATATTATTAATCTATAAGCGTCACTGGAATGCTGGCGAGCCTTGAACACACTCTATATTCCTTTCCATTGTAATTTTGCTTTGAATCGTCGCTTGTTTTTACATACGTGCTGCGGAACATATGTTTGGGATTGAAATCTAGCGAAGTTAAACATTGTTCCCTGATGAAGAAAAATGCGCTAACTGAAGCAATTACTTTTACAATGTTAAGTAAGGTACATACTATTTGGTACGACCCAAATAACCAAAGTGCTCTGTGTTATTTTCCGGCGAAGAGACAAAATGCACGCGGGTTTTCCCATAGGAATGCACAGGAGCACCGCAAAAGTAGACTGGTTGCTGTCTGCTTCAATTTGCGTCACGGAAGTCGCATAGACACTAGCGTCAGTTGAACCTCTAGCGTACATTATAATAATTCTATAAGGGGAGTAGATAGTTGCGTCTGAAACAAAAAAACGTCAATCGCTTCCCACTGGCCCCTCGACAGCTCGGATTGTCATTTATTCTCGACCCAAACTGTCACCGCTAAGCGTCATGTACGTGTGGGCCAGGTGGTTTAACATTTCTGTAGTCAGTCGCACCGCGGCAGACGCGTGAACGGGTGAGCCGGGTAGGTTAACACGGGCCCCAGTAATATTCACGCGCGACGAAATGTCCCTACAGTGTGCAAATCGCGTGCGAGTGTCGACGAAACGTGTGTACACGAAAATTTGTCTATGAAACGTGTTTCCACGAAATGCCGGGAGAATAAGGAAGTCAGTATTCTCCCGGCTACCGAAAGAATAGACACTGCCTAAAAGGAAGTCGCGGTCGCGGCTCTACAGATTAAAAATATAGTAAAAAGTGCAAGTACGTCTTTTGTTGTTGCTGCTCGGCTCTTCGTGCCCGGGATATGTGATGGCGAAGCGTTTTTTCACCATGAGCTGCAAGCAAAAATTGTGACGGTTAGACGACGTGGACAACAAGCAGCACTTCGCGCAATCACTGCCTTACTGAAACGATAATCCAACCAAACCGCCGAGTATTTGCCTACCCTTTTCTTGCGACAGAAGTCGAGAATATTACGGATCGATAGAACTCGGCATTGTTCATTCCATAATTCACTTATTAGTCGCAGGATAAAGCACTCGAACGTAAAACCCGCGTCGTTGGCGTCGTCGGCGTCGTCTTCACAAGTTCACCTCTTCAATCAGAAGCCATGGCAGTGACAGTTACGTAAATAGCAGATGTTTTGTATCGGAGTTGCTACAAGGTTTGAAAACAAATATAAAAATAAAACACATGGAAATATGTTTTTATAAATTGATAGGATTGAACGAATTAAACATTCAGTCAGCGCTGATTCGGCAGTCGGTCCATGGTAAGTCCGTGGTAGGTTTCCCCTCACCAGGGGACTCAAAATCGCCCCCTTCAAAAACACGTCGACAAGTCGGCGCTCTGCTGGCTCTGCTCGTTTAGAGCAAAGAAAAAGCTTCGGCGAGGTGATTTTTCTCTCTCGCAAACCACTTCAACCGAATATGTGCACGTAGAGGACGCGCTCGCGATAAGTGGCACGGAGGTACAGTCGCAAACAAGAAGAGAAACAGGCAAAAAAAAAAATGTTCGTGACAAAGGGGAGACCTTGCATAGTATTGTTTGTCGCCGTGTTAATCGGCGCAGAACTTGGAAGAACCGGAGGTCAGCATCACCATTCTCACGACCATGATCACCACGACCACGACCACCATCACGGCCACGGGCACAGCCATGAGTCGGCGGCATTCAAGTACTCGAGAGCGGCCAACTCCGAACCGGCTCAGCATTCCCACACACACAGCCATCACAGCCACGCCAAGCCGACGCTGGCAGGTGCTCAAAAGAGCCGTACGTTGGAAGAGACAGCCTACCTGTGGGCCCGTGCCCTAGGGTCAACGCTGCTCATCAGCATCGCGCCGTTCGTGATCCTCTTCTTTATCCCGATCGACAGCCGGTCGGGCCACGAGTCGCTGCTCAAGGTGCTGCTCAGCTTCGCTTCGGGCGGACTGCTGGGCGACGCGTTCCTCCACCTCATCCCGCACGCCCTGATGCCGCACGGCGACGAGGACCACGCAGCCCGCAGCCACGCTCACGACGACCACGCTCACGAAGGCCACGCTCACGGCCCCCATGACATGAGCGTGGGGCTCTGGGTTCTCGCCGGCATCCTGGCGTTCCTGATGGTCGAGAAGTTCGTGCGCATGATCAAGGGTGGCCACGGGCACAGTCACGGCCAGGCCCACGAGCACGACGACGGCCACGCTCACGAACACGACGACGCCGACGAGAAGCCGACGGGCAAATGTGATGGCGAGTCGAGCGGCGCCGAGGATAAGGGCGCGACGAACGACGTCGTGCGGAGGAAAAAGCCGGCGAAAAAAAGTGAATGCAGCGACGACGCTCCAAAGAGCGAGCAAGGTGAGTGGGGTGACTCCTATCTCAATCTGGCCCAAAGTAGGTTTGGTGGGCCAAAGACGACACAACTTCTGACAACTTTCCTAGGCGCCTCGTCCAATGGGCCTTTTTGTTCTGTCAAATAATCGCGGCACCCAGTGGCGGATGCATTCAACATTTTGAGGTATAAAGGCCATGAATAGAGCCAAACAAAACAGCCTGCCACAAGCCCAGTTACCTGAATCAACAGCAAATAGCCGAGCATGACCTTGCACCTTCCACCGAGCAGCCAGAACCCTGTCTCTATCAAATATGGTGCGAGGATTCAAGATCTCCGAAAAAGGCCCAGTGCGAGGAGTGGCAATGCATTTTTCCTTTGAGGGAATTGGCCAGGTTCCTACAAGTGCCGTTGCACTGAATGTACTATCGGGGAAAAATGAAATGCGAACAGAGGAGCGCGTGGCTCGCGGTACAGGCTGCGCCGCCTGGAAGTAAACCTAGGGGCGAGGGTGCGTGGCCTACTTCGATGTGTTCACGCCCCTCGATTAGCGCTCCCCCAGCTTCGGCAGTGCGCCTCTCAGTGCGCTGAAAGTTGTCACTGCTGTCACCGCTATCTTTGCCTGCTCGGCGAGAGCGGCGAGCTTCTTTGCACCGCACGCGCTGAGCCAGCAAAGATAGCGGTGATAGCTTTCAGCGCACTAAGAGGCGCACTGCTGAAGCTTGGGGAGCACAGAGGGAGGGGCGTGAACACGTCTGAGTAGGCCACACACCCTCGCTCCTAGGCTCACTTCCAGGCGGCGCAGCCTGTACCGCGAGCCACGCGCTCCTCTGTTCGCATTTCATTTTTCCCCGATTGTACATTCAGAAACAGCGATGTTCCTTGATGTCTTTGAAACTTGTACCTTAATGTGGTGTTTATATTAACCATATTTTAAATTAGCAGCCCTTTGGTATCCCACGCTGTTCTGCTCCATTTGTGCATGAAGCACCTTAGAGAGTGGTGGGAAGTTCTCCACCAACAAACGCAGCAACTACAGTAGACTGTTTCTAAATGTACTGTGTTCTTGCAGGCATTTCGATGTGCTAAATTTTGTGTGTGGTGTGTAGCGTCGCTGGCACAAAAGATTGATTTGGTTATGCTCTATAGCGATAGTTTTATCTTATTATTCAATTTTTAAAGGGCTATGAGGCCTCATTAGCTAAAAGTGGGATCTACAAGGAGTGATATTGGTTTCAGAGAAAAAACCGGACATCAAGGTGGCTGCATACCTCAATCTTGCCGCTGACTTCACTCACAACTTCACTGACGGCCTTGCCATTGGGGCGTCCTACATCGCTGGAAATACGGCGGGCTTCATTTCAACCATCACCATTTTGCTTCATGAGGTGCCTCACGAAATCGGAGACTTTGCCATTTTGGTGCAGTCTGGCTACAGCAAACGAAGGGTGAGTGAACAAAAAAAATATTACCATGGAACAGCTGCATTGCTCGTATTTTTTAAGGTACATTGAAGTGATTTGAGTTTGCAACCGACTAAATATTCTTATTGATGGAAATCCTCCAGAGCTCTTAAGACATCTGAGAAGAGCTTTACAGCATTGGTGGTGAAGCCTTCTAACAGTAGAATGTAGACAGGCATGGCAATGGCAACATAGTAGTTGAAATGTGATTGGAAAAAAGGGTAGCCGAGTACACTTCCCTCGAATGCACAGGCATGAGATGACATGTGCTTCAGCCACATGTATCGACATAGTGGGAACATTCTGCAACAATCACTCTAATACAGTGGCAGTCAAATGATAATTTTAGTATTACTAGACAAATTATAAAGAAAACAATGTGAACATAATATTTTCACTAATTTGTTTATTTGAAAACATTTTCTTCTAGAAAAACACTCATTTAATCATTCCGGGGAAATATACCTTAGCCTCCTGATCTTTATTGCCATCGTAAGACGCATCAGTTGTAAAAGGACTGAAATTGTCTTCCATGCTGTTGCAACTTTGATTGCGAGAATAAAAGCTTAAGCTCAAAGCAGAGATTTTCTCTTTCAATTCAGTCAATTTCCAGCTCCGCGGTTGTAGGGATGCATTTCGACCGAAGTTCACTAACATAACATATGTTATGTATGGAACACAGCCACGTCTTCAGGCCTGATGCAAGGTGCTTGCGGATTTCTCGCACAGCTGGGCAGCCTTAACTTGCTCAACATAACAATGAAACGGATCAACAGGTTTTCTGCAAGAATGGAACGGACTGTTCCCCTCGAATTCTCGAAGATGCTCTTTCTGGATCTCTCAGCTTCGCTCTATAACCCCTCACCTTTTAAAAGCAAAGGGAAACAATTGACCGAGGAGGGGGAGACAGTACTTTGTTTTTTGTTTGTTTTTTGTTGAATACAAAGTGGGAATGGATAGCTGGGTGAGTTGGTGGGAATTCATCGTAGGAAACAGCGCGAAAAACAGGGGAGGATGAAGAAGAAACTGGACAGTGAGGTAGCATTTTTGGATTTGGGCTAGCATCATATCACATTTTATCGCGTTTTAACAGGTGCTATCACGCTGCTATGAATTGTCTCGTGATACGCAGACGGGGGGCGTACTGCCAAAGATGAATAGTCGTTTTCATGTGTTTTCCTATTAAAATTTTTTAGTTGATAGTCGGCGCTCGTCCTGTGTGTTTCTGCTTTGTCCTCGTCTGTTTTTCGCACTGTTTCCTACGACTAAGTAGGAATAGTTTTGTTTTCAACAAAGCTTCACAAGCCATGTGCAGCTGTCTCCATCCCATTACGTTCTCCCCAGTGGTCCAGTCGCAAGCATGGAGAAATAATTTGATACAAGAGGGTTATATTCGCGTCCGTTTTCGTTCCTGTCATAGTTGAATCTGTTTCTCTTTTCGCCTCATTCGCTTCCTGTTGCTCGTGTTTTTCGGGCTCTTTTCTCTTTGCTGTTCGGGGATGCCTAACATCTGCTTACACCAGTCTGCACCCTATTCATTCAATCTGTTTTTTTGTTCTTTTTCTTTTTTTGCACCGACAGCTGCTTCCCAGTTTAAACCAGTCTATATGCGAACATTCTGTTTCATACATTCATTCCCTTTGCACAACTCGGAAAGGTAGTCGAAGCTGCTATAGTCTATCCCATAGGTAGCAAATGACGCCGCCAAAGCAAGGGGTGCAAGTGTGTTGCTCGATCTAGCACCCTGCTTTCGAAAGAGCATGTTGAAAGGAGTCGCTAGTCTAAGAAACGCACTCGTGCCAACAGCTTTGAACGTGTTGTTTGTTCTGTCTGAAATGGAGTATAGGAAGAACTTCCAAAAGGAACCTTCTCAAAGGGTGGCCGCCGACGTCTCGACAAGCGTGCATAACGTCCTTTTCCATCCATGCATGGAAAGCGGTCCCGAAAAGGCAACACAGATAGGTTGCGGGAGCTGGTGCGTCATACTGTCAGACGTTACAATCTCCCTTTGGGTGCCACTGGTACCCAGACACATGGAGGACAGACTCAGAAAGGAGTGGTCGAAGAGTGCCAATCTTGGTACACTAAAGAATGTTTATCCTCTTCTTTCCCGCCGTAGAGTCCCATTTAGGTCCCACGCTTTCTGGCCGGAACAGAGGGAGATAGACGCAGGAATCAGTGAAAGGTCCCGACGGGCCCATATCTCTGAAATGCCCCAATATACGCAAAGAAGCGGCAAAACATCACCCGTAAGGTCCATGCCTATAGTTCTTTTTTAGCTTACTATGAAAGAAAACACCGGCATCGTGTCTTGTATAAAAATAAAGTTAACAAGCACTCGAATAACTTCAATGCGTCATTGTATAACAAACACACTTAACCTCTTGTCTGCTCTCTTTCCACGCTTTCCCGTCGCTCTTTTTTTTTTTGGGGGGGGGTAACGATTTGCCACGTTTTGGTCCCACGTTCACCCCCCCCTCCCCTCCCTCCCCCTGCAGGCGATGTGCATGCAGCTGGTGACTGCAGTGGGCTGTCTGAGCGGCACGGTGTGCAGCCTGGTGGCGGAGGGCGTGAGCGGCAGCGCCAACTCATGGGTGCTCCCCTTCACAGCCGGGGGCTTCATCTACATCGCCACCGTGTCGGTCATCCCCGAGCTTCTCGAGAACACTCGCCTCTGGCAGTCCATCAAGGAGGTGCTGGCCCTGCTCCTCGGCGTCACCATGATGGCCCTGCTCACCCAGTTCGAGTGAAGAGTGACACCCCTTGGCTCCCATGTTGGTGTCCTAAGGCTCCCACGTCAGTGTATTCTGGCTCACACATCGGTGTCCTACAGCTCCAACGTCGGTGTCCTACAGCTCTCACGTCAGAGCGATTTGTCGTGTCCCTTCTCTCTCTGTCGGCGCCGGCCGCGACACATCGCCACATTGTTGTCATTTCTTTGGGACGGTTTCTTGATACGGGATGGAGTGGAAGATGGTGACCCCCGCCACCGTTCCTCTTTTGGAAACGGAATTGCTCATTTTGGCAAAATGTATTTCTACCCGGTACTGCGTGGGGCTGTCCTCGCCGCCGGTCATTTTTTGAGGCGCTTCTATCGCACGAGCGACTATTTTCTTATTTGTCTATGACGATTCTCTTCGGTGCCACAATGTTGGCGATAGCAATTGCTTTTTGTTTGATATTTACATGGATAGCCAAGCTGACAGGTTAGTAGATAAGATTATTAAAAACGAAGATAAAAAAAAGTAGTGCCATGTCGGCAGATTTCGATTGCCGTTCACATTTATTATGCTTCGTTTGGTAGCATGGCCTTCCAAAAACTCAAATTGATATAGTTTTGGGCTAGCCTCGAAAGATTCTGTATGTCATTCGGTATATACTATGTTATCAATAAAGTGATAAGTCCTGTATCCTGATACTTAATTAGTGAAGGAACCTTGTCTTGATGGCCGACGTAGTAATTTCCCCGTATGTCGCTCTTGGGGCATGGGACTGGACTACCGCAGTGAGGATATATACTATATTTTCTATTGTTTTTGATGCAGCTGAAGTAACAGTTCCTGATGAGAGATGAGGAGGTCAAAGGTGCCGAGGCTTTCAAGGTTTGGAACGGTGATTGACCCAAAGGGAAATACAAAGAACAAGTAACTGTGATATACCAGGTGGGACAGATGGATCTAACCCACTTGAAACAAACTGCAAAATTCAGTTTTGCATGTTGTGAGATTGCTATTTACCACTAAAGGGGCTAGGTAGTGCATTTGTTTTGTGAGAATATCAAAGAAAAAACTTGCCCCAGTCAGAAATTACAAATGAAAATTAACATTTTTCCATGCCTCGATAAACCCTTTCAAAATAAGGTGCAAAAAAAAAAAAAGAAAACGTTCTGGAGGGCTATTAGGACATTTGAGTTAACAAAAAATAGAACAGGGAGGACACAGTTATTTGGAATCACTCTTGTTGACCCATAGGTATTTTTTCTCAGACTTGGGCTCAGCAAAATTTTGGCCTTTTATTGGTAACTCCTGACTGGGTTAAGTTTTACTTTAAAATTTCACCAAACATATGCACTGCCTTGTCTCACATCATGTAAATTGGTGTTGCAGCATGTGAAGTTGATTTTCTTTTTTTGTTCATTTAAAGTGGGTTAGATCTGTCTGGCCCATAGGGTAGCTAGACATATACCATTACATGTTCATGCTTTGGCTGCGCATAATTTGTTGCAGATTACTTCTTGTTCTTCTGATCATTCGCATGCTCCGCCATTGCCTTTGGCGGTCAGCCTTTGTTGTTTTTGTGTTGCACACATTGGGGGATGCTGATTTTTTAATTTGCAGAGGTGAGATTTCCGGTTATTATTTCTATAACTGTGCTGCTGTATGCTATCAGGCATGGAGAACTAAGTGATATGCCATGAGGCTTCAAACAACAAAATAAAAATTGCATTAGTTCGATAAAAAAATGTTGCGTATTACTTTTGCAGCGTAGTACGAGTTTTGATCTTAAATGCTTTATGAAGCGCAAGAAACATGTAGTTAACCTTAATAAAAAAACACACAATCACAATCTACTCGGCAGAAAAGCCACAATAAAGAAAAACATGATCATTGAGATAGATGGTGCCTGCTTATGCTTTTGCAAAATGGGGCAGTCTGGTTTACACTAGATTCTTTAGCCTCCGTGGGTGCACTGCATGTCGGAATTGAACAGTATCGTGATATGTAGATAGGTATTGCAATAGTACTTCAGGAATACATTTTGTCTTTATTTCTGTACTATTGCAATACAATTCTTAAACATGTTCACATTTCTGTATCAAAATTAGGGATGTCGCGAACCCCCCTAGGTTCGATTTCGAAAGGTTTCGATATTTGCGAAGCGAACTGAGGTTCGATTTCGAAAAATTTTGATATTTTGTACTGACCGAGGTTCGAATTCGAAAAATTCGCAACTTTTGACCACAGCGGAGTTTCGACTTCGAAAATTTCGAAGCTTTCACGGTTTCTAAAATTTCGATTTCGAATATTTTGAATATTGTTTTCCTTCAGGTTCGAAAAATTCGCAGATTTCGAAATTCTTTGGAAAAAAATTCGAAAACTTCGAACGCTTCGAATTTTTATAGACGAAGTTCGAACAATTCAAATATTTCGAATTTCTTTCTGCATAAAGTTCGAAAGTTTCAATTCTCTTTTAATGCTAAATTAAAAAACAAAAAAACAAAAAAACCTTTGAAGATTTAGAATTTTTTTCTAATCCAACTTTTCAAAGTTCGAAGTCCGATTTTCAAGTTTTTCCACAGTTTCAGTTTCAAAGAACGTTTTCACGACTCACTGGTTTTCACAAAATCAAGTTTAGAAAAGTTAGGGTGTGATATCTAGATTCTGCGAAGTTGGTCAGGCAAATAAATGAGACGACGAGTGTCCCGGATGTGCTGGAATATTTGTCAGTACAGAATTGTGGCCGCCAGCCCCGGATTGGGGGGGGTTAACCTGCATCACGCAGTTGTGATTACACGAACACACTGTTTTACGAGACTCATCCAGTTCGAAACGGCCAGGGGCGATCAGGAGTTTGAGGCTCAGAAAAACCTTGAAGCGACCTGGCAAACCTGCTCGCCACCCCTTGCACGCTGGTAGTAATCCGATCCGGTGAAGTTTATAATTGTCCTGGAGGTTTATTTTCTGGGACGGAGGAACCGCCTCGCAAAAAGCACGAAAGCCGACACAACTCGAGGTCGAGGAGCGTTCTGCCATACAAGTGGCGTCGGAAGAGGAAAAACGGGGGAAAAGAGGGTAGTGGGGGGGGGCTTCAGCCTCCTCTACCTTCCAGGTATTTCGGACTGTTAAAGAAAGCAATACGGGGAAAGAGGGCGTGGTCGAGCTTATTTTAATCTGAAATTATTTATGCATATGTATAGCTACTGTCGCTCTTCACTGCATAAAAGGTTGCGTAGATGGTCATTGTTAGAAACTCATTGTCGGAAGGCACTACTCGTCACATGCTTAGTGGTTCGGAAGTTCAAAGCTGTCTTTTCGACCTACATACCTGTGCCGATAGTAACAAAAAAAATAAAAAATAAAATAAATGCGGGAATAAAAAGCAGGAGAAAAAAAAAACTGTCAAGAATTCGTCGGAAGTGTTCTATTGTTGCATGTTCAGAACTTCGAAACAAGTTTCTTTTACCAAGATGTGTACAGGCTAAAAGAAACACGTCCCAAAAACATGAAGCGAAAAAAAAAAAAAAAGTTTTCTTTTAATGACGTGCTGAACTTGAACACTATTAGAAATCTTCTCCCATGAGTTAATTTATTCCTTAACGTGAAAAAACAATAAATATATTATTTTGTATTCTGCAGATGGCAATGATATGTACTGTCTGTGGTGTTAATTTAAATGCGATACCTCAAACAACTTAGACGAAAATAAATATCAAGTTTAGGTCAAAATTGCATGCAGATAAATGTTTGGACATTTCTTCGAAACTCACGTTGAATAACAATAATCACATCTTAAGACGGCACTTACCTAAGCTATACATAGATCATTCTTAAAAAAGTATAACATGTCTACCATAAATAGCTCCGGCTGCAGCGTGCTTCAAATCTGGCACAAACGATAATCGTCCAAAACCCGTCGTCCTTCCTCGCCCCTTCGGGGATTTATTTCTTTAAACCTAAGCGTGCCAGATAATTGAAATAAACGATATTGTCTTTCGTAAGGAACGCAACACCACGTGTAAAAGTTCGAGAAAAAAAATTACGAAGTACCCCACTACTTGAAATCAAATGAAACCGTCCGCCGGTCTTTCGAAGTTCGTCGAACTTCTGACTTTTCAGAATTCAAAAGTTCGAAACTTTTCGAACTCTCTTGATAAATAAGGTCGAAAGTTCGAAATTTATAGAATTTTTTGGTTCGCAATAAGTTCGAAAGTTCGAAAAAGATGGAATTTTTTAGCGTAAGAAGTTCGACGGTTCGAAAAGCGTCGAACTTCTTAGCTTAACAAGTTCGAAAATTCGACCTCCGTCGAATTTCACGATATGCACAATTCGAAAAATCGAAATCTTTCGAACCTCTCTAACCTTTTGATTCGATCATCGAAACTTCGAATCGAAAAAAGTTCGCGGCATCCCTAATCAAAATACATTTTTAGGTGCACTTCTGGTATTATGATCAGGGACTTCTATTTTGTTAAATATTTTTAGGAATTGTCCCTCCAACCAGGGTGTGGGCCTTTTGCCAAAAGGCAGTTTATAAAAGAGCTGCTCATAGCAGATCAGTTTGTTGCATAGGACAATTCTTTAGAGGGTAATTTGGCACCGAGGCACCTTATGCAACAACCCAAGGAGGCAATATTTTGCTAGTTGTCGTTTCGAAAGATGTTTTTTCCTATTTTCAAGCCAGGTAACGGTTTCAATATATCTCTCGTAGGTGAAGTTTTCAAGACCTCTTTGTAACCCAAAGCTTCCTATACATGGGTTGCACAAGACGTCATTCAAAGAGCGCTCCTACGACCACCAGAGTAGAGGGCAAGAAGGAGCTCCCCTCTTATCCAGACCCTCTTTTGTGCCTCCCGGATTTGCACAACATTTGCACAGGCGTCGCTATTCTCCTCCCAGAAGATTATAGAAGATTGACCCGTCCCTCAAAATTCTTACAAAAGCAGCCTCCTCCTCTTACGTGGTGGTCAAAAGTACGCAATGTGACGTCAGTGCAACCCATGTATAATCGAACGCGGGAGGGGAGGCACCCTACTCTTCAGCGTTCGCTCTGTTAAAGTGGAAAGAGGTGGGAAATAGTTTCCCCTGAACTCTTAACCTCTCATCGACATAGGTTTTTCATCGACTGCATTGACATCAATTTGTCTGGTTTCCAAACTGACATATGTTTCAGTGAATGTTTTCATAAAGGTTTGAAGACTATTAAATGCTTTTGATTTGTTGGATAGGCCCAGCCGCTGGGGTAAATTGGTGCCAACATTGCAGCGCCCCCAAAAGACTGGTTGGCATACCTCGGCAGACCTCACTCATGAGGGCCCTCACTCACCCTCACTTACCCTCATCTTCACAGGTGAGGTGAGGGTGAGTGAGTTTCTGAACCAGGAAAATTCGTGAGGGTGAGTGAGGGCCGTGAGGGCCGTGAGGGCCATGAGGGCGGTGAGGGCGGTAAGGGGTATGAGGGCCGTGAGGGGCGTGAGGGCGGTGAGTGGCGTGAGGGCCATGAGTGCGTGAGTGGTGTGAGGGCGGTGAGTGCGTGAGGGGTGTGAGGGCCATGAGTGCGTGAGGGCAGAGACATGAGAGGCGTGGGGGCCGTGAGGGCGGTGAGTGCATGAGGTGGTGCGAGGGCCATGAGTGCGTGAGGGCGGTGAGTGCGTAGGTGCCCTTCAGAACGAGCATCTTTCTCAGCAATTTTGGTGTTAATGGCGGGTTGTTCTCTAGCTTTCCCTAGATCGACACGAATTGCTGAGATCGGGTCCGGCTCGAAATAAGCAAGCAACTCGGAGCAATTCGAATACGTTTGAAGCGGCTGCATTCAATCAGGGACGCAAAATTTTCACGTGATACCTCGTGCCGGTGATGATGACACCGAAAGACTTGGTTCTGGTTTGAAATCAATCGTTTTTTTTGGAAATAAACTGTTTCAGAAAGGTGCATTAGTATTCTTAACGAGATTTAAATGCATAAAAACACGTTTATAATGCGAAATTGTGTCTAAATAGTGCAAGAAAAATAAAATTTTATGATGACGATGGCAAATTGCAGCAATTGGTTGCTGCGTGTGATCGCGGGCAGCCCGTGTTGCTGGTGTTGCGACGTAAAGTTTCTGGCCAAAATTGCCCCATCTGAAGCTGGCCTGATTGGCGTGAGGGCCATGAGTGCGTGAGGGGCGTGAGGGGTGTGAGGGCCGCAAGGGCGGTGAGGGGCTTGAGGGCGGTGAGTGGCGCGAGGGCCGTGAGGGCCGTGAGGGTGGTGAGTGGCGTGAGGGCTATGAGTGCGTGAGGGCGATGAGTGGCGTGAGGGCTATGAGTGCGTGAGGGCCGTGAGGGCAGTGAGGGCGGTGAGTGGCGTGAGTAGCGTGAGGGCCATGAGTGAGTGAGGGGCGTGAGGGCGGTGAGGGCCGTGAGGTTCAGTGAAGGGCTGAAGGTGAGTGTGACTGTGAGGGTGAGGATGAGTGAGGGGCTGAAGGTGAGTGTAGCTGTGAGGGTGAGTAAGGGGCTTAGGTGAGTGTGGCTGTGAGGGTGAGTGAGGGCGACCTAAAATGGCGACCTCTGCTGGTTGGTGTCTTTTAGTTTGAGAAATTTTCATAAAGGCAAATTGTGACCTGAGGCTGGTACAAATTGTCTTTTGTTGAAAGGTCCCACAGTGCCCCCCTTCAGATCCACGAAGATGATAAATGACTCTTTTTATGCTTTAGGTGGTCAAATATTATCCTGGATTCCAAAACTTGAAGATGCTGTCAGAATAGTATTTTCAAGTGTAACAATGTACATCCGTGATGAGATATAGCAAACAGATAACAAAGGTTAATTCCAGCTAATAGTGAGAACCTCGCTGAAGGAGGGGGACCATACTGCTTTTTTTGTTTTGTTTTTTGCTCTATGCAGTAGCAGGTGCACCCAACCAGTGTTAGAGTGTGTGAGATCATCTCAGATATCTTAAGAGAAAGTTTGTATAGCAACACCCTCAAAAATATTCATTGCAAAATTAAACTATGCATCGTCAAATACTCATTCTCCACCCAAATGTGGCTGGCTCTAGTGGCCCTAACCAGATGCCAAAGTTTCAGAACCAACCGTTATCCGACTCGAAAATTCCAAGTTATAAAAATTAGATTTATTTTTTTCACATAATTTCAGTTATTAGCAAAATCTGTTCTATATTTGTAATTCTAATTTATCCGCTTATTTTTAAATGTATTTTTGATGCATGTTGAAATACCTTTGATAAGTGTATTTCAGCATCAACATTATAGTTGTTTTTAACATTGAATTTGTATTTGTATTTCCAAATACATTTTCAAGCATTTCTTCCCAACCCTGCTGCATATACTTCAACAAGCATGGCCCGTTTTGGAAAAAAAATTTTTTTGCTGGCCTCCCACATTCTTTTGCGCACAGAAAAATTTCTAAGGAGAAACCAACCAGATGGAGTGGTATCTTATATAGAATCATTCCCTTGCAGGAGTATCTTTATAGACTCGTAGAACATATTTTAATGCTATGTACAGTACATTACAGCACATTTTTGGTTTTGTACACATGATCACAAGAAAAATTGAAATTGTCAGAAGGGCCAGTGATTTCGTGAAACGGACGGAAGACATCGTCGAGTTTCTTTTTTATTAACAGACGCTGCACGGCAGCAGGGGCACTACCATTACCCCACAATGTGACGATATAAACGATCCATTTACAACCCAGTTGGAGCCACCTTTGCCTCAGTTCAACCAAGGAAGCTGACATGTTGGTTCGTCACACTGGGACCACAGTGTGGAGAAAGAAGTGACTAGTTTAGTCGAGCAGTTTCTTTTGTGCTGGCGCTGTTTGGACAATGTCCGCTTTGATCATCCACGAGATGATTCTTTAGTAATAAGGTTGAGAGCTGGGCTAGTTGGTAGTGGTTAAAAATAATGAAATAAAACGGCGCAAAAAGGTACAAAAGGAAGCAACAAACCGGACAGGACGGAGCGCTGACTCGCAACTATGCATTCATATTGATAGACAAGGAGAAAGAAAAACAAGTTAACACTAAGGCAGAAGGAATAAAAAAGACCACATGCAGTAAGAAGTATGCCAAGCCGTTTGTGCCATGTGTCCCTTCTCATGCGGCCGCACCTATGCTGGGCAAACGGGACGCTGCCTGAACGGTGGGCTCAGTAAGCACAGGCACTCTCTGAAAGCTACAGTGGGAAGACACCTTTCAGTTCACCGTAAATAGTGCCTGTGCAAACAGTCTTTTAATACCACCACTATTTTGGGAAGGCACAAAGAAAAAGTGACATGTGTGGTGCTTGAGGCATTCTACATCCACGGTGGAGAAAGAAACTGCATTACGGCAGCGTCAGTGGTGTTGTCTAGGAAGGAGCTGGAATTCCCAAAACTGACAATGAAGGTCCAGTGCTTGCTGTAACGAGTAAATATCATGGGCAGAAGGTATGCGTGCAACAACGTGTTTTCTTTCTCCTTGTCTATCAATGAAAGTACATAAATGCGAGTCAGTCAGCGCTCTGTCCTGTCCAGTTCGTCACTTCCTTTTGTACCTTTTTGCGCCGTTTTATTTCATTAGGATTCTAGAGTGTTGGGAGACATGCCATGTAAAGCAAAAAGGTCCACATCATGTCTCGACCATGTTCGCACCATTTTTTATCATTAGTCCCGTTCTGGCAAGAGCTAATCGTTTCTAAAGACAAAATCTCAGTTGCCAGCATTTATATCTAAGAAACAAAGTGTGGTCCCATAGCAGTATGCACAAATCGCCTAATTATATTAATAAACAAGATTTAGTGCTACTGTTAGCTTTTTAACCTAGCTCAGAACCAGACAAATCAAACTAAGCTTGGGAGGGTTAAGGGGAACAGAAGATTGAGATTGCCAAGGTGGCTTTCTCGAGTAATAAGGTAGTAGCCAGGATGGTCCTAACTTTGGAAAAACTGCTCCGATTGGTCCCTTCCCTCAAGGAAATAAACAAAAAGCATACCGGCACTGGCCGAAGACCACAAACCAAGAGAACTCCAGCAAACAATTTTGACCGAAACCAAGTAAAGAGATGCCCCCAGATTGCAACTTGGTGCCATCCACACACTTCCTTTTGATTCAGACTGCACAGCTACATATGCAATAAACATGAAACGAGACATTGTCACGGACTTGTTTTGTTAAAAAAAGGATAACGCGGGACCTTTCCTCTCGGCGTATTATTGCTTCGACAATCCAACACTTGAGGAACGACCCCCAGTTCTGTACAGAGATGAGATTTCGGGGTAGTGCAGGATTTTTTTTTTTTTTTTTCCAAGTATACATTATATGTAAAACTGTACATAACACACAAAGTCCCAACACCGCTTCCTCCACTAAATACACAGTGGCATCAATGAAGCTGTGTGTGCTCGGCAGAGTGAAGAGGACTACTGGTGTTCACACTCCCAAAAGTTTTGCAAGTTGTCAACTTAGTCCAACAAAGTAATGAAAGTCAACGTTTTTTGAATTTCCTAAATGCAGGTGACTGCAGCGATAGCTATGGAAGGTACATTTCTTGCTCAACCAGCGTGAAAGTCATCGCGTGACAACTCCGTAAGCCTTGACACGAAGCCTGCAATGGCCATAACATTGCAGTTCTGCACCGCAAAGCACCACACTGATACAAATACCATTTTCGGGGTGGGAAATATTGAGTTATGTCTGGCAGCGAATACTTCATAGTCAAAAATAATTTAACTCCTGCATCGATTTTGAAACAATGCCGCACAACGGCCCACCAATCCCCTAAGCAGCTACACATCCGATGGAAAGGAACCAAACTTAAATTGTGCACAGTTTCTTCTCCTTTCTAAAGTGGCATTAGCTCCTGATAAGCGGTCCCTGACCAGTCGACTAAACTACTGCCAGTGACATGCCACCACTGCATGCGTCATCTCCAGGTAGGCTTTTTTGCACAATTAAAAAAAATCACCAAGGTAGTCAAACCTGGTGGCAAGAACTTGAAAAGGAGCTTCTTGGAAGGGAACCAAAAAGAGTGGCAACAAATGTTTTGCCAAGAAATCTAGAACCAAGTCTCTTGGCAAAACGTCCGCTACTACTACTCGGACTTCCTGGAGGTAGCTTTCAAGTCCTCCACGTGTGGCAATGGCATTCCACAGACTGCAGTTGTACCGACTGTCTGAGAGGGGTCCCCCAGCTCCCATTCGGTAGGTTTAGGGAATTGCTCCCAAATACCAGTGAGTGCTTTGGGAAACCACTTTCAAGGAATCGGGATGAGCACGCTCGGTAAGGCACCTTTCCAGCTCGACGCCCCCAGTGAGAGAAACGGAACAGACGGCACGCCCAGTGGCAGCCCCTCACTGAGAATAGTTGTATCGCTCGTCCAAAGACCAGTCCCCCTCAAAGCCACGTCACATTGCCGTAGCTTCGTTCCAAATGCAGGTCCGTTCCATGCGTCGCCACTCATCACGACACTTCGCTCCCTTTGGTGCGTCGATCCCGGTGCGACACAAAGTCCACAAAAGCGTCGACGTCGGTCAGCGGGTTCGGACACGACAAAGACGCCGCCGACCCGTCGCACGTTTCTTCCGCCCCTGGCTTCGTGGTGACGTGGATGATGTCCTCTAGTCGGTTCATCAGCTCCAACAAGCTCTTGATGTCCATCTCGAGGAGCTTCTGCTGACTCAGCAGCTTCCCGAGGGCGCTTCGCACCTTGCTCGACTGCTGAGGCGAGCTGCCCGTGCCGTCCCGTATGTAGCGCAGCATCTGCAGCTGCTGCGTCACGCGCAGCAGCTCTGCCTGCGTCGCCTGGGGCTTGTCTTCGGCTGCCGAGGCACTCCCGCTGGCCAGGCTCAAGTTGTCCCCCGGTCCGGCCATCCCCTCGGCAACTGGCAGAGCAAAACGCCACCAATTTACGCTCGAACTCGCTATTGCCTCCTTCATCACCTGGTTCATTTTTCATTTTGGTATTGCGATGCGTTATACGTTGAACGAGAAGACCTCATTTAAGAACAATGCCAAAACATCACAATAGGAACAACCCAAAGGACAATGCGGATGTACAAAATACATAGATCACAAAAGATATGGTAGAATCTGTCATAAACATGCATACACAAGATTCTAAAAGCAAGGAAAGTACCAATCTCCATATTACAGTATTTGCTCGAGTAATAGCCACACTTCTTATGAACAAGGCCCATGGGTCTGCCCTTCCGCGGAGCACGAGGATAGTGAATTACCGCGATCAGCAGGAAAATGACAGCGGTTTACGGGACAGAGATAACGTCTGCGCAAAATTCCTATCTTGCTCAGATCGCATTTTTATGGAGAATCGTGTTCTTGACTTGTTATTTGCTGCGTTTTTTACGCAGAACGCAATGATTGGCTGTATGTGTGCTATGCAGGAAAGTAGACGCAAAGGCCTTCTTCATAAGAAGTGTGACTACCTCGACCAAATATGGTATTTACCGAGGCAAACTCGACCAACCCAGTCTACTGGGCAGGTGTGAGGGAGAAATCAATGTCTCTCGTAACTGGTAAGGCGGAATGTTTTTTTCTTTTTTTTTTTGTAGCAGGGTCATTGTGGCTGTGGTACAATTAATCCTTAATCATCACCATCATCATTAGTGATGGACTGAATCTGCCGAACTTCAGATTCGGCGAAAATTCGGCGAATGTCTGCACATGCACGAGAAAGCAGTGGGCCATGGACTGCAAATGGACGCCATGCAGTCGTGCGGTTACCATCGCACAGTGTAGTACAACCAGCAGTTATAGCGAGGTGTGGAGTAGACAACAAGGTAACTGTGCATTTGTGAACCTTTACGAGTGTAATTCTCTTCAATATTTTCTGCCTCAAGAACAGAGGTCGACCAGTGATTTACGCAGTCCACTGCACAAGTGACAAATGATGCGGTACATTCTGGATAACATGATTTCCATTTGACCTTTCAAGTGATACAACGAGGTAGTTGGATCATTGACTGACAATTGCTTTAAAGCACTCCTCGCAATTATAACAACCCTGTTTTTGGCTCACAGGTAGTTTGTGCCAAAACAAAATAATATTGCTTTTTAATTAGCGTTATTTTGCGGTTTTCATGTGTCTGCATAAAACTAAACACAGAACTATCATGCTCGACGTTGCACATCCGACATTCCTAACTCTTGCCATCCCGCTACACGTCCGTGTGTGTCCTAACACCAGAAACCAGCATTTTAAAAGTTAAAAACGAGACGCTGCGAATATGGAATGCACACTTTCATGCAAAACTGGCATCAAGTGACTTAGATCGAAAAACATGCATATTTACAATAATATTGTTGTCTCTTCTGGAAAAGTTTGGCAAAAAGTCGGCTTTGCCGAATTTGAAGATTCGGCACCAAATCTTCGATACGGAAAAAGTTTGGCCCACCACTAATCAACACCTTTGATGTTCTTTAGATCATCCACGTAGCAATTGAAACGAAGCTGCGTAGCGAGAATAACAAAGTTCTACAATGCGATCGAAGTCAAACCACAGAGGAACCTCGACACCACAAGCTTTCCTTGAGAGGGAAAAGGCCACCACTTCCGAGTCGCTGACTTTTCCACCGTGGCATAGCCTCGTTAGCATTGCCTCGCGGTTCTGCCGACACATGAAAGGGAACCAGGGATGGGCATTCTATGGCAAAGCAAACTTTAGGCTCGTTCACACACTTGCGTTTGCTTACGATAGAGTTGTTGCAATCCCTTACGACGAGAGTACACGCTGGCGCCGTCTATGGGGTGACCCTGGAACTGCATTTCACTAGAGTTGGTGCACGAGAAACTCTTCCCACCACTTTCCACTTTAGCAGAGCAAACATTGGAGGGGAGATCGCCTCCTCTCCAGTGTTCGCTCTGCTAAAGTAGGGAGAGGATTTTCCCCTGAACTCTTAAAGGGACACTGACTATGGAGCCAAGGCTATGATATATTTGCAAGATTAAGTGTACACACTACAAATGAGAAATGCCCGTTTCCATCGGGGGTCTCTAAACTTTTTGGCTAAGCGGCCGGATCGGGGATCTTTTCGCTGTCTCAAGGGCCAGGAAATAAATAAGTAAATATAAACAGGAAAAACTAAATGAGCAATCCTATAGATAAGCATTTCAATATGAAATTGAAAGTTAGAGTAAACATTAAGAAAGAAGAATAGAAGGTGGATGAATATATATGTACATTATTTATAAATCAAATATTTAGCTAATTATGACATTGCACAATAATTGGGAGTCAGAGAACTCAACAGGCATAAATCAAAGTGCATAGAAACTTTGGCACGTTCTGACAGGACGGAAGACTAATGACAATACAGTCGACTCTGATTAATTCAAACTCTCTTAATTCAAACCTGCGGATAATTCAAACTAACATGCAAGTCCCATCCTCCGGTAATTCACACTTTGCTTTATTCAAACGAAGTTTCGGCCCCCCTCAAGTTAGAAATAACGAGATTCGACTGTTACAGAACTGACGCTGACAATATGCAATAGATACGGCACAGGACACTAAGCACAATGTACAGGTGGGAACGCGAAGGAATTTTAATGTAATACAGATGTGAAACAAGAAACTACTACTACTAATAATATTTCTTTATTATTCCGCGCTCCCGAACGACCGAAGTCTTGATATGGTGATTCTGGTGATGAAGCTCTCGAATGAATAATATCATAATAAAACGCACCTTTTCTCTCAGTTTTTTCTCGTTTTCTTTGCTATCTTCGTTTACGCGGTTGGTCTGTACTGCGGCTCTGTTCCTTTACGCACACTTTGTTTTGCACAGGGCAAGCCTTGTGGAAGTGTGCCGCAAGAGGGACTTCATTGGAAGAACCACGGCCAGCACAGAGCGGTCTGAAGACCTCCGCGTGCTGGGGCTTGGAGAACCCTGGTTTATAACATTGTCAAAAGCTTAGCGAGCAAAAGAAAGAAAAAAAAAAAAGAATGATGTGCAAAAAAATAGAAAATATACGTAAATGGCAAGAAATATAACAACTCCCCAATAGATGGCACCAGTGTGTTCTCTCGCTTATTACCAACAGGTGGCAAGCAGTCGCAAGTGTGTCAAGCACCCTCTAAAACGACGCACTGACGAAAGAGGCAAGGCACGCTCACTCGTGGCAATGTTGAAGTCGGCCAACTTCACAATCAGGCCCGGGTTGTCCTTGAAGGTGTTGAGGAGCATCTCCCCGTCTTCCGTGAAGAGGAATACGACGGGAATCTGGACGTCGTCCGTCCCGTCCCCAGACATGGCGAATGCGGGCGACAGCCGGGCATTGGTGCCTGCCTGGTTGTCTGGAACACGCACAGCCTTAAGTGTTAGCGCTGATTTCAGGCGAGGTATTTAATGTAGCGTCCAACTCCAAGGCGTGTGCGTTCTACGAGGTGTGCCCCCAAAATATTTACGGGTTTTCTTTTACTGCAGAAACAAACTACCCTATGCATCGCTGAGCACTCATTCTCCACTCAAATGTAGCGCCAGTAGTTCAAACCGGATGCCGGAGTTTCAGCAGAAACTGCTATCTCATTCAAAAGTTCTAAGGGACTTTCGAAAATATTCAATGGGAAAATTGCGGCCGACAGAGATCCACACATGGAGCTGAATGGCGCCAATCACCTAAAGCGGGCCCCATTTTTCCATTGAAATTTTCAGAAAATCATCTACAATAACTTTTGAATAAGATAACGCTTAGTTCTGAAACTTTGGCCATCTGTTTCCGACCGCTAGAAATATATTTGGGTGGAGGCTGGGCGTTCGGTCATGCAAAGTTCATTTTTGCAGTGAAAAGAACCGTGTAAATTTCTTTCTCGGACACGTTGTACATCATGGGGCAGCATTCGTACAAATATATTTACAGACCTGCCTGCTTTTTGTTTTTAAAGACTGTGTACAAATAGAGCTCCAAGATAATAATTTTACGTATATGCATTGACCTGTCCACATGGATTAACTCTGGGACCAAAAGGTGCACCCTTCCAGGGGCAGTGAAGGACACATGTTCAGCCCCCCCCCCCCCCCCCCCCTCAACAAATTTAATACTGTCCACTTGCGCTGCAATATCCTTTATAGACCTTTTCATTTTTGTAGTTGCCTCACCGGCGGATAGAGGGCGCTGACGCACCCGGCGCCATTAGGTTGCTTCAATTTGGTTGGTTTCGGTTCCAACGTGAACGCGGCTATGTTGCTGTTTTACGTTGTTTTTGCTTAATTTTGCGATAGAATATTTTTCTTGTACCACACAACTAATGAAACAGTTGTATTGAGCCACTTTGAGGACTACGAGGTGTATTTTAGCCTAAATTGCGGGCTTTTTTTACCAACTCCTTTGATGTATCTGATTATCGTCGGTTGCGAAACGTCTGACTGAGTTACAGGAAAGAAAGCCATCGTCACCGGCCGTACCAATGACACCAGTTTCCAGAAAAAAAAAAAAAAAAAGGTAATGAAAAGACTAGCATGTGAATGTAAAGAAGCATTTCGACAGTTTGATTAGCAATGTGCTGAATCGGCCAGAACAGATGAACTCTCGAGTTTACTACTCACTGTTTGGTTTTCGTGGGTACCCAACCTTTAGTGAACTTCGCAGACTAACAAAGTATCGTGTAATGACGCAGATAATTGATATAAACAAGTAGTATCGTCTCGGCCTCTTTTTCTTTTAATTGAGTACTCGAGCATGTTTTGACAGGCCGAGTAGGAAATTACTTAAATTATAAACCCTGTTAAAGTACTCATAAACAGCATTTCACGATATTGGCTCTAGGAAATAAATGATTTTTATATTAATCTTTGCTTACTCAAGATATAATTTAAGTGACAGGCCCGCCAAATTAAATCTAGCATGCATTTGTGTTCCGTAAAATTGGCCAAATAATGTTAAAGGGCACAGGAAGAGAAATACCTCGAAAAGTTTGGCTGAATTCTAGCGCTAGGCACCACTTCACGGACCTGAGTGAACAAACATTTATTTGTTTGTACATATTCGCTTTGTAAATTTCGGCGTCGCCAGCCACCAAAAGTAAATCTGTATTCGCCATCGACAATCCTGGACTCAAGTAATTGTTATGCGGACGGCTTTGCTTTTTGTTGCTTTCTGGCGTCAAATATTGCGGAGCTTAGATACTGGCAAAAAATAAAACAGCGCATGCAAAAAAAAAACAACAAAAAAAAACGAAAACAACATTGTTTTTATTGCGCATGCGCCGAACCCAAACCGCGTTTTGTATTTGTAAATAGAAACAACGTTATTTCTTTGCACACGCTATTCTAAAACTCGCTACTCTTCAGTGTCTGTGGCAGTTTCTTACACGCGGGAAGTCTCTACCTGTGTGTTAAAATAAATTAAGTGGATGGCACTGGTTATCTAAATATAATCAATAAATCACTTAATTGACTGTCGAAATGGGAGCGATCACGGTATACAATTTCTTAAACTTCATAAGTAAACCGACCGACCGAATGTTTACGTTGCAAAAAAAGATCGAGGACCTCATACATATGTAGGTGTGATATTATGAACAAACAAATCGCCTGATATTGACGTACCGTGACTTGCCTCAAATACAATGCAAGTTAAACGTTCGTTCTCTATCTCCTTCTCGAGTTTCCTGGCGTAATCAAGAGAATCTGTTTTCGATATATTATGAATGCAAAGAACGATGCCTTCAGGAAATACAGACAGTCTGCTTGCACTGACTATTATTGACGCCTTCCGATCCCAAATGCGCGATATAAATATACGGGCTTCTGACTGAAAATGTTCCGCCACTATTAGTAAACAAACCTCAGTTGTCATAAGGACCCTTGAAACTTCGTAATATCTTAGTCGTCGAGTAGACGTATCGGACTACAGTTTCCGAAGTAAGGCAAGAAAGCGCGCTGAAACGCGTCGAAAAACATGAACACAACGCATCCGCCAAGGCGCGAAGGGGAGAGCGGAGCAGCAAGTTGAAGCAACCTAATGGCTGCCACGTCACGTGATTCCAAGATGGCAGCGCCCATGCGGAGGGGGATGAAAAGGTCTATAGGTGAAATCTGAAGAAGTGCCGATGTCGTGCTCATGCTAACAGCATTGCACAATATGCAAGACACACTGTTAGCACAAACTCGTGAGTACTGGTTTTGAAAACCTGACACCAAAACTCATGTGGTGGAAGTACTCATAAAGAGCACTAACATAATTAGTGTCATATGGTGCCTGCAAATAACCTTTCGCAGTAAAATGCAAAAAAGCGCCGGTGTCGTGTTTGCTTCAACAGTCGTGTAGTGCACATCGCGCATACACCACCCACCGCATGCACATGAGACACATGGACTGTTGCGAGCTAACTGGCACACAGACACAGTCTGCTGGGAATTTTATGCGGCAGTTGTAAACAGAAATGACGATATTTAGCGCAGCATGAAAATTGAACCTGTAGCGGATTTTCCATCAAGCATACAAAGTGGGGAGCGAGTCACTTGGAATCAATCTCACAAGCTGGAAAATTTGGAACATGACATGTTCACGGCACATTGCTCCTTATTCCCACCATCAGGTACTGCCCGATTAATTTAGTCTTCACATCAAACCGCTTTTGTAGCACACGCACAACACATGTATTTCTGAAGCCCTTACTTCACCACCCCTGTCGGGCACAACCGGGAGGATATACCTCTGTATGTTCAGCAACGTCCACAATTCTCGTTTTGTAATCTAGCTTGGAGCTTAGCAAGGAAGAGTGAGGTACAATAAATATACGCACCTAATACAATGCCTCCAATGGCCCCAAGTGCCTGAATTTTCCGAGCCTTTGAGAAGAAAAGAAGACCAACATTGCACCACAGTATCCAGACACTAACAATGCTGTAAAGTCTCAAACGCATTCAAGTGTGGGGTCCAGTTAGCCCACCCCCAAAAGAACAGGGGCCAGCGGAGAAAGGGGCAATGTTTTGCTATTTTGGGACAGAAAAACAAACAAACAGCAGTGGTCGTTGCAAAGCAGTAGACTGTTACCCCAGAGATTAGCCGACTGCGCCAGCAACAGCACAAAGATTTCCTAGAGAAGCAACCTCATGCCATCTGCTCTTTGTAAGCTCACCGTTTTGCCATCTTTAGCTTTCATTTGCATATATGACTAATTTGGGCCCACACCTGATGTTATAAGAAGATTTAAAACACGAACATACTGGCAGTTTTTAACGGAGTGAGAGCACGCACAACGTCTTGACCTGTCGCACTCTACAGGCATAGAAAAAAATCTCTTCATACGGCAATTTTTGCTTTCCCGACAATTTTTATAGCAGCATCGTAAGAATTGTCTAACAGTTAGAAGCCCGGGCTTCTAACTGTTTATCTTTGATAGTTGCTGCTGCTGAGCGAGAGTTTGTGCAGCGGAGGTGCCTTCTTGAGCAAAGAGCTCTCACTTGTAGCCTAGTACTGGTATTACCATTACGGTTGATTTATGCGAGAGAGGACTGGGATGCAAATATTTAGACAAAGTAATATACTCTGTCCAAAAGAAAACAGAATAGTGCAAAAAAAGTGTGAACACGTTATATGAGCAGAGCTCCTTTTCAAGCAGAAATGAATCGACGATATAAAACTATTATTCATGGTATACGTGGCGCTCAAGGCGTGGGAATGAAATGGGGGTTCGCAGTCACAGGATGCTTGCGGGCCGCGTGTTTGAGACCCCTGCTGTAAAGTAACTAGTACTAATTAAAAGTACCGAAGCTATTGTAATTAGTTACGATTTGTGCAACTCCATACTTCCCTAGTTACAATAAAATTTCAGTAATTGCAACTGCAACTTGCAGGGATGGGACTGGGCAAAACAGCTTTGGAGCAATCTTGGGAGCAAACAAAACTACAGTTTGGAGCAGGCTGGGAGCAGAAAAGACGAGGTCTTGGAGCAACTTGGGAGCAGGGTACGAGTTTTAAGAATGGTAAAATAGAGGTGAAATGTCATCTGGTTTTCAAAGCTCAAGGAAATATGGTATGCAGATAGCCCCATGTGAATGAATAGTAGTTTCAATTAATATTTTATTTGAAACATTTTTTAGGAAATGAAAAGAAAATTACACAAAAAATATAAAGCAAAACTGCACGACAGTGTGAAATGCCATGGAACCGACTTGCAAACAGGTAAATATAAACAAAGAGGCAGAAATAGTTTTCAGCTCGTACCTCGCTCCGTCATATGCCTCACTGCTCACTCGCCTTTGTTACGTTCTGGAGTTTTCTCCGCAGGGCCTCGGGGCGGGGCTACGCGGGATGAGGGCTTGCAATACACCTTTCCATAAAAGCGTATTGAAGTGCGTTCATTGCTGTGTTTGTGTGTTATGCACGCGCAGCTTCTGGCTGGCCGCAAATGCGGGTTAGCGCGGGCTAGACTGATTTTGCACGTGTGGACAGTGATTTTTGTAAACAGTGGAAACGTCTATAGTCACGCAAGAACAGCCAAGAGGGAGGTGCGCCAACCTTAATACATTTGAGTTTATCGCAATGTGGCGGCACTGTTTGCTCCACCATTCGGATGAAGTGACTCCAGGACTCCAAAAAAGGAGGCAGCAACGGCAGCTATACTTCGTTTCAGCTTACGTCCAGATGCAGCCAATGCTACAAGCGCCAGCATGTGGCCTCGAACGCTGCTAGCACTGCACGACTGCGCACTCTTGGCAGCGATGCCGAAAGTCCTGAGCTCGCGCTTGTAGCATCGTCTGCGTGTGGACTTGGACGAAGCGGAGCGACAGCGAATGGCTTCAAAGAGGTCTGGCAGCAGAACCATTGCAATGAGGGATGCTGTAACAACTGTTTTAAGCTAAAACAAAGTATAACCATGGCAGCGACCTCTGGATGCAGAGCTTCGGATTCGGGTCTACCGGCGTTCCCCCTGGGTGAGAAGTTCCAATGTCGATGTTGCCAACAGAAACTGCGAGACAACTAATTTTGACAAGGCTCGTTTATAATTTCAGTTTTGGCACAATTCCCTTCTTATTTATATGTACTTTTGTATCAGTGAGGCGCACAAAAAGTCATTAGGCACACAATGACGCAATGGCTGCAGCAGTTCCATCCCTGAACTTGGTTACCGTAGGTTACTGGACTAACTTCTGAGTTTAATTAGTTATTTCTCAAAAATATACAAATACACAACGTCACATTGATCAACGTCAACATCAGTGCTGCAAGTTGTCACCACGTAAAATGCTGTTGCAAGAAGATGGCTGAATCAAAACAGCACTGAGCCAAAATCTTTTGCAAGTGAGATTAAACCTTTAGTCAACATCCTTGGTACATGTCAACATCGTGGCATGGTTAAAGAGTAATAGGAATATGTACACTTAGCTGACTTTCCTGAGCTACTGTAACCACAACAAGATATATCTGGTAAATATAATTTAACCATATTTCTAACTAAAATTCATTTCAACTCAAGCGACCATAAATGTACTTCTAACTACTTTTTAAGAGCAGCTTCTTTAGAAACAATATGCGTCGTAAAACAAGGACAAAAGTAGAGGGACACAGCACGAAGCGTGTTGTGTCCCCCTCTTTTCGTTTCTGTTTTAGGCACATATTGTTTAAAGATCATGAAGCAACTGGCCCCTCTATTCATTTTAATTAAATTTTTCTAGCTCCGCTACTGCGTAACAGAGAAAGCCAAGCTGCAAGCAGAGCCATAAAAGTGTGCAACGACACTGACCAAGAAGCTTCTTCGTAGTAGCGTAACTTCGAGGATAACAGCGTACATTTTCTTTCGGCCTCTCCTTCGCAGAACTTGATGACGAAGTTGGGGAGATCGCACTGGTAGCGTTGTCAACGATACGTCCCCCAGGGTTTCGTCGTCCGGCCTTGAGATCCCCGCGGTGACAATATTTAAATGCTGCCCATACAGTGGACACGAACACAGCAAGAACATCCGACTAGCGTTCGTGACAATCAATGCCTCGACGTGCATTCGGGTAGTGGCTCATGCCCAACCACGGTGACAACAGAAACAGGAAGTTGGAGCATGCCCTGTACTTTGCTAACTTCGGAGTGAGGCGGTCTTTAGTAAAAGTACAAAAAATGTTGCATCGCCCCTGCACGCTGTCAGCGAGTACGGCAATCCCAAAAGAGACTAGCCTCGGACGAGGAAGTCACCCTCAAAAAGGAGGACGTCATTGAGTCGGGAGACACCCTACCTTCTCGACGAACATGCACTCTCCTCTCTCCATGACGGCAATCTTCCCGGCGAGGTCCGGGCCGTTGCGGAGCTCCCCGCATCCGCGTTTGGGGTCCACGAGCACCAGCGGACCTTCCACCTTCGGAAGGATCGGGGCCAACATGCGAGAGGAGCCGTGGGTTAGGAGCCGCACCCCTCCCGGGCCCGCCGGGGGCGGGGCTATGAGGGAGCGGGCAAAGCACCTCATTGGCCGGCTTGCTGAGGTCCTTGCCGAACTGGGCGGGGCCGGCCTGGAGCACCATCCGCATCTTGGTCGTAGGCAGGGTGAACGCCACTGAACGCATGTGCTGTTCTGCATGGGGAACACGGGGGAGGAAGGAAGGAAGGTCAGAGTCTCTGCGCAAATCTTAAATGGATCTCGCTTTTGAATCTCTTCTTCGCAAAATCCTGACGATGTAGTTGCGGGGATCTCCGGCTTGACTTATGTATGTATCCTTAGTCACGAAGATTACCCCTTGGTGACAATGATAATAATATAATATTATGTTTATTTCCTTTTTGCACTCAAACAAAAAGAGGAAGGCAGGGCAAAAAGCTGCTTACGAACAGCTTGACTAGGTTCAGCCTCCCTCGCACACTTTGACAAAAAGCAGTGGAAAAATATTTCGACAGAATATATTGCTCAGAAGTTATTAGTCAACATTAGAATCTTGTACAAACGGCAAAGTTTAAAATATCAAGTTACGTTAGTTATACTTCGGTTCATTCATTAAGAAGTGATGGTAGTAAAATCATTAAGAAGTGATGGTAGTGTATACCTAAAGGATGACAGCCGTAACTGGTGTGCGGAGTATTGACACACCAACTCTCACCATGTCAAGTTACGTAAGATGGAATTTTTTCTCCAAACCTGACAAGATGAAAAGAAAATTTTTTTTTTTTTTTATCGCTGCATTGTATACACACATCAAGCGATAGTTGTACAGATCACTGATTGACATAATTTTGTATTTCATAAAAAATTCACCAGAAGCATGCAAAAAAGAAATGTTTGCTTAAACACAAACTACTTTCTTTTGTGCCAGGAATAGCCCTTCTCATTTTCCTTTGTCGTTAGGCCCCAAACTATGTGACAGTAAACATAGAGTATAAACCAAAGAGTAAAGAAGCAATTCACTCGCTCAGGAACAGATGGCGAATTTTGCATACAATTCCAACAGCTTTACAAATGTTTCTACGAAAATACTAGCGACAGCCGAAAGCGGCTAATGGAAAGGACACGTGCGCTATGTAAGCGCTTGACTGGTTACAATGGACGCCTCGGCAAATGATAGGGTAGTGGCCCGTGTCCAAACACTGCAGTGACGGGAATGGCCAAACTACAATACTATCTGGAGATCGGCACCTTCCCTGTGCTTTGTTGACCGCAGTATGAAGCTACGACCAACACTGGTGCCATATGTATGATTGGCATAAGGGCATGTTGCCACTTTTCCTGGCAGTAAGTTGAAGGAGCTGCTGTTTTTCTCTTTTTCTCCGCAACTGCCAGGACATCTAGAGAAAAAAATATTGCTTGCTTTCTAAGTTAAGAACATCAAGCATTAACTCTCAGCAATATGTACTGAAAGTACAAAACTTATTGCACCGTACCTTTATTCTAGAGATGCCATTGAACCCAATTCGAAAAGGCCCAAAACTGAATACTGCCACATCATTTACTGCCTTTTCACCACAAGGGTAGGCCATTTATCAATCGGTCCCCTCTGCACCGTGAAAGCTGGGAACGATGCAGCACAACGCTCATCGAGACTTTTTCAACTGGGTTGCATGGAACCTCTAACTAGTACCCATCCTTCTTTTTCTGAGCACATTTATTGTTCCTCGATAAGCCACCTTAGTTGCATCACTAGTACCCTGTTTTTTTTATCTTCGCACTGCAGTACGAGCCAGAGCGTATGTGTTACTGCTAAAGTTCAGAGAGAAACTGGGAGTGATTTTTGAACCAAGATGAATATAAATGAAGGGGCTTCCTTCTGGCAGGGTAAGCTCCAGGCCATGCACCCTCCCCCCCCCCCCCCCCCCCCCGAGCACCCACCTTGGTGGTTCTGCTGCTTGGCCAGCTCGATCATCTCTTGCATGAAGAGCAGACCCTCCTGGGCATCCTCCTGGCTCTCCGCCTGGAAACAATGGAAACCAGAGGTCACCCGGTGAAATTCCCTTCAGACTTTGGGAAGTCTTCAGGAATGCCTAAAGAGAAACTCCACTGTCAAAGTATGCACGCAGAATGTTTCGTCGGCCGAATTTCATAGAAATGTGTAACGTTTTCATGTAACGAGAAGCCGACGCCGAAAAGCGTTATGTTCAACAGAGTGATGCAATAGGGAATCAGATAAAAGACTAGAAAGAAGGAAGTCTCCAGCAGGATCTGAACCCACAACCTTGATATTGCGAGCCTAGTGCTTTACCGAGTGAACTATACACCTTTCCAAAAAACGCTCCTAGGCTGCCGCCATGTTGCTGATGCTGATGCGGCTGGTGCTACTCTCGCGCCCTCTATCAGCAAGAAATTTTCTGCCACTCTCTTGGACTGTAAAGACCCGCTTAACGCGGTTCTCTACCTACGTTTTAGCGGTTTTGCATTTCACGTTTTCTCACCTCTTGAAAGTTTCCACTTAATTTTTTTTATGCGTGCTGCGTACCCTTTTTGTGTTATCTTCCATAGTGAGAAATAAGGCTGGTAAGTGCCTGCCATTCAAGCTTTTCTGCTTTACATTCAAGGGAAACGAAGAAGGTGAAGGACGTCGAACGACCCTCGACGCGATTTTGCAAGCATTGTTCTCCCCCCTCTCACAGAAAATCCGCGCAGAATCCTCAGTCCTCTCCAAAAGTAGTTGTCCGGGTTGGGGTGGGAAACGGGTCAGTCGCGTTCGTTCCTTTGCCTTGGTGCGGTAGTGAAAAAAGGAAGCTCTCCTCAAAACGTGCCCCAAAACGAAGTCATCTCAAATTCCGTCCGATCGTCAAGATATGACTGTCGTCGACTGTGACTGTGTTATTACAGATCTTTCTCAAATAAATTCTTTTCAGATAACGCTGCATCGTGTGGTACATACGATATATTGTTCGAATGTTAACACTTCCTCAATTGTATGTCCGTGTACTGTCCATCGGTAAACACATTATTTGTGAGCATGAACGGCATTAACATAAGTCAGATGAACCATTTTCACACTGAATTTGCTCCACATACAGCTGTCTACAAACTCTTCAGGGGCCGCATGCTTAAAATTGCTTTTACTTATTCTGCAGAGTTACCAGGGATTAGCGAGGAAACCAAATAAAAGTGAGCTTCCGACAAACATATTATTCACGGAATAAAAATAGTACAGGTTTTTGAGCAAGAACGGAAGGTTATCCAATGAATCTGGCTTCAAGTACGCTCTGCTCTCTCGAATAATGCAGCCCGCGGCACTGAAGTTCCTTTCACTACTGACACTTGTTGCAGGAATGCATAGAACCTTCTTGGCGAGAAGGGAAAGACGTGGAAATTTCTTGCTTCGAGACTCCCACCATTTCAGCAGGTTACCAATGTTTTCACAAGACTCGCCGGTCTCCGGTTCGGGCTGCAGCCCCGAGACCAGCCTGGGCCCGCAGTCCAAAGCTTGAGCCCGGCTCAGGCCCGCAGATAAAAGCACGTGCCCGGCCCAAGCCCACCAAAAAAACCACCTTGCCCAGCCCGGCCCGTGGGCTGGCTCAGGTTCGGAATTTAGGGTCAGCCCGAGCGTATGTAGTGTTCTAGCTCGGACGCACCTGTGCTGCGTTGTGGATGAGCTGGATCCGTCCGTCTGCCATCAGGGTGACAAAGACTCCCATCTTCTTGACCAGGTTCAGGTGCTCCTTCTTGCTGGCCTCAAACTGAGAGGCATGTAGTCTTCTGGCACTGCACATGCCAAAAGGAAAAGCTACCTTCCTCTGGGTTCTTGTTTATAAAAGAGCACTTTAACGAGAAGAGAATAGACCAGTCAGTCATAAAATTACCGTAAAGTACTGAGCAGCATCCACTGAAAATTTTAAAATAATCTTGAGAAACTGGAGGATGCACATTTGTTAGCGCATGATAAGGTGAGCTGCTTCACTGTATATATTCATATTTTTAGTATATATCTTTAGTATAGAAACATTTTACGCAAGTAGTATCAGCAAAGTGTTGCCTGTCATGTCACTCATTACAAAAGAATCTCTCTATAGCAGTCAGATTGTCAAGAAAATTAAGTTTTTGATAGCACACATCTTACATCAGTACCTCTTTCTTTCTTTCTTTAGAAAGAAAGAGGTACTGATGTAAGATGTGTACCGCTTATAGTGCAGGACCGGGTATAACGCGGCTTTTTTGAACCAACGGTTCGCCTCCCATAGAACTCCATGTAATTACATACCGCTTAAAATGCAGGCGCGCGAAGGGAAATACCGGTTATAGTGCGGTTTTTGGAACAGCCCGGCGACCGCGCCGACTGACCGACGCAGAGAGCACGCTTCCCTGTGCGACACTAGATAACGGCGCGAGCCGCAACAACGCCGCAAGCGGCACTCACGGGGCAAGGAGGTTGCTCGAAGAAGCGGGGAGAAGCGAAGAGAGAGGCTTCAGTTGCCATAGCGACGGAGGGACGCACGCACGTGTCGTTCACGTGCGTGCGTCTCTCCACTGCGTTGGAAACGTTGGAAACAACTGCAACGACAGACCAATCGCAAGTCGAGGAGAAGTGTTCGCGCGCGTTGCATGCCGGTCGCGAGCCAGCCGGCCGGCTGCTTCTATCCGCAAACATGGCGTCGGTTTTGATCGTCGACGTAGGCGGCGTGGTAGAAGCTCATCATTCCGCGTAAAAGCGCTATCCTTGACTGTGAATTTTCGTTGTGTGTCGCTATGATAACCCAGCACGTACTAGAAGGGAAGATCCACCTACTCGTGCGGCGATGTTGTGGCGGCACTCTCAAAACGGCAGATACGCCCGTGTCGTCATGTCTGTTTACTTCGACTACAATGGTGCTTTCTAAGCATTTGTGTTTTCGAACATCGCCCGAATTTCTTATTTGGAGCATTTCATGCCTGTGCTCAAGTTGAAGGTATTACTGGCGCGTACCGTATAAAGGATGCGAATTTTCACGCGTTTTCATCGCCGGAGAAAAGTGATTAGGGTTAGCAATCCTGAACGCTCGCTACGTCCGTCCGCAACCTGCGACGCCGTTAAAAGGCTGCGCCAGGCAAAAGTCACTCATTTCTTTCAAAATGTGTGACACACTTGAGAGAGAAGTGTACTAGTCTGGTGAAATAAAGACTTTCCTCAAACTAAGCTTTATTTTTCATCTAACATAAAATAAATTCTTTTACAAAGGTAAGTTGTGTGATGGCATGCATTTTGGCCTGAAAAATTGATGTTTTGGTTACAGCGCGGTACCGCTTATAGTGCGGATTTTCGCGACTCCCGCGACATACGTTATGTGCGGTCTTCACTGTGCTACTTCAATCATTACTCAGTTTCGCATCATTATGCCCATATTCTCACTCTATATCAGTCTAATATACAGAGGTTCTACTATAGTAGTAAGACCAAAGATTCTACTGTCATGACTGCTGTGCCTCTTGGCAACATGGCAATTCTTCTCATGGTGCACCTGCCTATGTATGCTGGCAACATGACAACCCCTTCTCTGGTGCCTGCCCATACCTGTTGGCAACATGGCCCCATGTTGCCAACACAGTTGGAAGTTGGATGTTAACGGCAGTACCCTTTATAACAGGCGGTACCTGGTGCCTCCCAGCCTAAAAACCAAAATGCACGACTTCTCCCGTCCCACAAAGCCAATTACCTTCCAATCTGCATTTTTGCTATCACCAGGTAGTGTGGGGTATCGCCAGGATGACCATTGGGGGATTGGGCAAGAAATATAAAAACACGCAGAGTCGTCAATTTTCCTCCGGCCAAACCTCGTCAGCGTCACCCCAACCCCGGGCCCACTGGGAGACAGGGTTAGGACTTTGGGCCACGTGGGAGGGAGTGCCGATTTCCCTCTATCCCACCGGTCTCCCAACTTGGAGCAAGATGGCACGCAGCAACGTGCACAGTCTGAAGGGAGGGCACTCACGCGGGGGTCCGTGAGGGGCAGGCCCCTTCCACCAGGTCCTTGAGTGGCTGCCTGACCGAGTGGGCAAAGTTGGTCTTGGGGAACAGGAAGTGGGTGTTGGGGCACGACTGGGCAAACTCCTCGTCCGGCGCGAAGAACATCATCCGGGGAGACTGCCCAAGGAAGGAAAATTCCCAAAGTGGTGTCGTGAAGACCCGAGCACACTTCCCGCACCCTTCCTGCCCGCCCTTTGAAATAACCTGTCCTAAACTTGCGACCAGGGAGGTGAATAAAAATCAATATGGTTTAAATCGTGATTAAAATCGTACCAGTTTTACTCTCATGATTAGATCAAACCTTGCCCACAAAAATAATCCTGAAAATAGTTCTTTTATTTACCGCTTGTCTATCATTTGAAGTTTTCTATTGGCATCTGTTTTGTTTCAATCGAAGAATCATAGAGCAAGAAGGATTCATCCGAGGCTGAGCACGAGCAAAAATAATTGCTCTCCGAGCAAATCGAAGCATCGAGCTTGATTTCTACCTTCCAGTTTGTTCCTCAGCTATGTAACGTCCTATTGCAACAAAATAAAAATAAAAAAAAAATAAAAATAAAAAAAAGAATTAGAAAAGTAATGTTCTATCACAGTTAAGTCAAAACTCGACAGAAAAAGAAAATAAAGATTTTTAGCTAACTAAACCATATCAAGCTGTTCTTGTTCTAATATGGCCGGGACTACAGTAATGAAAAGTTGCTAATTTAACCTGTACTTTACATTTAGAACAATCCTCTCATCCGCATTGTCGTCACTGATCGGACAAATTGATAGAGCAATCTGCCACGCTCAAAGGTAAAATCCGTAAAATCCCATAAGGATGCCCTCCCCTAAAAGATCGCCCATGCCGTTTTTTCTGGCTAAATATTCGTAACATAAATATTCCAGAACATTGCCTGCTCCCCGATTCCCGACAGATGTCACACAATATCCGACAGAATCGCATCAACCACACGATTTGTGGTACCGCTACGTCTGGCAAGCGAGTTCCCGCGTTTTTGACGGCAATCTGCAAGCACGACATTGGTTCCTGTAACATGCGAGTTTGAATCTGTTGTGTCCATGATTTGTTGTATCCGTTCCTGTGACATGCGAGTTTGTAGCGGATTCCCGCATGTTTATCAGATCGTGAAATGCGAATTTGCAGTGTCTGCTGTTAGTTCTTGTGTCACGTGGACCATTGTAAACATTACGAGTATTGTAAACACTACGAGTATAAACTTACAAAAATAAAATCAAAATGCACACATTCGACGCCGATTCTGATATTGCCAAGCTATTTAATAAGTTAAAGAAACAGTGTGAAGATTTTAATTAAAAGAAATTATAGCTCGTAACTTATACTCTTTATCTACGTACAAGTGAGAGAAAATGCACCACATTTCCCCCGAAACACTGCAAGGCCGCCGTGTAACCGCGAAGAAAAAAAACTCACATTATTTGCCGATCTGCAGTTGCATGTGGTAGTTACAGGAACTATGGTGTATTGCCGTTGGGAGTATACGAAGTTCGACAAAACCAGTTCCCCTCTGCCGCTACACCCGTTGACAGCCCCGTGGTAAACCATCTCTTGTCTCCATCGCTTGCTGCGACCTTCGATGATACTAATGTTCAAAAAGTCGAAAACCACAACGGCCAGGGTTTCTGAAGACAGGACCCAACGAGAAACCAGGTGGTAATCTCAGTGATGTCATTCAAAGAGGGTGTGTGAGAGTTGAGGGGTACTCCAACCTTCGATTTGTTTACTTTCTTTAGATGAAAACTAGCGCGCGCAACGGGTGATGGTTTTCTGTTCTTCAATCCATCTGTGCCACAGACTTCTTCCCACAGTTAATTGGCCAAAGACCAAAGATTGTTGCACTGCACCTTTGAAGCGTGTAAACAGACCCGTCGGAAGTGAGAAAAAACTATATTATGCGAGGCTTTGGGTAGAGCGCAGTATCTCTACCCTGGTGGGGTGGAAAGTCTTGACAGGCAAGACAGTGCACAAAGGCTGCGATGCCCACCATGTTGAAGTGGGTGCGGTTGATCCTGGCCAGGCTGAGGGGCAGCAGGTGAGCCTCCGTGGTGAACACAAACTGGTCCAGGTCTAACAGAATGTCCTCCGGCGACGCAAACAGCAGGTACAGGTACTTGAAGGTCTCCGCCAGCACAAACGAGTCCATCCTGACAACCGGAGGAAGCGGGTCTGTTAGACAGGAAGAGCGCGGCCTTTGCCCAAGGGAAGAGGCCGCTTTCCATTCCTGTTCGTCACTCCTTATTACTGTATTTTCAAGATTATAATCTGCAGAGTATACACTTTAAAAGTTGTAATTTTATGCGGTGTAGACTTTCTACAGGTGCAGACTATGTTTTTTTAGGTTCATTCGTTTTGACAAGAAGCCATGGATGTTGTGAATGACAGATTATGTACAATAATGATCATTTCTGTATCCTACGAGGTATCTTTAGGCACTAATAAAGCGGCCATTTTTCTTTGGTATTCCGAACATGAGAATCTGTTACGCATGAAATATGCACCAGGTGGGCCTCGTTATCAAGAAAATGCTGCTCCTTTAGGGAGAGAAGCGAGCGAGATGGGATGAAGAAAAGGAATCGAAGTGACGATGTGGACGAGTCGAATAATTCTTACAAATTGGCGATAGAGCGTGCAATAAACAAGGACTGAGATAGGCAGTAGATGGGATGAGAGCCGAACTTAAACTAAACATATAAAGCTCAGCGCTCGTCCTGTCTCTGCCTATCTCTGTCCTCGAACGCTCGGAAGGGGTTTTTTGCCTAACAGAAGACAGTCGTGTAGGTGAGGCTTGAAAGGCGGTGCGTCACCTGTCCTCGTGCTTGCCCGTGCGCACGTCCTTGACGGCAGCAAACCCGCAGGGCACCCTGGCGTGCTTCTGGAGAGAGTCAACCACTCGGCGGCCGGCCTCCAGGTAGTACGGGTCCCTCGTTGCCTGGGGCACATGTCAGATCCAAGTGTCAGACAAAAAAGAGCCAGGAAACCTCCAACTAAGCCACGACGTGCAACCTTTACTGTAAAACTTCTCATTCGCTCGATCGTGTTGGTAGAGACCAGGGAGCGCAGAATGAGTCCTGTGTGCAGCACAAACCACACTCTCTGTGCAGTTTGTGCTAGTTTGTTTAATGCCCACCCCAAAAGACCAGCAAACGAGCACACAGCACAGGCATTTCCTTACATGGCTCTTGCGCGATGCGTCACGTCAATCAGGCGAGCGGTCACATGGCATGACGTCACCCCCCCCCCCCTTGCCGGCACGTCTGGTGGGAGCCCAATCTTTCCAGAGCGGCTGTGCTAAGCAGCTCAGTGGCTATAGTATTCGACCGCCACAGCACTGACCTAGGTTCAAGCCCCGCTGCGGCTCAAACTTTGTCTAAACTTCATATATGACCTAATTGTCATGGAACGCTCCCAGCGTGTCACTCGTTCAGGATGCCGCTCATTCCTGATGCTCGTTCGTGACAATTTTCTCGTAGAAAACAACTCACAAAACACATTTTGTGGTAAAAACTGTTTTTCCGGAAACCTTTCGTCTAGCATTCTCGAGGGATCGTTTTCTGCGGCTGTTGGTGCACGTGGCGCCAAAGCTTCCGCCGACAATTCTTGTCTGGCTCGACCGCAGTAACTGCTCCGAGTCATTGACAGGTCTATGCTGAGAGTTAAGCTCAGAGGCCAGGGTTATATCTCTTTTTATGCGGGCGTGTCTCCTTCCTTTTTAGGAAGGTACTACTCTGCACATGTTACACCGAAAATAGAATGGAGCTTGACCTCATTGACTTTGGGAGAAATTTTTTAGCTATACTAGCTGTACTTTTAGGGGCGAAGCTCCTTAGAGTCTAGCCTTGTCCGTCCGCCCGTCTGTCCGTGTCCACATAAAAAGAAAATATGTCTGCACAGTCGACAAGATTCGAACCTGTGCGGGGAGACCCCAATGGATTTCTAGTCCATCGTCTTAACCACTCGGCCACGACTGCGGGACGAGTAGGGGGCTCTAAAATGTGGTAGTAACTCAAGAGCTGGGGATGTCATGGATGAAACGTTGCATGTAGCCGCTCAACGTCTATACAGGAGAGGGCGCTGCAATCAAATGCGTATATAATCGCATTAAACTTTGCATGCATTGCCTCAACGTTTATAGACGAGAGGGCACTGCAGTCAAATGCTCAAATGCGTATATAACCCTGTTCCATACCACACATTCTCTTTCTGACATGGACCGTTGACTTAAGTGGTGGAGATGTGTTCTCAAGGCTTCTAGCGGATCCCAGCTGATCCGCTAGAAGAACCACTGGCTCTACATTTCACCGATCATAAAGCAGTAACAACGAAGTCGAAATGCAACCTGGAACTCAGCACTACCTATGAGCAATAAAAAAAAAATCAGCACCATCAGCACTACCTATGAACAATAAAATCAGTATCATCAGCACCACCAGAGCTTCCCCCAAATCAACATCATTCACCACGTGGAGATACGGTCATTTTTTTTTACCCCTGCTTTGTACTTGAGGGGGCTGAGGACCAGTCAAGCTGCTCGGGCAGCTTTTTATCTTCACCTCCCACCATACTTGCGTGGTAAATAAACTATTGTTCTTATTAAATGCAGTAACTTAAATACTTTTTAATTAGATGTACCGCGCAGCTCTGGCAAATGCCACGGCCAATCGCTCACCTTGTACAAGAAGTAGGTGCTCTCCACAAACTCGGGCCTCAGGGGATGCTGGCCCCAGTGGACTTGGAAGTCGGTGGTGAACGCCTGGTTGAAAACCCGCGCGTGGTGAGCGCAGGCTCCGGAAGAGCACGCTTGGCGCCTCGTCTCAGAGACGAGACCGCTAGGACAAACAGGAGCAAGTACAAGTTCTCCTCACCTCTGGAAGAAAGTTGTGCCTCTGCATGACTTGGTAGAGCATTTCGTGTGTCTCTATGGCAGGCTTGATGTCCCCTTTCAGCACCTGCAGCACCGAGATGCGACAAATTTGGCGAAAGGCACCGAGGCACACTAGAAAAAGAGGAAGTTGCGAAGCACCACTAAACAAAAAAAAGATTTAAGGCCCATTCACACACTTGCATTTGCTTAGGACCAAGCGCATTTGCTTAGGACCAAGCTAGCTTCTGCCGAGAGCCCAGTAGAGAAAAAAAGAGCACAGAGGTATGGGAGCAGAACAAAGAGGGCCCAACCTGCAGTCCCGGCCAGAAGGCCAGCAGCGCGTCCATGAAGTTCCTCGAGTTGGTGTTGGGTCTGTGCATGTGCACGTCCACAAGCATCGGACCATTGCTGATGTACTTCATCACGGCAGTGTAGTGCTGCAGAAACAAAGGGCCGAGGGTGTGCTGCAACCTCTGAACCACAGGAACCGGCCTTTGATGCCCATGAGTCACCCACCTTATTGAATCTCTCTAGGTACAGGTCATCCCCCAGTAGAATGTAGGCCTTCAAGCAGTACTCGTAGTAAGAATCAATGCCAGCACCCACTCCACTGTCTGAAATAAAAAACAAAATCTGTAGGAAAAGAATGCAGCGACCCACACCACAAAATAAGCACACCTATTTCTCAAAGATTATCTATTTCCCTTGCTTGTTGCCTTGGATGAATGAAAAAGCAAAGCAGCATGAGGTGTCGATTTGATGACTCTTACTCCTTCACATAGCCACAGGTATACTTCGTTTTCCCTTACTGCAACGGACATTGCGAGCCATCCCAGCTAATCCAGAGTGTCGCTACGCCTTTCTTGAAGGTCATGTGGCACTCACATGGCATTTCATTGGCTCTGACAGTCCATTGTAAATTGAAAGAAAGCTTAGTAGCATGCAAGTTATCGAGCTTAAATAAAAGAACCCTCAAATATCAGAAATATGCTACTGATGTTACTTCTTCCTAGGCTTTAGAATGTAAGAAATCACAATGTCTCCTCTCAATGTGGCTGTCCCAAGTCAGCTGCTGGAAACCAAACATACTTCTCTAGAAAACATTTAGAAAAGCGAAATAATTTGTATAGCTAAGAATACAACCTCCCTTGGATTCAGGTTGATATTAAAACAGGCTCGATCATGCCGACAAAGACCAGGGAGCAGAGAATGTGTCCTGCACAAACTGTACTCTATGTGTCCTTGGTGCAAGATTTTTCAATCTTTAAATGATCTAGTTTTATTATTTAATTTTTAAGTATTTTCGTTCTATTCTATTTTTTATAGATTTATTTTTGTTGTCTTCATTTCCTTCAGTTATTATCTCCAACCCAAACCTGCTGCTCTCACCGGCACATTTGTATTAAAATAAAAATAATTTATCCCTCCAGACCAGCTGTGCTAATACCTAAGTGGCCAGGATATTCGACTGCCATCGCACCGAACCTTATATATTATTTTTATACACACGAACTGATCTCTGTTACGTCACGGCACGGTGGTGGCGCGTCGGGCGCACTTGCGGTCTGGGGCTGTGGGCGGAAGCCGTCATGGGGCACGTGCATTCCTCTGCTAGTTTGGACGAAACCGGACACAAACCTGCCTTCTCGTCAAAAAACCCGCGACTGGGCTGTACCAAAAGAGTCGGGAAAGGTTTAAAGGTCAGTTTTCATGCGTTTTCTGCCTACTCGGTTTGTCTGAGAATGTGGCTGAATTCACGGATACTTGTGGTCGTGACATTTATTTGTTCCAACATGAATGCGAGAAAACCGCCAAACTGTACGGACCACCTGCAGACTACGTTCACTGCGTCATCACGTTCAAACGGCCGCCTCATCGTTCGAGCTGTCGTCTGCTCTCTCAGACGTTTCTGCCTGTCGTCTGCTCGTTCAAATGACAGCGGCCCATAGACCAAACATTCACTCGGTAATTGCAAATTGCGATAACAAGTGCAGACCTCAAAAGACGTTTAAGTTTGAAGGTTGCTTCGGGTAAGTAGGCTCAGTGTAAACAGTAGATATAAGGAGATGTTGATAATTGTTACCAGTAGCCATCACCGACTTGTTATGCCTGATTCACTCGGTCCGATTCTGATTGCGACTTTCAGTATCGACGTCGTCATCTCAGCTACAATTCAGGCTTTTGCAGCCCAAGCAACGTCAGAACTGAAAATAGCGAGCAGAACCTCACCATGTCAATCGGGCTTTAGCGTACCTTCTGCGGCAAGGAGCTTCGTTAACTTCGCTGATGCTGCTCAGGTAGTCAGACATTGCCAGGAAGACGTAGAATCAAGAATTCCAACCCGAAAAAGAACGCGGGGACGCACACCGACGCCGACAACATCCCTTTCCAATGCTTTGTTTATAGGCGACGCCGAGCTTCTTGCCCACACCCCCATCACGCATGCGGTGGGGGTGTGGCAGAGCGCCCCTAGCAGACGTCGGTGGCGTCTGCTAGGGGCGCTCCGGTTTGTTTATAAACATGAGTTGGTGTATAAAATCTCGACGTCTGTAACGCTCCCAGCGTGTCACTCGTTCATGAAGCTCGCTTCGACGGTTGTTTGTGACAACTTTCTTGTAGGAAACGCCCCAAAAAACACCATCTGCATTAAAACACCCTCTAAAAAAGAATTGGGGGGAATGCTTCCTAGATACCTGTCCCGAGACTGCGCCTTTAGCAGAGGGAAAGGAACGGTGGTTCAAAGCAAACGTGCACAGATCTGCCAGGGAGCAGCAAGAGCGCATCACCTCTCCTGACCCAGTCCCCGTTGTGGATGTTGAGGACGGTGCCCATCAGGTCGCTCGACCGGTGCCGCTGCTGCCACAGGTAGTCCATGGCCGCCCGCGCCTTCTCCTGAAACGGTCGCACGAAAACCCAGCCAGTCGCGCATGAGGAGAAAGCAAAGCAAGGCTTCCCAAGACCAGAGCTCACCGGAAAGGGGGCTGTGGGTGGCCACAAGAAACCATGACCTAGCAAGCAGTGTTGGGAAGCATTTTAAGTACATTGTACTTAAAGTACTACTCCAAGTAGGTCTAGAAAACTTGTGCTTTATTCAAAGTACATTGTCTGAGTATGTACAGTCCAGGGATGGGCAAAATACATGCAAATATGTACCGAAGTACAAATACAAAATACTTCGTCAAAAATGTATTTAATTAGAAATCTACTTACATTTCAAAAAAAGCATTTAAGTACAAGATACAAATACAACCAAATGTATTTGGTCTCCTCCAAATACTTTTCCAAATACATTCCTCAAAATCTGCATCAGCGACTTCAGGGCACCTACAACGGGTTTCTGGATATCATTTTAATTTTGCATCACACGCTTGGGAGTAAGTGTGCGAGGCTCTAGTAACGTAATAGATATATAATCACAAAAAAAAGTAATCAGCTTGGACGTAATAGGTGAAAAAAGTACAGAGCTTCAAGCAGCTTTTTGTTGACTACATTTTAGTATAGACCAACAAAGAACCAAGACGACCAAGACGCGCAGCACTAGCTAGAGAATTTTTTATTGTTGCAACTAGCACCAGTTACATAAATCTGGATGACCCACGCATTTAGAATTTTCCAGGCCAAAATATGGATGAAAATCAGGCTGGAAAGCATCCCAAGTTGTCACAGGCACTTATTTAGCCAGTCTGCCTGTGAACGTCGATTTCGTCACTATTCTTGCCCTGGACTAGCACCGTAATCACAAAGTCACTAAACGCTTGTGCTTGATTGAGAGACACCGCATTCGGTGCAGAATGTAGTTTTCTTCCTGCTCTGGACAGCGACAATAAATTTGAGGGATGTATTTTCGCCCACAAAATTGTATTTAATTACAATTGTATTTGAAATACCCACGTTTTAGTATTTAAATACACACGTCAAATACATTACCCAATTTGTAATTAAATACAAATGCAAAATACACAAAGTATTTAAAATATGTGTTTCAAATACTTGTATTTGAAATACTGCCCATTCCTGGTATACAGTCAAATCTCGTTAATTCAAACTTGAGGGGGACCAAAAATTTGTTTGAATAAAGTAAAGTTTAATTACCGGGAGTTTCCTCCCACACAGACACATAAGATGGGACCTGCATGTTAGTTTGAATTATCCGCAACTTTGAATTAAGAGAGTTTGAATTAACGAGATTCGACTGTACTTGTAATTTACTTAAAGTATTTTTTTCTGGTACCCTCTGGGGAAAGTACAACTCCCAACTTCAAAGTAGTACATTCCCCAAATTTAGACTTTTTTAAAAATTTGTATCACAAAATGATGCTTTGTCAAGTGTGAGGAAATGCTGTAGGGGATATTGTACTCTCACCAGAAACGTGAGCAGACGACGCATTGCTCCATTTGTTCTGGGGGCAGCTTTCTTGTAGCTTTTTAACTCACTACTTTTTGCTCAGTCAGTGCAAGCGAGGAGGTTAAAAATATTAGGAGAGGACAAGTATTCATTATGTAGCACCTGAAACTGCGGTGTGGAAAAATTAAACTTTCAAGTCGAAGACAAAGACAACAGAGGAGAATGTCACAATGTTTTATGGGGTTCTCTTTTCCTTCGACTTGAAAGTTCCTCCATTTTTTTGCACTACAATCTCAGGTGTCACATTATGACTAATTGTCACCAGCTTGCCTGTACATTCACCGTTTCTTTTTAAGGAGAGGACACTCCTCTACGAGAGGATTGTTTGCAGAAGCTACGGGGCTGACGTCGTGCTCTCTCCTAGCACATTTTAAACTCCTGGGGGCAACAAGCCACAGCAAGCGGCGGCAAATTGAGAAGTCGGAGGGACTTATCAATTTGGCGTTATTTCTGAAAAGTAACTACCGATGCACCCCTGATTACCCCTAGAGCAATGCATTTACCAGTTAAAAAATCATTGTATAGGGGAATGAAAGGGCATCCAGAAAGATTGTGTTAAAAAATACTTGTACTTCACTTTGAAAGTACCTTGTATTTATAGTACTTTACTTCATTGCACTCAGATTTACTGCTTTACTTGAAGTGCATCACCTTTCATTTAGTTTGTACTTTACTTGAAGCACTTTTTAGATGTACTTTACCCAACACTGCTAGGAAGCCCGTGCTGAACCGAAAAACTCTCGTTCGCTTTATCATGCTGACAGAGACCAGGGGGCACAAAATATGTCCCGTGCGCCACGCACTAGCACGAGGCACACTTCATGTTTGGTTTGTGCTAGTTTCTTCATTGTGAACTGCAGATGTTAGCCTGGGTAAGGTGGAGCGATCGAGTACGCCACACAGGCGCTACCTCATAGAGCTCTTCCCAATGCGAGACGTCAATGAGGCGAGCGGCCACATGGTACGACGTCGCAACGCTCTCGCCGGCACATTTTGCCGGGGGGAGCCCAGTCCTTCCAGAGCAGCTGTGCTACGCAGCTCGGTAACCATTCGCCGAGAAAGTAAGGGAGAGGAGGAGACGAGAACGTGCAGGGACGTCAGAACGCTGAGCTCTGGTTGGAAGGATTAGTAAGCACACCTAAAGCTAGCTAGTTGCCCTCGTCTCCACTGTACTCGTCGAACGCATTTGAATGCGAGAGCCAAAAGCCGGATTTCCGCGTCTGAACGAGTTTGACGAGTGCAATGGAGACCGAGGCTGCTAGCTTAAGGTCTACCCACTAATCGTTCCAAACAGAGCTTGCTGTTCTGACGTCCCTGCACACTCTCGTCTCCCTCAATTTCTCGGCGCATAGTATCTGACTGCCACCATGATAGCCCGGAACTTTGTATATAAACTTTATATATAACGTCGTGTAACACTCCCAGCGTGCCACTCATCCATGACGCTCGTCTACAGTGCAATCTACTTATAACAATACCACATATAACGATGCACCGCTTATAACAATCAGTTTATAGACTTTCTAGACTGGAAATAATCAGTTTCTAGTCCAGATACAACGATAATCGGGTATAACGATTGAAATTTGGGGTTTTCTCATTATCGTTGATCGTTCATGACGATCGTTCCTGACGCTCATTCATGACGATTTTCTCACCGAAAACAACTCGCATTAAAAAAATCCAGGACAGAGGCAATGCATGCAATGCCACATCCACTTCCATTTTATCTGTAAAAAAAAAAGAAAAAAAAAGAGCAATGCTTACCTCGAAGATGGGTTCTCCGGTCAGCCTGCTAAGGGCTGCAAACTCGAGGATCATGGTGCCGGCACAGGCGGTGCAGGTCTCGGACACTTGGCCCAATTTCGGAGACTTGAGTCCCAAACGAAGGTTGATCTGAAATCCAAGAAAGTAAACAAAAAGGGGCAGGGCTCGAAAGTCACTCGAGTGCGATCCCGATCACAGGTGTGCGACATTTGGCCATGCAAACGGCTTTCATGTGCAGGGAGGTTGAGAACCTTGTACAGAAGTCAGACAAGTAAAAAGCTTTTTATCCTCTCACAATTGAAAGGCTGTAATAAAAACCTCTAGCATGCTGGAAAGTTTGCATTTGGGGTACCAGCCTATGTGGTAAAATTTCATGCTGGTTAATGCCTCGTGCAAGTCATTCGCAAAAAAGTGCCGATGTCATATTCCCACTACGTAGCGCAGTGTAGCGCACAATCTACTTCATCTTTCATCCAAGAAGACGGGTTGCATGGCATCGTGTTTTGAATAGAGTCATTTAAGAGCCATAGCTGATGTTCTTGCTAACAGTTTCCTGTCCAAATACTGACTGCTCTAGTCTGTCGCAGGTCAAGAAAAAAGGGACAAGTCCCTCCCAGCAAGCTCTCTGCTCGCCACGATTGGTGCTTCACCCCTCTTCAGTCTTCGCTCTGCTCAAGTGCAAAGAGGGGAGGCTTCCATAGGAGCAGCTTGTCCGACCTTTCTTGACCTGCACTAGAGCAATCCGAGGATTCCCAGAGTGTGCTTCCCGCCCTCTATTTAGTCCCCGGGAGCTCTTCAAAACAGCAGTCTGCCAGTGACATTAGTGGTCATATAATAATCTAGAGAAAAAGTCCCATGCATTCCGGCCGCTTCGAAGCGGAAGGTCATGACGCGGACACTGGTAGTCCCAGTGGGGGGTCCAGACGGGTCCATATCGCCGGCAACGCCCTAAAAGGACACTGACACTGCCCTAAAATTTTTTTTTCTTTTTGCAGGCGATTTATTACGGTGTCAGAAGACTATTCAGTCAATATTTTGCTAGAGCATTACGCATATATTTTTATTAAAGTAAAAAAATGCAACTGCTCGAAACCGAAACTGGACTGGGGAGGAAGAAGAAATGTAGAGGAGGAGAGTTGCCGGAAATCACGTAGCCACACACGACCACATTTTTTTAAATTTTTTTTGGTTGTGCGAAGCAGACAAAAAATGTGCACATTCCATAGAAAATGCAAAAGTCAAGCACTTTGTGCTACATGCTTGCGCGTTTTTCAAGATCTTACCAATTTGTGTTTGTAAGACGAGCGGTGTCTTTAGCTAGGAGAAGGGGCAACAACTCGGCAACGTCTTCGTGCGAATCAGCTTGGTGATCGGGCGTGTCATACGGAATAAATCCTAATTGTTTTGATCAATAAAAGCTTTCTCTTTGGAAGCTAGACAGATTCACCGGTATCGCAAAAAACAGTTCTGAAGTAGAGGTCCCATGCCAGTCGTCCACTGCCATCGTTTAGTCTGCTTCGTTTGGCACTCCAGCCCGCGTCTCCCGCGAAAAGACGCCATGTTGAGAGTTACAAAGAGAATGCACAGAGTGCTTCCGGTTCTTTCTGAAACTTTGGGCAATCAATGTATTTATAGCTTTTTAGAAGCCACAAAAAAATAGGTATCATAATATAAGTGCGATTCAAACTGGCCAGTTCTCGATCGGCAGTTTTCCTGCCGCAAATTGTGTTCTGGGTAGTCGTGCTCTCATATGTCACGCACAAATAAAAACCTCGACGAGCATAAATACCCTGTCAGTGTCCTTTTAATATATGCAAAGAAACAGCGAAACATCGCCTGTAAGGTCTGCGCATAGATCTTTTCTAGCCGACTTTGCAGGAAAACACCGGCATCACGCAGTGTATAAAAATAAATCAAGTTAACGAGCAAGCTAAGAGCAAAACAAACGCGCCTAACCTATCGTCTGCTTTTTTTTTTTCTCTACTCTTCCGCGGCTCTCTTTCCCAACCTTTCTCTGGGAACCGCCGACGCTAGCACCTACGATCAGCCGCGCTCTGCTGCCATCTCGACCCCCTGGCCGGCGGGAAAGGGTGCCTCACCCTGGGGTGTGGGACCCCCGTGGAGGTGTTGAAGGCCGGCAGCAGGCGGTAGCCCAGCTCCTTGGCCATGAGCAGCAGGTCCCCCCGGTACCAGTCCAGCCGGCCATGGTGTTCTTGCAGGTACGACGCCAGGATGTGGCCGCTCAGAAGGCCCCTGGGCCACACAGAAGATGAGTCACTCCCACCATCCGCCTCCAGGATTTAAAAGGGATTAAAAGTACAAACGGCGCAACGATACGCACACAATAAAAGAGGATGAACGAACATTAGCGTCGACTTACAACTAAAGTTTATTGCTGCCGACACTGAGTGTAACTACTATGTGTGTCGCGAGCAGACGAGGCACGGAAAGAAACACGTACAAAAGATAGACGTCACGTGCTCCTCGAGTCACTTTCAAGTGGTGGCATCGTCCAATCTCTATCTTTCGTATGTTTCTCTTTCCGCGACTCGTTTGGTTGTGACACAGGCTGTATTGATACTCGATGCCAGCACAAATAAAGTTTAGCTGTAGGTCAGTGCTGGTGTTTGTCTGCCTTTGTTTGCTCTGCCCGTGTCATTGTGCTGTTTGTACTTCTCATAATGGACCAACTCGCCCAATCATCCACGTCATTCAAAAGGGATTCCAATACGAACATCCCAAGACCAAATGCATAGAGAGATGAACGTCAGCCGGGTGTTTCTCTTCAGCTTTCCACATCGCGCAGCTCTTGAAAGAGCAACTTTAATTGTGCACTTAGATAAGAATGCCAAAGAAAAACTTCATCTCGGAAAAAACAAATATCTAAAGTGTCTGTTTCTACTTATAGGAAACACTCGCCATGTACTAAAACAGTAAAGCACTAGGGAATCTGATAACCACTCATTTCCCTCGAAGATAATCAACCAGAAACCTTTCTTTAAGAGTTTAAAAGATGATGAGAAGAGTAAATTTTTCTTGAAAACAATTTTTGAAAGGTTAGTAATTTTGAGAAAATATTCAAGAAAGGCTACAAAAACCTCAGCTCTAAGGAATTTGCTAAAGAAAAATATATATATAGGGTGGTCAATTCACCAGGCTCGATCTAAAATGGACCGTAAAAATCGACGCCAGCACGTAGCCATCTAAACTTTTCGCCAAAAGTGTAATTTACAGGTCGGTTTTTTCTTGTAAAATTACAAAGCGTAGCTCTCTTTCTGTAAAAAATAAGGCCAAGAAACTTGCCGGGTCTACGGTGGGCAGCAACGCAGACGACAGGGGTCCAGTAGCAGGGTGTGTTTCGCGTTCGTATTGATAGATGGCGCTATACCTCCTTAATCGCGACGGCTCGCGCGACTACCATGGTTTATTAAAATGAATATAATCTTTTAGATGCGGGGCATCTCTTGCTCGGGCTATGTCCCGCGGCGTCGTAGTCCGCACTCACACTATGCATGCGCAACTCTCCCCGCTGCGCGTGCGTTCTCTCTCTCTCCAACAGCTGCGCGAAGTGCACGCAGCTACCAGCAGCGTCCCTCTCTCCAACAGCTGCGCGTGCGTTCTCTCTCTCTTCAGCAGCTGCGCGAAGTGCACGCAGCTACCAGCTGCGTGCACTTTGCGTGCGTTCGTTTCTACTCACACCGTGCGCGCAGCCTCAACTCTCCTCCTCTAGTTTCCTCTCCTTCAAGTTTGAATATAAGCAGCGGTAGCGCCCTGCGCGCGTTCAAGGGGAGAAAGTGGCCGAGTGGGCTAACGCGTCTCAGCTCAGAGCGTGGAGCGAAAGCTTGTGCTGGGAACCTCCTGGGTTCGAGTCCCCGCCACCCCCCCCCCCCCCGTTTCGATCTGGATGAGTTTTGTACCGGCACGCGTTTGTGTGATGACTACTGCGTGATGCACGTTAAGAATCCCAGGTCAGCGGTTGAACTGCACTGGCTAAATTTCTCATCTACAGCTAACAGACCGATTACCCGTTGAGGCGCATCTCCATCAAGGCTGTATAAACATAAAGAGCAAACCAATTTCTGCGCGCGTTCAGTTCACCGCTGTTGACTCCACTTCACTCCGTTCTTCCGATGAAGTGTGATGGAACGATGCTCCGCATCATCCCATGGTTCCCCTCGGGAAGATGGTGTAATTTTTTTTAAATGAACCTTCAATTAAAAAATAAAAGCGAACAATAAAAATAAAACTTAAAGTAAAACAATGTGTCTGCATAACGGCGGCGCTTTCGCTGCCAATGGATTTCGTCTGCTTTCTTCTGCTGGTCGGCTGCACCTTCAAACGCTGCTCCCGACGCCATCTATCAATACGAGCGCCAAACACACCCCGCTATTGGACTTGGTCGTCTGGGTCACCGCCCGCCGTAGGCCCTGGCAAGTTTCTTGGCTCTATTTTTTACTAAAAGAGAACTACGCTTTGTAATTTTACAGGAAAAAACCGACCTGTGAAATACACCTTTGACGAAAAGTTTAGATTGCTACGTGCAGGCGTCAATTTTCACGGTCCATTTTAGATCCAGCCTAGTGACTTGAACCACCCTATATATATTTCTCTGCCACAATAAGAAACGTAACTGCCGTTTTTTGTTTTCAATTAAAAAAATGTTGAAAGGAGTTGCATTACATTTTTAAAGTTGCACAACTCAATCAGTGCGAACTAAGTTGGAAAAGGACAAATTCCAGAAATCTAAGGGCACATAAACATTTTTGCAGCAAATGCCAAATTTGGAATCTCTCAAACTTACAAACCTTAGAGGCCAGAAATACGACCACAACGACCACACTTTATGTAAGCACAACGCCGCAAGACTTTGAGGTATCGCAGTATGCAGAGAAGGGACGTTTGGATGTGTTACGATGAGTGAAACAAGCAGAAAAGTGAGCGGAGAGTGGTGACGACGCCTTACACTGGCACAAATGAATGGATCCCTTGACCAGAATGCTTCGAGAAAAACAAAGGAACATAGCCCTCAGAACTCTTTTGCCAGCATGAGCAGCTGTCATCCAGAAAGCAGGTGGCTTTGTGTGTTCAGGTCAGGAAAGAGAAAAGATGTGAAGCTTTGGTCTCATCCGTTTGTCAGACCTCCATTTCACAGAAAATGGTTGGCAAAGACTATAACGCACATGGGATTCTTATTTCTCATTGCAGCTGAAGATAGGCTAATAGAAGAAGTCTAAAGTTGCCTTCAGTGTTCCCAGGAGCTCACAGTCTAGTTTTTCAATGGCCATAGAGTGCATCAACCTTTGCATCAGTGCTTGCAGAATTGCTCACCCGACCATCCTGATGTTGGCTTCAAAGACGGACACGACGATGTCATGGTCAAATGTGACATCACGGACCACGAGCCTAACAACACGTTCAAACTCGTCAATGTCTCCTAGGAGCTGAAAAAAAAAAAAAAAAAAAAAGATTAGACAAATGTGGTGTTTAGCTAATATAGCTGAGCTAAACTGCAATAAGGAAAAAACAGAAGCTATATTTTTTTACTAAGTCTTATCTGTTTATAGTCATAATTACAAGAAAAGTGGCAAGATTGAAGCAATTATTTTTAAACCGCTCATTGTAGCATCAAGGCATGCTGCAATTACTGACCAGCGGTTCAGTTTGAAATCTGGAAACAATATCAGCAGAGCCCTGTTCTGATTCAGCACTCCACCCACCACAAAGTTTGAGGTGGTGACAACCCAAAGCTCTGATGTAGACAAATAGACCGATCTCACTAAGCATTATACACATGCGTGACGCCGCCATAACTGTAGTTCGTAAGAGGCAGGAGCCAGTTCACAAGACAACTCGTGTTGCTTCGTGCTCTGCAAGAGCAGACCCTCAGCAGGGTTATCGCTCATGCAGAAAGACTACAGTTCTTTTGATGCATGGCGGCAGCGGTGGCGTAATGAAACTGGCTGTGAGATCGGTCTATTAGACTTACTGTCCACACAAAAGACTTTAATATCAAAATTAATTTCTGTATCTGTCTATGCAGAATTTTGAGAAGTAACTGTAATCAAACCAAGATACAAGTTATTCTAAAAATGAAACTATGCTACTGTTACAATTGCCGAAATTGCATTGTAATGTAGAAAGTGTCTAACTACTAACATTGTAAGCAATTAAGTAACTTAAATATTTTAAATTTGTTACTTTACAGCTCTAGTTTTAAGAGTTAAGACCATGAAAGCGATTTTCTGACTTGCCCTTGCACCATACATTTGGAGGCAATCAAAGGAAAGCTGTTTCCACAGGGTTTCTAGCCTATCCTGAAGCATGACGGTTGCTACGGCAAGCAGCGTGGCACACAGCTGCAACCTGACGAATGACCTGTCATACAGACGGAATTATTTGCTTATGGCATCTGGCACTGAGATATCCTCATCCACTTCAGTTCCTGATAACACGGCTAAGTAATCAACCTGTCCGAGTTGCCTTGAGTGTGTACTTTCAATGTCTCCGTGCTGGCACAAACCTGGCATTTGTGGCCAGGTTTGAACATTGTGCCGCCACAGTTGTGTGCATGCATCCAAATATAAACTCTCTAGCCTGAGGTATATTTCCTAATTTTCTATGTATCATTAGTCCGCCATGGGCTCAAAATAATTCTGACAAATGGACCATTTGTCAAAAATGGTGCGTAGATTCTGCCAAACCTCAGATCTAGTTAAAGGGGCGGTGCAATGATTTTAACACTGAACGAATGTGCAGCTTGTATTTTTTATATTGTTTACTTCGGCATAAGTAAGAGAAAAAGTGCCACCATACCCCAAAATATCTCTATTACGCTGCGTAATCGTAGAATAAAGAACACTTTTTTTCCCAACCTGCGGCCACATGGTGGCCGCAAATGCAACCTGTGGTGTGACGTCATTCGGAGTGGTTTTTGTAAGTGATAGTGTTAGGCAATTGTAAGCTTGATATAAGGTTAAGTTTAAAAAATCTTGTTGTTTAGGCATGCAGAAACGCTTCAAAAGCCTAATACTGCCGCTAAAAGGGTATGAATTATTTGTGGCGCCATCTACCGCAAGTCAACAAAACCTGCCGTCGCTGTCATCCGTCGACGCCCGAGGCGCCTACGGTGGCTACACGAGCAACCCGGACGTTTTGTCTTTCCCTCGCTCGACGGACTGCGTTGGTCGCGGTCCGTTGTATTGTGATATTGTTATTGTTCCTGGTGTCTTGACCTCGACTTCGACTTCGACTGCCCGCTGCGTCGCAAGCATCTTGCGCTCGACGTCGCTCAGGCCGTCTGCCCATGCCGCCATGTTGGTCGGGAATCGGCGGGAGAGCGGCGAGCCGGCGAGCGCTGGAGAAACTGAAGCCAGGAGCACCCAACCGGAAACCAACGCCACACCGAATGACGTCACAGGGGAAGCTGGTGCCGCTTCAATGTTGAGTTGAGGGGTGCCAGAGATACCAATTTCTTTTATTTTTTTTTAATGAAAACTAGGGCAAGCAGGAAAGAATAGTTTTCGGTCCATCGTTTTATATGTGGCCGGGATCGATTCCCGCAATTAATTAGCCAAAGTCCACAAATTATTGCACCGCCCCTTTAAACTCAGATCAGGAGTGTTCGAAGTTTGACTCATAGATTGCATCAGTGTGTTATCTTGTCATACACAAACAATTGGTCACACTCAAATGTAAATGTGTTAACTGGTCTTAAGGGACATGTTAAAATCTCGGCAACAATCAAACAAATGAGAGCTCCCTCCAAAGTCAATCAAAACAGGGAGTGGTTTAATTGCAAAAGAGCTTGCAAGCCAGCTAAGGTCACAAAAGCAGTAAAGACGTTGAAATTGTTTGTGTGGCCTATCCACTTTCGCTTTATGCAAGTAATATTTCCTTGAAATTATGCATTCCTTAATTTTGCGAAAATTAAAAATTTAGCATTCGCTCAAAAAATAAATATTTATGGGAAACCTAAGGATGTATTCCCAAAGAAGACTCAACTGTCAATCTTCTCTAAAATGGAAAAGGAACCACATTGTTTATTTTGAATGTATATAACTCGGAAGTTTTTACACGTGAATGCATCGGCAGATGAAGTTCCCTTTTAAGGAGCTTTGCATTCTGTATGTCACATGAAAACTCATCCTTACCACCAAAGTATCCATGGTGTCGACCAGGGTAAGCGAAAAGCTGAAAAAGGTAAGAAGAGTCAGAATGTGCGTGGTGCTGGGTTCTAAGCTAATGCTATGCTTGTGAAAAACTAGGAAGGCCACCTACTTTCCCAGTGCATCGTCAATGTCCCCCCGATTGGGCTCAGTTCCTCTGTAGCGACCTTTACAGCTCAGAGGCATCAGCTCATCAGCCGGGTAAGCGTAGTCCTGGAGTTAAACAATGCAGAGGTCATTAAACACAGAGAGAAAATAATAATAATATTTATTCCGGCTCAGGACAGCCAAGACGCCGCAGAAAGGCCGATGGCCCATACCGCAGAGGTCTGCGACGCCGCACAATGAACAGAGTCATGAATTTGTACAGATGGCAATGACGTAATGGTGTGAAAATCCCACAAGATGCATTATTAATAATTTATAAGGTGCCTTTACTCTCTTTACAATGAATGAACATAGCTCACCATGTATGCTCGGTAGGCATGGTAGAACATTTCTCGCACTTCTTCCCTGCGGGAGAAAATAGGCAGAGTCATATTTATTTGTGCGATTGCACGACCTTTAAGTTCGTTTCGTGCGTGACTTCCTTTGTACAGAAATTTCATCGCAATACAAAGCAGTATCAAGAAAAGCAGCTGCATCGAAGAGCCCAGCTCCCTCGACGAGATGAAGGCCAAAGTTGATTTTGGAGGCGCGTCGAGGAACAGTTTCCAAGAATTGAATATGTGGGCCAGATTGACGAGAATGAACGAATGCGGGCAGGATCGCGCTGCTAGCACCCGAGAAAGGCGTCGGACTTGATCGGAGATCAGCGTAGGCTCCGCTGTGTTGCGCGGGCAGACACCCGTCCCGCGCAGACAAATAAAAGTTGGGATTCGGCAGCGATATTTCGATGTGGCAGAGAACTTTCGCACAGCTCACCTGAGTTTGACTCGGTCTTCGACCGTAACGGCTTCCGTGTAGACCATGACGAATTGGAGAAAGCAGACGCCAGCTACAGTTATTCTAAACGGTACCATTTGAGCAGTTGCGTATGCGTGCACCTATCTAGTTTTCTAAGTTGACTAGAATAAACGGGACTTTGTACAGAATTTTGAGACACAGCCCATACCAAGTTCCCCCTGCGCCCTCAGCAGCTGCAGCAGCACACGCACACACACACGCACAAGCATTTTAATTTTACTAGACGCACGGATCGAAGGTGACCCAGTGAGGTGACCTAATAGAAATATGCAGCTAAGACATTATAATTGGGCGGCGTTTTGCGCCACCTAGCCACTGTTAAAAATTAAAAAGAGCATTTTTACGCTAGGTAGCGCAAAACACCCTCCAATGGCTCTGCCATCAGCTTGCCGCTTCCGTATGGCGCGTATGGGGCGTATGGCGCAACGTTGGTATGGCGCTTGCTTTTGTCACGTGCGCGTGCGCGCAGCAGTGTTGCCAACCGTAGGGTAATTACCCTACTTGTAGGGTATTTTAGGCATTTTGGTATGTTGTAGGGCTGTAGAGACCTCGTTGGGCTGTACGGGCTGTAGGGCCGTCAGGCCATTTTCCCGCCAAAAGTAGGGTATTTTCAGACGTTGCTTCTTCAACGGCAAACATTGCAAAAAAAAAAAAAAAAAAAAAGCTGCCGGCGCAAGCTTTGCATAGCTTTACAACCCGTGTGCTGCCACACCACAACATCGTGCAAAACGAAAGAATCCAAGTTGCGAGACGTGCTAACTGAGAGCACCACACACCAAGTTGGAGCATGTAGGCTCCCTAAGTTGGAAAGTATTGGAGAGCTGAAGCAAGTGGGAGAGGTGGAGTTGCGCTTGGGAAGTTTGGAGCCAGAAGAGGTGTCTTCCCAGTATAAATAAAGTTGTGTCCTCCTCCTCCTCTCAGTGGAAATGATCCCGCCAATTTTTTTCTGATGACTGGTCCATCCGGTGGTCCTTGTTACACCTGCGAAACACGTGGCACCACGGGCGGAACCATACCGATCCCACCAGGAAAACGTCATTCGATCAAGTGAGTGCATCCCGGGGACTGGAGGCGTTCACTTGAGCGAACGACGTTTTAGCGAACGAAGCCGAAACCATTACGCGTCATCGAATGACACTTAGCGAATACGGAGGAGCCGCGGCTTCCTATCCTCCCCTGGTGTAAAAGCCTAGTTTGCCCTAGGCGGTACACCCAGAGAAGCTAATATACCGTTCGGATTAGCTTCCTTTTGTAATGAACCGCCTTGTCGGACGCCGCGAGTGCTGGTTCCACGTAGCCCAGTTTTTAATTGCACGACAAATCGACTAAACATGTTGGTTGGGATGTCTGTGCGCTCGGTACATCACTGTTGTGCTGATGCTACACAGCGCACATGCAAGATGCAAGCATGGTGTTCTAGAATAACGCAGGCATGCGCGTGCATGCGTGCCCTGTCGCTTTGTACTGTTTTAATATTACCCTGTATCATCATAATCCATGCAATAGTATTATTTGAACAAAGATTTGCCTCGTAGGGTAAAATGTAGGGTAACAAAAAACATTCGTAGGGTAATGTAGGGTTTTCTGGACGCTGCCGTGGGGTATTTTCGAAAAATAGGTTGGCAACACTGGCGCGCAGGCGTGCGTGCGTCTGTGTGTGCCGTGTGTGCACTGCCGCGATGCGTTTGAAGACGGACTGGAGGTTTTTGGACATTTCTGGTTTATTTGTGGTAAGGTCGTGCATTGGTGAAACATAGTCGCTTCTAAAATAGACAAGAACGAAAAGATAAAATGGTTTTCACGCCTTCTTTTGAGTACGGCAGAGACATCTCTCTTCTAAGCGGAGCACTGCGTTCCGCCGAGCGCACTCTTCAAAAACTGGTATGGGAAGTATGGGCCAGCGTAGGACTGAGTTTTGAAATTCTCTATGTTTTGGTGCTTCTGTTCACAGTTGTTTTCGGTTTATTTTTCAGGATCCTGCATCGACACTGCGTTGCGTAGACCGTGAGCGATCGAGGCCACTGGCGCTTGCGATCTCCAGTGGAATACAGGGTGCATACAAAACAAGCTCGGATCACTACGTCGTTCACTCGAGAATCCACTGCGTGTTGTTCGCCAACACGATGTGGTATGTTGTGACGACCGTAACTTGTCGGCAGAGTGGGTTGCCTGATCGGGGAGCCAAGCCTGGCTGGTCGTCCCTCGGGTCGGGCCTAGAAATCGGGTCGGGCCGGGCCTAGGGATTCCGGCCCGTGCAGTGCTCTAGTTAGCAAAGATAAAATTGCTGCACCAGTTATACCAATGGGCTTCCCGTCTACTGTACACATTGTGCCCAGGCTGAATGATTTGGCCAGCTGTACTTAACCTGCTCATTGCTTAGCTTCATATGCTCGCTGGACCAATCAGTCGCCTGCCTTTTTTGTCTTCGGACTCCAATCCCTGTACACAAATGTGTGCAGAAAGCGTGATCACGAGGTGCAAGGCCATCAGTTAACTAGCTGATTCAACGAGCATGTGGCTTGATTCTACTGCCTAGCCAGCTTTTCTAAAGCTTGCGGTTGAAAAACCACGCTGCTCCAGCACGGTTTTTTTTCTCCCCCCCCTACGATTACAAGTTTCGCAGGTCGCAATATCTAAAGCTAGCATTTTTTCAACTTTTTTTTTTTTAACGCACACTGAAAGTTAGTTTAGTTTCAGTCCCAGTCTGGTAGAGAGATCAAATGATTTACTAAAGACACTTGAACTGCATCTAAAGTCGACAGGGGTAAACTATGATGAGCGGAAGTACATTCAACGTAAAGAAACCATGTATTGGTTCGGCTGTCGCCCCGGCCCTTTCAGAAATATACCTCCGGAGCTTAGACCTAAAATTGCATGAGATGATCAAACATTATCACCCGAGCTCAGTACTTATCAGAAGATACGTGGATGACATATTGGTATGTGTCCGTGACTCAGCCCTTGCTGGTTCCGTTGAGAATACCGTGCATAGTGAGGCACCGGAGTTGCAGTTTTCTGTAGAAAAGCCAGCCAACAACATACTCGAGTCTTTAGATCTCCAGCTCAGATTGGTCCCCGGTTTATGTTGGTCCTATGGCAAAGAAAAGGCTAAACCAGTACTTCCCTTTGATAGTTGCCATTCAAAGCATGTCAAGACAGGATTGGTTCGAAACATGATTAACAATGCGTTTCAAAAGTCATGTTGGCACTCCATTATGACGTCGATTCAAGTTGTGTTTTCCCGGCTAAATATTGCAAAGTATCCTCAAGAATTTATTTCCAAGCAGCTTTTGTACATTGCCGCAAAAGACAAACGAATTAGGAAAATGCCCGAGCACAAAAAGTGTGTAGTCTTACCGTTTTTCCATCAAATTTCACACAATTTAAAATCAGTTGGTGATAAGTTTGGTTTACGCATGGCGTTTAGCACAGGTAGCAGTTTGAAACGGTTAACTCCGTTCGCTTCTGCCCAGAAAGGTTGTTTAAAAAAACACAGGGAAAAGTGTGTTACATGTATTTCAGGTATAGTCTACAAGATCCCTTTTGATCGTGGTTTGTGCTATATAGGCCAAACAAAGCGTTGTCTTAATGATAGACTAGGCAAACATAAACGATGTGTCAAAAACAAGGATCCATATTCCAAGGTATCCAAGTATATTCAGGAGTGTAGGAATTGCGTGCCTTTATGGAACTCGACAACCAAAATTGTAACAGAAAAAAACGACCACAAGCGCCTGCTAATAGAGTCAATCGCAATAACGAAGCATGGGAATGCAGTGAACAAGCCTTTGTCCTTAGATGCGGAATGGAAGCGATTTCTAAATCTCTAATAGTATTGTTAACATTACTTTTTTTTTTTTGTGTGTGTAGTTTTTTAGCTGACTTTCTCAGTGAAAGGTCCAGTGCAATCTGTAGTTTTCCCAGCGTGTTTTTTTTTTTTTTTAATGATGTGTCATTTTTGGTGTTGTCAGTTCATTTGTTGGTTTGACCCCATTGTTAGAGGTCCGGTGTCATGTCTTTTGTGGAGAGAGGTGGTGTCACATCTTTTGTGGAGAGAGGTGATGTGAAGAAGGGTTCCCTTTCCTTCCTTAGTTCTCTCCTCGTTAAAGGTTTAGCTGTGTTTGAGACATTCTCCTTCTCTTCCTTTTCGTCGTCTGTCATTACCTCAGTCTCGGGTTTTTCACTAAAATGTTTAAAAAAGCTAGTTTACTCTTTATTTTCTCCCGATTTGCTTTAGATTTTAGCTGAGCTATGCCTCAGGTCCCAGGATATCACGGTATTGTTTTTAATGCACTTTAGACGGCCCCAAAAAATATTCAAATTGTATTGCAATGAAATTTTCTACAGAGGTGCAAGGAGGTGGTAAACGTTTACAGTAAAAAAAAAGAAAAAAAAAAAAACTTTCCTCATAAAAGAAAAAAAAATTGTTTTGGGCAATTTACGCAGACAATGCCTGCATAGGGAGAAGTGCTGCGGACAGGTGGCGTACACTGCGTCGAGGGAGTGCCAGCCGATTCGGGCAGCACTTATCTCCATGTGCGCATCGTTTACGAAGTGGAGACGTAGAGCCCAGAACAGGGTCCTTTTCTTTTTGTGAACGAGGTAAATTTATTCCTTGATTTTTTTCAAACTTCCACTACCTCCTTGCAGCTCTGTAGTAAATTAGAGTGTGATACATTGAGAAACAGATTTTTGCAGGCCGTCTAAGGTGCCTTAGACGCGTTAGTTTACATGCTGTAGAATGTCAACAGATACATCCATGCTGTGGTCTGCTCATTTTGTCACTCCTCTGTGTTATAACGTCGACTAACGGAAATGGTTTTCAGACGATACGTGTCAAGTAGCTGTTCAGGTTTTGGAGTTTTGGAAAAGAAAGAAATAAAGGTCAACAATTTTAAGATGAGGGATATCTCAGAGTTTGCTCCATGCTCTCTAACCCATCAATTGTCTTACTGTACTTTAAACACTTCAAAATCGAGGCAGCAAAGGGACCCTGAGCTGTTGCAGCTCAGTCTCAGATTGATGTTATTGGTAGGATGTTTTTTTTTCTCTCCTGGCACTTTATTTTGAGGAAACCTGTGTTATGCAGAAACAGAGACCAACTCCGAGAAGGGGACATGGACAGGCGCTTGTTCGGGTTCCCTTCTTTGTGTTCGTCTCTCTTTGTGCACACAAGTTTCTCCAGCATCATGCACCAACCTTGATTTGTTTTCGTTCTTTTAGTTGCAGCCATTTCACTCGTGCTTTTTTATTGAATGATTTTTCTTACTTTAATAGTTATTGGTCTGCATCATAATAATTGTCCTATCTACATTCTGTGTTCTTCTTTATTGGAGCATAAAGCTTGTTCTGGCATGTGCCTTATTTTGTGTTACCCCCTCCATATTGTGTAACGTAGTAATCAATGAACTTATCTGAGTGCTGACGCACAATTTTCCTATGCTTGACATTCTTAGGTCGTCTGGCATCGTGGACAGGAGCGAACTGGACTACTTTGAGTCGGTGCTCGATAACTTCCCTCAGGTTGGATGGAACCTTTTCTTGGCTCTGGTGGAGGTCTGCAACTGGAGACAATGTTACGTTTCGGTATGTTATTATGTGATAGTGGCCCTGGCATAATTTTATATTATTGTTTTATCTTTAGCAAAGCGAAGGTCACAAGCGTGGCAAGTAGACCCAGTAGCTGCTTGAGTATTTACATGGCTGAGGCAGATCTTAAAGCAGTGAGCTGGTGCTTAAAGTTTTTGCTGTGGTTCATCTTAAAGTATGACGAAAAAGGGTTCTTTGAAAGCATGCTTTTTGATGCTATCCCCCCCCTCCCAAAATTTTGTCCATCCGTCCTTTCATGCATTTTCTGCTAAATTTAGCGGGGAAATTGATATCACGTGATCTATACACCAATTCAGTTTCCCCGCTAAATATGGTGAGAATGTGGCTTCACGTGACTTATACACTTTGGAGAAATTGACGGTATGTTACCTATATGTCAACTCAGTTTCCCCGCTAAATTTAGCAGGAGAATTCACGTATTGTGGCAAAACATAAATTCAGTATCCCCGCTAAATTTAGTGGGAAAATATATGTCGCATGACATACAAATTCCCTCACCGATTCCCTATAATGTATTTCATGCATTATAGGTAGGGTTTTGTGTTTTTGAATGAATCCGAAAAACTTAAGAAAACACCCGCCGGTAAAATTCTGGTCAATTCAAATTTATCTGATAAACTCACAATCATGACAGTCGATGTCTCCCCCAAACAAAAAAAAGAAGGTACTTTATTACCGCTTAACTCGTCAAGGTCCATTCAGGACAACAGGTCATTGTACTAGCTTCCGGGTCACAACAAAAGCTACTGTTTTGTTTTTTGTAGCTGTGAAAGCTATGGATCATAGAGATTGCATAAAATGGGGAAGAGGGGCAGTTGAAAGTTCTCTATTCCATCCTTAACCACTCCACCTCGCGCGACCGCGGGGTAGGTTGATGGAATAGGACGTGATGAAAGCAAACTTCCCAACGACTACTTCCACGAGTTTATTGATTTAAGGTATGGACGTCTATCGAAGCAACACTTCTGTGCAACTTTTGTAGTGGGACAAATCAGTATTGCCAATTGCACCAATGCCAAATCCAAAATAATTGATAGAAGCAGGTTTTATTTTTTGCCTGGCATATGTTTACACCCAGACATTATTTATTTTTAATAGGAAACATTGCAAATTTAAAGTCAGGATTTCGGAGGATTGGGAATCAAACAAAAATAAACTGATAAGATCTGAATTTGCAGAAAAAAATAATCTCTAAAAAACACCCTCCGAATTTGCTAAAAAAAAAAAAAAAAGATCAGCACACTCTTAATTCTAATTATAGGTAAATGTCGCTGCCAATGTATATATTTTTTTTTTCCAATAAAAAAAAATATTTTTTTTTAAGTGGTACTTTAGTTTGACAACTATTAAAGTACCTGGGTACTTCTGCTATGTCTGGTTAATGTGTTTGTCGACACATCTTGAGGAATGAGGTATTTCCTACATTTATTAGTCAACTTTGCATCTGGTAATATCTCTCATACATTGCTGTCAGCCTCCCTTCCCCTGATTCTCTTCTGTTCTTGCTCGCATTTGTGCTCAGTTTCTTTCCCTCCCTCTCTGTGTGCAGTGTGTGCAGGCACTCCCATTGAAGACGAGGCTGCAGGTGTTGAAGGCCACCATGGAGTTTGCTGAAGACTCTTCATACATTTGGAGCTGCGCGTTTTCTGCACTCTGGTGGTCGGCCTGCATCGAACCCCATTTGCGTGAGTGCAACAAACGTTTTCATTATTCCAAGGTCATTTCACTTTCTGTTCCCCAGAAGAACATATATTACATTTTTTTCTTCTTTTCCTCTTTTCACCTGTTTAATGTTGATGTTTGGTCTTAAATAACGAGTTTGCAGTGTCTATAATGGTGAGAAGTTGGAGGGATTTGTTTTCTCCCGTTGCATCTCCTCGTTGCATTTAAAGGAGGCTTGCTGATTGCACCTTGATGCAGTGGCAGATTCAGAGGAGAGGTTCGGATATCCTGACTACCCCTTGAGTTCTTCATGTGTAAAAATTTAGGGTGTGGAAACGGGGAAGGGGGGGGGGCAAAGGTGGGGGTGTTTTGAAACATATGATACGCTGACCAACACCTGACCCCCCCCCCCCTCTGGAATACCTGCGTCCGCCCCTGCCTTGATGATGCACCCATAGTCTCTTGTACTACTTCAGTTTTAATCTTGTTTTAATTAAAACAAAACAACACCAAATAAATAAAATTTCTTCCTTTATTAGGAAATTGTATGCTGATGCACATCTTTGGAAGGTGACATCTTCATTTTCACCGAGTAGTATCCCACTTAATCAAGCTGGTTTCATTCACTGTGGTTCATTTTTCTCCATTCCAGTTTTAGGCAGAAATTTCACTTTAGGAAAACTATTGTTTTGTTATTACGTAACTTGGATTCATTTTTAGAAGTTTTTCTGGGGTGAAATTTTAAGGGGAAGGATAACCATGAGCTTGTATTTTTTTATTTTTGTCATTTTTCATGCTCAAGAACTAAACTTTTGGACAAAGGATGGAAATCTAAAAAACAGTATTTGTGTTTCGCTGGATTTTCTGTCATGAAAGATGGTATAATATAGAAATATAGCTCCATAGTTATCTGCTCTGAACTGTCTTAAAGCAATATAGCACATGAAAATGACAAATTTATAAGTAATTTCAAAACGATAGTTTTTCTACACAGACACACCCACTTTCAGCTTTGAACATTTGCAATTTTTTTTGTACATCACCCAGGTTAACAAGATGTGGCAGAAATGTTCTCGACGTTAACAGAAACAAGCCCTGTAAATCTAATTTAAATCAAACAAGCGGTTCAAACATTCACTTTTTTGGGTAGTGTCCCCCCTTAATGCAAGTCGACTGTACTGTTTTGGGAACGAAAGCAAACAAATGCTACGCAGATTTTTCACGATGCCATACACTCAGCCATGTCGATCTACAAGGATATTAACTGTTGAAAATATAGGACCGCGAAAAATAGCCAAAAGGCATGGGTACTCACTGCTTACAACATGAAATCGAACAGCTCTCCTCAATCGAGCAACATATTGTGCATGCCCCACGGTGCCACATGATCTGAACAGGGTTTATTTGAGAAAGATCTAAAATAACACAGCCTATCCAATCTATAGTGTTGATGACAGTCACTTCATGGCGATCGAACGGAATCTGGACTTGTTTTAGGGCAAGTTTTAAGGAGAGCTTGTTTTTTCTACAGCACTGAAGCAAAGGAACAGACGAGTCTGCTCCGGCCCCTACCCCGCACACAATCCGCTATTTCTTGCAAAGACCGCGAAGACTTTTCGAACATTATCTCAGCACAGATAATCCTTTAACAACGTAGAACGGACCACATCTGGGGCCAGTCGACGTTTTCTTTTTTTTGTTAATTTCCACGAAAGCCGAGCAAACTATGCAGGCCAGTCGACATTAGGTTTTTTTGTTTGTTTCCCACGAAGGCCGAGCAGGCTATGAGCCCTGGTATTCCCTGGTTCTCACGGAGGAAAATAACATACAAAGGGTAAGCGTCCTGAATAGGCAAATAGAGTAAAAAATCTTTCAAGCAAAGCCGGCGAACTACAACTGCAACGCAGGTGGAGTGTTACGCTGGCTGGGTTTCCATGGCCCAGACGGGTGGCGGAAATTTCTGCCACCCGCCTGGGCAGAACAGATGCAGAATAGCGACAGCCGGAGAGCTCTTTTTGGAAACGTCTGTAGAACTCGGTTTGATTGAAAAACTAGCACCTCATATATATATAATGCGCATGTAGCTTTAAGGCTCCCAACAGTATTGATGTATAAACCTTACGGTTGAAATGTTGGCCCTGCAGCCGACCGAATTTCTGACCCAGGTGCTTTATGCTCACAGGTTCAACACAGAATTCGGACGACAGCACGCTGACCGCCCTGTCTCGCCTGCGACCAGCCAGCCCCGTGGACAAATTGAAGCTCGATCCAGTTTCACTTCTGCAGGCATCTGCCAAGCACTTTCTAGAGATGGCTGCCCCCGACGAAGACTTCGGCAGCTCCGGCGCAGTTGCCAAGCAGGTCGCTTGCATCTTGAGAGTCCTAAACGACTTTCTGAGCCACATCTTACACTGCGACAGTGCCCGTTCCTCCCCTTCCGACGACTGGCTCGCAAACATGGGCGACGCAGCAGACGAAATTGCCGAAGATTTCTACGCAACAAGGCGTCCAGAATGTGCGACGTGTTTCCCCGTGGACGTCGTGCACGACCAGCTTCGAGCTTCTGGAGACGTGATCCAGGCAGTGGCCTGCATCCTAGACTCTAGCCGCGTGTCTGAACTCTTCTCCAGGGAGAGGGACGAGCATCCGTACTGCAGCATGGACGGTGTTTGTGCCAACCTCCTGATGGCGGCGGCGGCCGGCAAGAGCAGGCCGAACGTGTTCGAGGCTTTGGGGGAGCCTGCCCTGCTTCACTCTGCCGGAAAGCTGCGGCGTGCTTTGGTGGCTGTCTCGAGTCTGACGGACAGCGCCCCGTTGAGGAGGCTGCAGCAGCTGGTGTCCGGGTGGGGACACAACGCACTTCAGGACCTGCCTCGAGAGGTTTGCCAAAATCTGGTGGGCGGCGTCGTTCAAAGCCTGGAACAAGGGTCGTCTCAATGTGCGGGTGAGGCTCTTTCCTTAGATTCTTGGGTTTTATTCGTCACGGATTCTCCAATCGTTTGGTTATGTCGAGTTTAGAAGTTCGGTATGTTCTGGTGCTGTTGGTACCTCGGTATGTTTTTTAAATGCGTCTGTGTTTATTGCCCGGGTGCATGCAACCATTTTCGGTTTGGACAGGACCGTGGACTGGACTGGTTTTGCAAGGCTGCAGTGCGGTTCCTGCCGTGCACTTTCGCTTCATTGGTTTGCTCGTTACGTCCACTTCCCCTCTTGCATAAGGGAGAAAGTGAACATAACTTTACGCTGCCGATCGCCCACATTGTGAATCTCGATGGTCACTTGTCGCATGTCACTAGTCAGCTGCACAACTGCTGCGTGTGAACGTGCCTTAATGGCAGTTTCTTCTCTCTTGGAGTTTCTACGGCTTAAGTGAATGTTTTGTAGTTTTCTCAATGTTTCGGTGTTGCTTTTCAGAGCTAATTTTATGGAGTTTGAGCCTTGTGGATCTCTTCAGGGAACAAAGGTGAGCTCAAGTGAAGTACTGTTTTTCTGGTATTGCATATTTATATACAAGAAAATTTTGCAGCATACATTGGTGCAGGTATGTATACAGTCAGCATTTGAACGACTAATGCAATATTATGATAGTACTTTAACTTTGGAAGTGTGGTGGTACATGAGGGGGCGTTTAGTATTTCGACAGTATCTCAGTTCCAGGATATCATGCTGCGCACACATGTAGATTCCGCAAAGTGCTTCGCAACATTTGTAATGTGACTGTACAGTCTCCGGCAATATGAAAGACCCACTGGGAGCGCGTGGCCGAGGCAGTGGCTGGCGGGGACGCTGCGAGCACTCCGGGCAATTCCATTCTGCTTCGAGGGGAGGACGCTCACTCGGGGCTCAGCACAATCTGATAAGCGCGTTTCGCTGTAGCTGAGCCCGAGTGAGCGTCCTTTCCTCGAAGCAGAATGGAATAGCCCAGAGCGCTCGCAGCGCCCCCGCCAGCCCCCGCCTCGGCCACGCGCTCCCAGTGGGTCTTTCGTATTGCCGGAGACTGTACATACATGATGGCAACGTCACAATAATACATTTGTCCTTTATTGTTTCAGGATTATCGACACTCTGAAAAAACATCTGGCTCTTCTGAGCCATCCCCGCCTGTTTCTGTGCCTAATCCAGACTGCAAAAAAGGCTGGCGATGTCGACGCTTTCAAGGAGGTACAATCAAATGCTTCGTTTGTCTTAATACCCTTTTTGGACGATGCAGTACGATGCCTGCATCTTTCATTCATCATACACTAGTCCCTCGTTATAACGAAGCCAATGGGATGGCAAAAATATTCGATATCAGCGGTAATTCGATAAAAGCTGGAGAGCCATAGAAACAGTGACAGTAGACTCAAAAGTGCAAGGGAACACTGCTAAAGCCTCAAAACAAATATTCATTGAAACAAACCTTAGTGATAAGCATGCAAAGGAAAAAAACATTTTTTTTTAAGCAGCCCAGAGGGAAAAAGAATGTTATAAAACAAATTCACAATGGAAAAAAAAAAAATAGGGGGGCTATATTTACGACGCGATACGAATTTGTAGTTGGTGCCCGCGGGAGCCGCCACTCGTCACGTAGTACACCTGTCAACCGCCGCGCTGTGCCGCTGCAGTCAATTTCTGACCGGCGCACAGGTCTGTTACGTGGTGCATGTGCTCTTTCAGGAGCTTTCTTTTGGCTCTAAAAGTTGCTCATTAATTTTTGTGTTTTGTTGCACTTCAAACGAAAATTAGTAAGTAAGTTTTTGAGACTCCTTATGAAGCTTCCAAAAGTGCACAAGCACCACGTGACCATAACGGTCAGTCACGTGACCATAATGGCCACTTTTCTGTGGGCTCCCGCGGACGCCAACTACAAATTCGTTTCGCGCCGTAAATATAGCTCTAAAAATTTTTCTTGTTTTTTACTTTGTAAATTTGTTTTTTGACATTCTTTTTTATCTAAGCTGTTTAAAAAAATGTTTTTTTTCCTTTGCATGTGTCTTTTAACAAAACTTCTACTAAGATGTAAAAAAAAAAAAAAAAAAAAAGAAGCGAGAGGATTTTGTTAAGCATTTTGTCACGCATAGCTAGTGCTTCCTCCAGTTCCTTGAAGCATTGCGACCATAATCACCGCCGCCGCACTCCAGATTGTTCCGAAGCGAACAAAGGGTGGCTCTTGTCTGCGGTTGTTGTTTCCAAACATTTTTCTGGCACTCGAGGCTCCCCATTTGATGTCTCTTCGTCTTCATCTCGACTGCACTTAGATCAGTGGCTGAAGTAGAATGTCCGCATCGGCAACCGAAAACCAACAGAAATCATCCTCAGGCGCTTGATGAACGATTTCGAGCACACTCCCGAAGAGGTCATTGCACCTCTGGGAACCACTCGCTAGGTCGTCATGCACGCGCGTGCGAGAAAATCTGACGTGCCCAGGGGCTCCGGAAGCGGGGGGGCAGGGTGGGCTTGAGCCCCTCCTGTCCTCAGGACCGAGCTGCCGAGCCCCCCCTCCCCCTCCTTCTTTTTCTTTTTAGTTTGTGTGTTTGCAGGTTATCTGGTATGGGCCTTCGGCCTATCTGCTGTACCTCCGTCTCTCCTGAGCCGAAATAAATGAAATGACTCTTTATGCATGCTGACCTACCGCCCTCCTCACCTCCGCCAAGCACAAAAAGCACCGGGGCGACGGAGAAGCTTGCTTGAAAAGTCAAAACCAGAAGAAAATGACAGGCAGGACTCATGAGCCTGATTGACAACCGGTTTAAAGCGAGCAAAGAGGGGACAGCGAAATGAATGGATTCCGACAAGACGACGTCGGCGAGCGTTTGTCTGCTTTCCCCGTGTGGAAGCAAGAAGCCCAGAAGATGCATGGTGCTTCTCTGGCCCGCGGACAAAACAGGCAGGCGGTACTACCCCGGCGCTTAAAGGCCATCAGGAGAGGGAGGGGGGCTGGCGAGCTTGAGTGGAGATTCGGGAGTGCTTAGAAAAGGCGAAAGTCTACGACGAGCTCCCAAATTTGACAAGGCGCCTTCGATGGCGAAAGCTTTGCGCGCCTGCGGCGTCGTGCCCGCAGGGTGGTGAGGCATGAGGCAACACATGTTTACAAACTCAGGACAACACAACACGAAGTCTGAAACACAGCTCTTATCCTTCAGTACCTTCCTTTTGTGATGCCCCCAACTTGCATTGACGCCAGGAGTCCGAAGCGATCACGGTCGATGTACTTGATCCTGATGTACATACCGATGTATGCAACCTCTGCCTCCATTTGAGACATCCGATGGCCCAACTTGCTGTGTTTGAGACTCCGTGTTGTGTTGTCCTTTTTTCCCCCGAGTCTCGGGGTTTTGTCTAAAACTTTTAACACTTGTTTGTCTACGTCTGCGTTAATACATCATGCTTCCCCGAGAATCCCTAAATGAAGGAAGGTTTTCATTTTTAGACATAGCCAATTTGGCATAGGCAAAGCTGACATGTAACAGTTGGTATAGAAAAAAAAAAGAACACATGGTGCGGCTGATTTCAGTGGTTATCCAATCATTGTATGAGTTGTCAGTGCAAGCTTCTTACTGTTATTTTACTGAACCATTGTTTTAATTTGTTTTTCATGGATATGTGCGTGAATATGCGAACGCGGTGCATTAATATGTTTTCATTCAAATGTGGCAATTAATGTCAACCTGAAACCAACCTAACCTTGAGGATTTCGGAGATGTCGAGCCCCCCCTCTAAAGAAGGACTTCCGGAGCCTCTGGACGTGCCCAAAGCTCAAGCGGACCGATGGGGCCAGCAAGGAGGGTATGCCGGAGGCGCGCATTCGCTTTGCTTGGATGTTACGGATATTTAGCCAGGAAAACAGGATGGGCAATCTCTCGGGGGAGGGCGCCCTTACGGGACTTTTACTGTATCTATTTATGCAAAAAGTCCTACTGAATGTGTTGATGTAAGGATGGTTGTTTTCTTTCCTTTCAGCTCGTATTGGATGTGTGCGACGCTGCACCGTTAAAACTGCAACGAGCTATGCTGTCCTACGTCATGTCCGAAGCAGGAGGAGACTTGTCGCTGCGACTGAGCAGCTTCCCGGGCCAACTCACGCAGAAGCTCAACCTGATCTGCGACACCCAAGGGGGCTCGGAGGTAGGAGCATCCCTGCTTTCTTTACTTGTCTTTTTGCCAGTTGCTTCCACAGAAAGATGGCAATTTGGAGCTCCACTCCGTGTGACTAGCATTCTCCTGTGCCACACCTTTTCAAGAGGAAGGCAGTTGACGAGAAGTAACTAAGAAATCAGCATGTTTAGTTTTGCTTACAAAAATTTCAGCCAATTCGTGTCAATGGATCATGAGATTGTGTGTTGGCCTGTAAGTACTAGAGTTTATATATTGCCAATTTTTCTATGAGAAAGATATTAGTGCTAGTCAGGGATGGGCAAAATACATGCAAATATGTATCGAAATACAAATACAAAATACTTAGTCAAAAATGTATTTAATTACAAATCTAATTACATTTCCAGAAAAGCATTTAAGTACAAGATACAAATACAACCAAATGTATTTGGTCTCCTCCAAATACTTTTCCAAATAAATTCCTCAAAATTTGCGTCAGCGACTTCAGGGCACCTGCAACGAGTTTCTGGGTATCTCATTTTAATTTTGCATCGCACACTCGGGAGTTAGTGTGCGAGACTCTAGTAACGTGTTACAAATATAATCACAAAAAAATGTAATCATCTGCGACGTAATAGGTGAAAAAAGTACAGAGCTTCAAGCAGCTTTTCTTGCCATTACATTTTGGTATAGACCAACAAAGAACCGAGACGACCAAGACATTTGTTGCACCTCGCACCAGTTACAAAAATCTGGACGACCCGCGCCTTTAGAATGTTCCAGGCAAAAATATGGATAGAAATCAGACTGGAAAGCATCACAAGTTGTCACAGGCACTTATTTAGCCAGTCTGCCTGTGAACGTCCATTTCGTCACTATTCTTGCCCTGGACTAGCACCGTAATCACAAAGTCACTAAACGCTTGTGCTTGATTGAGAGACTCTGCATTCGGTGCATAACGTAGTTTTCTTCCTGCTCTGGACAGTGACAATAAATTTGAGGGATGTATTTTCGCCCACAAAATTGTATTTAATTAAAATTGTATTTGAAATACCCACGTTTTAGTATTTAAATACACAGGTCAAATACATTACCCAATTTGTAATTAAATACAAATGCAAAATACACAAAGTATTTGAAATACGTATTTCAAATACTTGTATTTGAAATACTGCTCATCCCTGGTGCTAGTACAAGCGGTCTATACACTTGAACAGTTCTCTATAGTAAAGATTGATAGAGCAAAGATACGGATGTAGTAAAGGAAAGTGTGCTTATAAGGCTGGTACGGACATTTGGGATGCTTGTATATAGGGAAGATACTGATGCGGTGAAAATGTGTTCCTGAAAAAAACAACTCTTTTTAACGCACTGAACAGGTCCTACTCTGCTAGTAAAAAATAGGCAGCGTCAAAATGAGCCTACAGCATACTGACCTCCACATTTCATGGTTTGCTTCGTGAGATGTCCTTAAAGCAACAACTTCTCTTGTTTTCGTATGTGTGAAACATAATGACACAGCCTCATAACAATGTGCTCATATAGTCCACGGAGTTCGGAATACATGAATGAACCAACCTTGGTTTAATGAAGTTTTTGAGCATTGACACCGTTGCATGTTCGCCCATTTGTGATGGACGTTGTTTTTTGTCCTGGTCAGGTATTGGACGGCCTAACCAGCCTCTGCCTACAATCGCCATCTGAAATCGTCCGGGGGCTGGTTGACTTGGCCGTGACTGACGGCTGTGCAACGCTAGTGTCTCAGGCAAGCCTCATTGTTCTCTGTTCCCCAGAGTCACTAGTTCCTATACTAAACATGGAAGTTTTGACTGAATCGCTCAAATCGCCATTTTTTTTCATTGCACTCATACTGCGGCCTCTTTGAGCTCATGGTGTCTGAGCAGAGAAGAAAAATGTTAACCGAGAGAAAGATGACGAAGGAATTCTTGCGCGGTATACGCTGAAAAATTTGGAAGAGGGAAGTTTAGAAGTAGCGTAGTCCTGCATTAGCTTCAGGTTGGTCACCTTTTTTTCTATTCATCACGATTGAGCGTAAGTGTGAGGATGCACGTGTCCTTTTACTCCTTGCTTTGACACTTCTCATCTGCACAATTACGTGTTGGTTGAAGCGCATCTTTTGGAGCAATTAACATACATTAATTCCTGTCATCACTGCTTCGGGCTTTGATGCAGAAAACACGAGTCATTGACTGTGTGGCACCATTATTTTAGTGCGTTGAGATGGAGGAAGAATATTTGCAGACAGGCTTTCATTAACCTGGGTGCCTTGAGAGCATCTCCGACTGGTGTGTTTGCCACATCCTCACTTTTTCACTACTACGACCAACCGCCAGGAACGCGACATCTGACGGCGTCCCACACAGGCTCCTTTGATAGACAGAGTGCATGAGGTATTTACACAGCTCCAGGTTCTTCCCATACTCTTACTCCATTTGCCTCGAGACTAAACTTTGCCTCTCGCTGCATCTATTTAATCTACCTAGTGTACTGTCGAGACCGGTTATAACAAAGTCGGTTATAACGAAATAGCAGCTACAGCGAAGCGATCACGATTTCCCATTCTCTTCTGCTCTTCGTTAACTGAAGTCGGTTATAACGAAATAACGGATATAGCGAAGTGATTTCCGATTCCCGTTGACTTCGTTATAACCGGTCTCGACAGTATCAACTTTAAAATGGCAGCTCTCGGTCTGACACAAAAAATTAAAAAGCATGCCGACCTGATTGTCTCGGCTGCTGACCGCAGCAATTTGGATATATCCAACTTCTTGAACATGTCAAGGCCTTTCGTTTTAAAGTTCAGGAAGCAGCTTTCAAATTCTGATGAAATCGTTGCATCCATGGCCAAGCGAAAAAAAATGTCTTCCACGGTCAGATGTCGTCAAGGTGCCAGACTTTGTCCAGCTGGTGCGGGTCATTATGACCGACAACCCCTCCGAGAGTCGACGAGGGCCACTGTCAAGCATCTCGAAGTGGCAGAGTCCATTATTAGGCTTGTAGGGCATGAGGATCTTAGATACCAATCGTACTTGATGAAGGGAGGGCAGTTTATCTCATAATAAACCGAGAAAAACTGTGTCGTTCGATCCAGCGCTTGTTGAAAAAGCTCAAGCACCTTTAGGAATTGGACATGCTTTGGTTGTTTTTTCGACGAGAAGAACTTTTAGACCAAGACCAAAATTCTCAGCGGGAGGAATGACAGGTGATTCTGTGCGAGCCCCGATGAAGTCGTTACGGTCAAGCGGACAAGGTTTCTGTCATCTGCGGTGGTCCTAGCTGTTGCGAACAACGAGGGTCATGTCGTACCACTGCACTCCTTTCAAAGGGAGGCCGTACACTTTTCTACGGGACTCCGCTCCATGCCACATAACCCACGCGACCTAAAATTGGCTACCTGACGACCTCGGCGACTTGACCACGTCTCCCCAACAAGTGGCCTCCCAACTCCCCAGATGTAAACCTCTCCCCAAACTATTATGTCCGAGGCGTCGTCGAGAGGGATACCACCGAGTAGCCTTCCATCCCCAAAGAGTCGTTAAAGGCTGCCATTGTGGGCGCTGTGGCCAACATCGACGAGGACCGCTTGATTGGGGCATGCAGCCATTTTCGAAGCTGGATCGAGTTGACCAACGCCGCTCAAAGTGATTTTATCAAATGAAGTTCGAGAAAACAAATAAGAAACAGTATCTGCACCAAATTCAGCACAAATAGATTAATATTACGTCGAGACATCTTTTCTCTCGATACCACCATTATGTTCTGAAATACCTCGCACACCCTATATTTTGTTGCCGCTTCTCGATTAGGGATGCCGCGAACTTTTTTCGAATCGAAGTTTCGATGGTCGAATCAAGCGGTTCGAAAGGTTCGAAAGATTTCGATTTTTCGAATTGTCTATATCGTAAAATTCGACGGAGGTCGAATTTTCGAACTTCTTAAGCTAAGAAGTTCGACGCTTTTCGAACCGTCGAACTTATTACGCTAAAAACTTCGATCTTTTTCAAACTTTCGAACTTATTGCGCTGCAAGGTTCGATGCTTGTCGAACTTTTGAACTTGACTGACCAAAAAATTCGATGAATTTCGAACTTTCGAACTTATTTATCAAGAGAATTCGAAAAGTTTCGAACTTTCGGATTCTGAAAAGTCAGAAGTTCGACGAACTTCGAACTTTTAGGGTAAAAGTTCGACGTTCGTCGAACTTCGAAAGACCGGCGGACGGTTTCATTTGATTTCAAGTAGTGGGGTACATTCGTCATTTTTTTTTCTCGAACTTTTACACGCGGTGCTGCGTTCCTTACGAAAGACAATGTCGTTTATTTCAATGTTCTGGCATGCTTAGGTTTAAAGAAATAAATCCCTGAAGGGGCGAGGAAGGACGACGGGTTTTTGACGATTATCGTTTGTGCCAGATTTGAAGCACGCTGCAGCCGGAGCTATTTATGGTAGATATGTTATACTTTTTTTAAGAATGATCTATGTATAGCCTAGGTAAGTGCCGTCTTAAGATGTGATTATTGTTATTCAACGTGAGTTTCGAAGAAATGTCCAAACATATATCTGCATGCAATTATAACCTAAACTTGATATTTATTTTCGTCTAAGTTGTTTGAGGTATCGCATTTAAATTAACACCACAGACAGTACATATCATTGCCATCTGCAGAATACGAAATAATATATTTATTGTTTTTTCACGTTAAGGAATAAATTAACTCATGGGACAAGATTTCTAATAGTATTCAAGTTCAGCACGTCATTAAAAGAAAACATTTTTTTTTTTTTTTCGCTTCACGTTCTTGGGACGTGTTTCTTTTAGCCTGTACACATTTTGGTAAAACAAACTTGTTTCGAAGTTCTGAACCTCTGAATATGCAATAATAGAACACTTCCGACGAATTCTTGATAGTTTTTTTTTTCTCCTGCTTTTTATTCCCGCATTTATTCTTTTTTTTTGTTACTATCGGCACAGGTGTTTAGGTCGAAAAGACAGCTTTGAACTTCCGAACCACTAAGCATGTGACGAGCAGTGTCTTCTGACAACGAGTTTCTAACAATGACCATCTACGCAACCTTTTATGCAGTGAAGAGCGACAGTAGCTATGCGCATAAATAATTTCAGATTAAAATAAGCTCGACCACGCCCTCTTTCCCCGTATTGTTTTCTTTAACAGTTCGAAATACCTGCAAGGGGGAGAAGCAGGCTGAAGCCAACACCTCCTAGCTGAAGCCCCCCCCCCTCCCCCCGCTACCCTCTTTCCCCCCGTTTTTCCTCTTCCGACGCCACTTGTATGGTAGAACGCTCCTCGACCTCGAGTTGTGTCGGCTTTTGTGCTTTTTGCGAGGCGATTCCTCCGTCCCAGAAAATAAACCTCCAGGACAATTATAAACCTCACCGGATCGGATTACTACCAGCGTGCAAGGGGTGGCGAGGTAGTTTGCCAGGTTGCTTCAAGGTTTTTCTGAGCCTCAACCTCCTGCTCGCCCCTGGCCGTTTCGAACTGGATGAGTCTCGTAAAACAGTGTGTTTGTGCAATCACTACTGCGTGATGCAGGTTAAAGACCCCCCCCCCCTCGCCGGGGCTGGCGGTCACAATTCTGCACTGGCAAATATTCTAGCACGTCCGGGACACTCGTCGTCTCATTTAATTGCCTGACCAACTTCGCAGAATCTAGATATCACACCCTAACTTTTCTAAACTTGATTTCGTGAAAACCAGTGAGTCGTAAAAACGTTATTTGAAACTGAAACTGTGGAAAAACTTGAAAATCGGACTTCGAACTTTGAAAACTTGGATTAGAAAAAAATTCAAAATCTTCGAAGTTTTTTTTTTTTTTTTTTTTAATTTAGCGTTAAAAGAGAATCGAAACCTCTGAACTTTTCGAACTTTATGCAAAAAGAAATTCGAAATATTCGAATTGTTCGAACTTCATGTCTATAAAAATTCGAAGCGTTCGAAGTTTTCGAAATTTTTTTACAAAGAATTTCGAGATCTTCGAATTTATCGAACCTGAAGTAAAAAAATATTCGAAATATTCGAATTCGAAGTTTTGGGAACTGTGAAAGCTTCGAAATTTTCGAATTCGAAACTCCGCTGTGGTCAAAAGTTGCGAATTTTTCGCAATCGAACCTTGGTCGGTACGAAAATATCGAAATTTTTCGAAATCGAACCTCAGTTCGCTTCGCAAATATCGAAACCTTTCGAAATCGAACCTAGGGTGGTTCGCGACATCCCTATTCTCGATGTACGGGTTGGATAGGGTGCCAAACACTCGAGTTGGGGACGCGCTCTGGGCATCGTATCTGAGTTGGCTGATCCTCGCAGTGGGGAGGTTCGGGTACGGTGCCTGCAACGTGTCTCCGACTGGTGTGCTTACCGCGTCCGAAAAAGTGGTCTCGGATTCCCGCCCGACGACGGCACAAAAGTGTCACACTGTCGTCGGCCGCGAATCTGGCCGTAGTTCAGGTGCCCGACTTTCGTTCGCAGATCCTCGAATTTCTGGGGTCGGCCTGCAGAAGTAGGGACGACGCCACGGGACAGCGCCTTCTCGTTGGAGTGCTCGGCGACTGTTTCGAACGGCTGCTGGCGCGGCCGTCCAAGCGGAGCACCCACTACGTTTCCCTGCTCGGAGAGCTGCGTCGGGTGCCGGACCTGGTGGACTGGGACGCCTTCCGCCAGCGCGTCGTGCCTTACCTCGAGCCGGGAGGTGCGGAGGACCCGGCGCCGGACGAGTTTTTTCCCGTCAGGGTCTCAATGGTGAGGGTCTCGAATTGCGCCGGAGGGGTAGTGGCCAAAAGAAGTCGGCTGCGACGAGACGGGCTCGAGACGTCGGGCGGGACGCGCAGTTACCCCAAACTTAAAGGCCGACGTGCGGGCAATGCTTTCCGTCGTGTAGAATATTCTTCCCAAACGGCATCCTCTTTAGTCTTGCGCTCTTTCATTCTCCTCCTCCTCTCCCAAAAGGAGAGGGTTGTGAAGTTGGTTTCCACGAAAAGGAGATGCAGTTTTCTTCTATCCGCTCGTTCGTCGGGCTTTAATCCCGTCGCTCGTCTAACCGAACATCAAATGGTCGTCAGTTGCTCGACAATGACTCAATAATGGGGGTCCCGGTCCTTGCAGAACGGTGATTGGGGGGGTTCGATTGTTGGCTTAGACTAGCGCTAACGGCGCCGAAACCGAGCGATTTCGTGGAGTTGCCAAGTTTGGGGGTCACCGTACGGCATCGTGCGAGGCTCGGAGCTCATTTTGGCTGCCCGAATTCGTAGAGGAACATTTATTTTCGTACAGTAGTCGCCGTGAACTATGAACAAGTCTTGTTTGATGTAGGTTACCCCCCAAAAGTACAAGTTAATCAAAGCTGCGCGTAATATCTAAGGGGAAGTTCCTTTTGCGGGTGTCACGCGCGTACGGCCGACCACTCGATTGGACATGAGCATCCATGCAATATAGTTTGCGTTCCGTGTCTTCAGTAAATGCCAACGGACCCTGAGAATTAACCATTTTTTTGGCCAACTCTGGGAATACCAGAAAACCCGAATTAAAGCCGTCTTTGAGTGAGAAGAACCCTCGTTTTCTGGGGAGAAGATCTTAATTTTCCGTTTTATTTTTCCATTAATCTGGAACAGAGCCCCGTCGCTTGGAAACCACAGCCCCGTCTCATTCTCTTGTTGGTGCCGGGATGTTTTACAAGGATATTGGGTCAGGCGCCCAAAATGTTGGGGAATCCCTCCCCTATTTTCTTCGAGCCTCGATAAAGGTCAATTTTTTGTCCGACACTAAAATTTGACATTGAAAAGCACCGAACCTGCGTGAAAAAAAAAATATTTGAAGTACCCTTTAATTTAAACACCCCCGAAGACTCAAAACACTAAATGTAGTGTATCTACGTACATCAAGGGGGTTTACAAGTGCAGCCCCTGACTCTGCGACTATCCATCCCCAGGCAGTGCGTTCGAGCATGTCGGCGCAACACCATCTTCACACGGCTCAGATGCTCATCCGCCTTTTAGACAAGGCCTGCACTCGGCTAAACGGTGCGAGAAAAGAAAGGCTGCTCGACTTCTTGGACACCTACCTCTTGGAAGTCCTTGATCCTGGCAGCAGTCTTTACGAAGGTATGTTCTTCGGCTCATTTCGTCTCTGGTCGACGCCTTCTTGGATGTTGTCACACGAATGGACGAAGTAGTTTGAAGCTTGTTCTATGTAGTGGGGAGGCCAAAGAACAAGACATGTGCCATGCTGAGCATGCTAAAGAACGTGCTGAAAAAATGAAGAGACGCAGGGCTGAACAGGCTGCACAAATGAACAGACACGGCAGCGAGCAAGTCGTAGAACTGAACAAACACGGCATTTTTGCTTGTTCTTTATTCCGCGCTTAGAGGTGCAAAATTCTTAATTTGAAAGTCGTGCCTGCCCCTCTGTTCTTTTTCACTAATTCTGTTTTCTGACTTTTTCTTTATTTTCTTGCTCATTCTAGACAAACATTGGGCGGTGCTTGAGGAAGCCGCAAGGAGTTGCTCCGGTCTGTGCAGAGCTGCCCTGTGCCAATTACTGAGGAAAAGGAAACTGGAGAACACCCGACTTTGTGAGTGAGGATATCGCTGCTTAAAGGGGCCCTGCGAGAACTTTTTTACTGGTTTTTAATTTGCACCTCCTTCACGACGTCCTTGGTCGTTTGAGTGGCCGTGAACTGGAGGATGGGGTAGCGAGCTCAGTGAGCGCTCATGGCTGCCTCACTCCGTGTCGACGGCTCGAGAGGTGCGCCACTAAAGCATGTTCTGGATAGGCTGTATAAAGCGGACAGCCAGGGCGGCTCGCATTGCATTTCCTGCGTGGTTAAACACTAAATCTTCATGACACTTCGTTGGCCACAAACGACAGCAAACACGGGGTAAAGATCAGTTCAGAACGGGAGCCACTTCGCGCTGCCATACCGCCAAACGGCCAAACCGCAAGCTAAACCTTCTCGCCGAAGGCCTTCGGAACGCTTGGAACCGGTTGGATCCTCGACTGCGTACACGACTGCAGCGCCGCCGCGTACATCCGGGACCTTTCTACGCTCGCCGCTTGTCGGTGCCTGATCCCACCACCCCTTTCTATCATGCGCCGCCTTTTCCACCGATTGGTGGCAGGTGTGTCGATGGGCCATTTCTTGTTTCCGTACTTTCTAAACTGCATTTGTTTCTTTTCTAATCTAAAATACTGAACAAAAACTACTTTTATAAATAATTGAAACGGTTCACGCCACTTACATTTTGTATTTCAACTAAAAAGAAGCTTTTAGCGGCCCTGATCAGTAGTAAGCCCAGGACCAAAGACTTCACATTTTGCACGCTTTCGGCACTGAGGTGAAGTTTGTGTTTTTGCAATCATTTTGTTTATGTAAGTCATATTTTGTAAATTAAGTTTTTACTCGCTTGAGAATGTTTATTTTTGTATCCATCGTGTAAATTCTTTTTTTTTTTAATTGTTGTTGGTAACTTGAGTTTCTACTCTGCCTGTGTGTATCCTTTTACAGACAAAGCAGTCTGGGCAGCAACCAGCAAGGATCCGCTTCTGTTTGGCGCCGAAAAGTGGGACGACGAGTGCGCCAGGTTGAGTGCCGAGCACCAGGGCTGCCCACTGGAACAGTTGACTCTGCCTTACTTTGCTCAGGTGGGCTGTCTTTTCTCTTTTGCGTACCCAAAAGGACGGCAGTGTTTCGCTGCTCACTTCGCCGAAATTCTCACCCTACGTTGGTAAAGCTATTTTATACGGATTAAATCGTATTAATTAGTGGGCTATAATTTTTAAGAGCGCTATTTTTTGTTTCTTGTAGCATTTTAATTGCATTTTGATTGACAGTTTCCCCTTGGTACGTTCGATCTGTCTTTCACTGTACGGCAACGAGGCCATTGAGCCAGTGTTTGTGCAGCCTCACTTTCACAAGACCAAGGATCTTGCGTTGATGGTGGTCTATCCTGTCTCGGGATAACTGTGAGGAGCCCGGTTCTCTCTGATTGGTTCTCTGTGCTCCCATAGTGGCTTGCTGGTGCCACATGGGACGAATGGGAGCTCCTCTTGGAACGTGCGGAGGCAATGCTACGCTTCGGAGAGGACGGTCCTGTAACCGCCGTCGACGTGGTCAAGTTCCTCACCCTCTGCCTCGCCGGCTGCAAGCGGTTCCTGGTGGTGGGAAACTGGTGCCACCTCTTTTCCTGCTTTGCAAAGGTGGTCACGGTAAGTGTTGTTTGGCCAAGTCTGTTCGTATGGCACCGTATATGCGCTCGAGTGATGGCCACCAATGGACCGAGCCAGTGTTGCTACCTTCCAGCAGAGCACACAGAAAGCAAATCGTTGCCATTGACAAAAGGAGCCTACAGCCATGCTCACGCTACTAATACATTGTACAAAAGACATTCTGCAGATGAGGCCTTCCTTCTAGGACGGTCGCATTGGTCGTACAAAAACTGCAGCAGACAAGTTAGAAACTTGCATTTGTTTTCAGCAAACATGCTTCGAGCACACTTGCGGCATGCCTGCAGATGATTCAGTCATCGTTTCTGAAGCACACACCATACCTTTTGTATGATGTATGAGCAGGGTGATTATAATGTAATGAATGGTGGGACAGAGGAACTGTTTTTGTGCAAAAAGGACGTTTCTGTCGCAGCGCCGGGCTCAAAGTTTTGTGTGCCGTGCGGATTGCATTTCCACGAATAATAATTAGCTCCTCCTTGTTTTTCTCCGGGTTTCTTCCGTGGGCTGTGCTGCGGGGAAAATGGACGAGTGGACCTTGTTTGGAAACAATGCGCAAGATGTGCAACACGTCTGTGTTCACTTGCTCCGATTCATTTGTTTGGGATCATAGTACAGAACCTAGGGGGATCAACAAGGCCTAATGTTTCACAGTTTGTCTTAACAAAACCTGAGCACAAAGCAAAGCTCAATTTGAGAAATTGATATAGCACTAAGGGCATGACATACTTCTTTACATTTAGGTAGTTCATTGTTGCTTGGCGATAACCTTGAGTACCCTTCAGCCATTCTTTCTATTTTGAACAAAAATGGCTATTTATGCCGGTTATATCTTTTAGTCTGTTACTCGCATTGGTTTTTTTTAGGGATTTTAGTTGGTTCTAAGTTCTGCTCTATGCAATAGGTGCATGAAATTTATTGGCCGTGGATTCTTTCGTTGCACTAAATAATAGCAACGCCGAGGAGGCAATCTGCAGTGTAATAAAACATGGCTGTTGCGACATCCTAGAGACTCCCTTAACATTTGCAGAAATTGCTGCAGCGAGAGGAAAAAGCCATCGACGAGGACATCTGCGCAGTTCTGGTGGAACTTGCGTTCTGCCTCTGCCTCGTTCCAGAGCAGTGCCAGAGGCAGGCCGTTGTTCTCCTGCTCGACGCAGTTCAGCTGCTCGATTCAGCGGACCTCAAGGGTCGTCTTTCGGAGCCGCTGAAAGCAACGCTCACCGCTCAGGACTCTTCGCCCAAAACATTCTCAGGCGCAATAGATCGCCTGGTTCGGAGCTTCGGAGAGAAACTAAATTTTAAGGAGTGCTAGTTGGAAGAAACGTAAGCTGTGTTCGGTGAATTGCCAAGTGTACAGACTGCAGCGGGTATTGCTCGTACAGGGTACCGTTTTCTTGCACCCTACCGCATGAATAAAAGGAGGCTGTGCCCAGGGTTATCCCTCTCTCTCCATAAACAGTCCCAACCTGTCCAAAATTTGTGCCACTCAGGCTCTCGTCCCGAATTCCAACTTCAAGGTGATACTGTTGCAGAGACCCTGATGACCTATCAGCTTCAGAGGCTTGAACAGAAGCTATATCCTGTTGCAGGTTAACCTCCTGCAAATTCGTCCACTCTTTTCACTTTAGCAGAGTGAATGCTGGATAGGAGGTGGGTTCACTTGCCTCCTCTCCAGCATTCAGTCTGCTGAAGTAGAGAGAGCTCGTCCCACTTTTTTTTAACCTGCAACGGTGTATAGCAGTTTGGGACCGAATTGCCGTCCCCTTTCTCACGCAATTCTCTCATTAGGACGACACTGGTCTCCGTGCAACTCAACATCTCCACCAACAGAAAGGAATTTTTTTTTTTTAGCAAGAAACAGGTTTTTGTATTTTGCTATAATTCAGCACTAGTTAGCGAAGTGAAAAAGCATCAGAAGTGGCTATGCAAAACTCTTAATATTTGACAAATATAATTGAGTATCGCCACTATCTTTACGTCTTCATTATACAAAAGAAATTTGAAACTCCAAAAAACAAAATTTTTATGACCGCTTGAACGCAGGAGATGCTTTGATTTGAATGCATAGTCACGGGAATCGACTTTTAACACCTCCTGGCTGGTCTTCTGATTTTGGTTTGACTATGTTTTTTTTCGGTAAATATGCTGCTGCACAAAAAAAGTGAGCAGTCCCGAGTTAATCCACTGTAGTCGCGGGGATAGCTCCGACACGCTACGGCGTCGGGTTCACGCACTGTAGGGTCTTGACGGCGAAGTATCGGTTAGCCTTTTTCTCGCTAGTGTGCACCTCGCAGTTGTTCTTGCGACGACCGGTGAGATGCGTGGGCGTTGCCGCCAGTGCATCTTTCAGCGTCTCGCAAGAAGCGCAGTGCTAGCACGCGGAGACGCCGAGACGCAAGCGTCTGCCGATTTGCACCATACTTGTCAAGCTTTTAGCATGCGTTCTGCTTGGGGCGGTTGGGGATCCACCAACGATGACTTGATGTGCGGGCCTCGTTTTCTGGGTGATATTGGACGGATAAATACAACTGAACCCTTTCAATCGGCGGCGGCTTGCACCACCTAGCCGAAGCTATTAATTTCAACAATTAACTCCAACTAATAAACTAAAAATAATGAAAAACTTTTTATTGCTACGTCTGGTCTGGTAACGTGCCCAAGTCCACGCAGCGAGCCCAGGGTCAAATTCTGAGAAAGCGGTGGCGGCGGTGGGCATTTTTTTTAAAGAATTTGGTTAAAAATTAGGAAGGGTGCAAAGACACGGACAAGAACGAGAAGGTGGACGAACGAGGCGCTGACCTACAACTTAAGTTTATTCGTGCTAGGCTTAAAGAGCACGTGGCGTCCATGTCATATATTTTCTCTTGGATTGTTTATTTTGACGTTGCAGTATTTATACTCGATGTTAGCACGAATAAATTTCAGTTGTAAGTCAGCGCCTTGTTCGTCTACCTTCTCGTTCTTGTCTGTCTTTGTGCCGTTTTTAATTTTGAATCATGAACTACCAACTGGCCCAAAACTTCTAGATTAGAGAATTTGGTGATATTGGCGCGGATGTCCCATCATTTGAGGAGCTCGTACTAACAGCTATCGCTGTGAAATAAATACATCATTTTGGGGGGGGGAAGGGGGGGGGGGGGAGGGGGGAGAAGCCTGGTCAGGGGCCACTTTTAAGGTCAGTCTAAAATGTGGCCCATGAAATGTTTATCTTGAGTGTTGATGCGATAACGGTGTGATTGTTTATTTGGGTGTGTTCTTTTCATCAAACGTTCAGTTGAAGTTCAGTGCTCGTTTTCTGCATTTCTCCCTTTGTCCTTGTATTTTTGCTCGCTGCCACCAGTTGTAATTAGTGATGGGCCGAACTTTTGACGAATCGAAAGTTCGGTGCCCAATCTTGGGATTCGGCAAAGCCGAACTTTTGTCGGACTTTGCTAAAGATTCGGCAAAATACATTGTTAACGGACATAATGTTGATATTTAGTTTTTTTCTCCCGAAAAAAGGTTTTATGTTGTTTTTTCTTGATTTAAATGCATCATGTAATGCATATTGACACAGTTATTACCAAATAAGGCGATTTTCTACAAGATAATTGTATCGATCTCGGTTTTGTGCGTTTACTGGCAATTTTAGTGACTGCAGAAGTGGCGCGACAATGAGGTTGGGTAGAAGCGAGCGTGACGCAGTCACGAACAACGCTACGAGAGTTTCCGATTTGAGGCATCATCAGCACAAGCCTGCAAGTGTGTGTACATTGTTAAAATGAAGGCAATACCACTGCATTTTTGCTTTCTCTGGGAGCCACCATTTCGTGCACGAACATGAATGCAGCGGTTGCTGAGCCTTCACCAGAAAAGATAACAGTATTATCGTTAATATGCATGTTTTTTCGATTTGAGTCGCTCGACGTCAGCTTTGCAAGAAAGTGTGCGTCCTTTATTTGCCACGTCTCGTTTTTTAAACCTTTAAAATTCCGGTTTTTGGTGTTAGGATACACACGGACATTTAGGAAAATGGGGAGAGTTGGAAATGTTGTGTGTGCAATGTTGAGCATTATAGTTCTGTGTTTAGTTCTATGCGGATACATGGAAATCGTGAAATAACGCTGATTGAAAAAGCAATATTATTTTGTTTTTGCACACTACTTTTGAGCCGAAAATAGGATTGTTATACTTGCGAGGAGTGCTTTAAAGTAATTGTCAGTCACTGTTTCAACTACCTCGTTGCATCACTGGAAAGATCAATGAAGGTCACGTTATCTGGAACGTACCACATCATTTGTCACTTGCGCAGCGGACTGCGTAAATCACTGGTCGATCTTCTGCTCTTGAGGCAGAAAATATTAAAGAGAACCACACTCGCTCACAAACGCGTAGTTACTGTGTTGCCTACTCCACACCATGCTGTAACCTCTGATTGTACTACACTGCATGATGGTAACCGCAGGACTGCAAGGCCGTCACGTTCTCGCGCATGCGCAGACATTTGCCGAATCTTTGCCAAACCTTCCTTCAAAAGTTTGGCATTTGCCAAACTTTGCAGAGTCTGTAGTTCGGCAGATTCGGTCCATCACTAGTTGTAATCATGAAATGCAGTGGTCACGGGCACCTGCAAATATTGAGTAATTTCACTACATGTGCATCTCAAACTGCAAATGTACTGAAAAGAAATATTAGATAGTAACACCACTTGGGCTAGATAATAATACATTTTATGTAGGCAGCAATTTGTACACTTATTTACAAAGGCAAGAGCACAATTCCTGGTTTTCCAACATAACAATGATTGTGGTAAAATTACAAAAACACTCGCAACTGCTGCACCATTTCTTGAAAGCTGAGCCTTCTTACAACGGAATTGACACCCACAACAGAAGATACTCTATTCTAAAACCCCGCAAATTATATAAAAAGTGTCCAACAGGCAGTGGAGTCGTCGCAGTTCATTTTTCTACCACATGGAACGTCAGAGAGGCTCCCCGGCCATGTCGCCATCTATGATGCCACGCAGGATGCCGGCGGCTCTTTCCGCCGAATCGTCGCATCCCCTCAGTTCCCCTACAGCCTGCAACATGTCCCCCAGATCCTCCGTGGAGACAAACTCTTGCGACACCAACATTCGAAGAAGCTCTCCGAGCTTCGACCAGCCGCGACCCCCATCCCCGCTCATCCGCACGAGCTGCAAGTTCCTCTCGCACATGAGGTTCCTGCACATGCCAGGCACGACACTGCTCTCGGTCCACAGGGGCAGCGCCGCCAGGAAGACGCCGTGCGTGAAGGACGTCGGGCTGAAGATGGCGAGACAGACCACGAAGTCGAAGCTAGTTTGCTGTGCGACGCGAATCGAGGACGGCGTCCATTCCAGCCGAGAGTTCAGGGAGTGCTCGCAGCGTTCGAGAAGCGAGATGGCGTTTTCGGTAGGAACGAGCCCCCCGTCGCAGCACAGGCGCTGCAATGCGAGCCTCAGGTCGTTGAGAACGTCGAAGGCCCGGCTCGCGCCATGGTGTGCAGCATTGTCGCGGCTTGCCACACCAGCGGGCTTGGTTGTCACCGAGACATTGGCCGCGTCTTTTAGTATAGACTCGGTGATGTTGACGGTCAGCCACCGTTGCACCTTGAGGACGGCACTCTTTGCGCTCAGCTGGCAACAGGTTCTGACGACCTGTTCTTGCGTGTCCTGCGGCAGCAATAAGGGAATGAGCCTGTCGACTTGTTCGCGGCAGGACTCGGCCGACTCTCTTTCCAGGCGCTCCTTCAGCTTGAGGAACACAAGGCTCGTTGCATTCGTCACCTTCTCGGTCTCTTTCCGAGCATTCGAGCCGGGTTTGGTTGGGGACGTCGCATCGGCCGCGACGTTCTCGATCGTGACAGAGATGTCCCTCTTGATGAGTTTGGCAACGTTGGACGAAACCCGCTCGGCCACAAACTCCACGATCTTCCTCACCGACTGCGGATGCATGTGGAAGAAGTTGTCTTCCAGTTGGCGGTCCAACCGCTTCGTGGCACCCGCGGTTTTGTCTTCGACGTCCCGGGCGGAGACTGGCGTTATCTTGCGGACGTCTCCGCCATACCGCGATTTGCTTCCCGCCAAGTGCTCAGCCAGCAGACACCGCAGCTCCCCCAGGTAAGGGCAGCACGCATACACAATCTGTTGGTCGACTAAACTCTCGGGCTCTGTTTCCAGCACGATGGTGGCGGCGACGCCAGCAAATGTGAAGAGTGCCGGCCGAACGTTCAGCACCTCGAACAGCCAGCCGAGGAGCGCCCTGACGAGGAAGGACGTGGGTTCGACCGAACGCAGTGCGTCGGAGCCGTAGATGGCGGAGAGCTCTCCCAGGACCAGCCTGTAGCCGTCGAGCGTGGTTCCAACCGGATCCGCCATGGACACGAAGTTGACCGTCCAAGCGAGGGTAGCCACAAGGTGCCGTTTCCTGCGCACGGATCTCCGGAGAGAACCCATGACATCTATCGGCAGCGGTCTGAGGTTTCGAATCGACCGCTGAGATTCTCGCTGTTCCGCCGGGAACTTCCCGAGAGAATGATACGGCAAGAACTCCACGAGGCCGAGGAACAGACCCAGGAGCTTGAGCCTGTGCACCAGCGAGAAGAAGCGTCGCTTCTCCTCGTCGCCGGGCGGCATGTCGACGTCCACGAAGACATCGTCTCTCTCGGACGTGACGATTCTTTCTACGCACTGGTCCTTGAAATGTTGATGGAACGATGCGCTCGAAGCTGCTTTGACGAAGTCATGAAAGAACCCCTGGCACCCGGGGAAAGACGGGCTTGGGCAGGGACCCCCGACCTTGAAGGGGTGGACGAACCGTTCCTCCAGGCGCTCAAACTTGTCAGGCAGGGTGCTCTTGAGTTCCGCGAGCAAGTCTTCCCCGAGGCCGCTGTCCGTTTCTGCTCCGCCAGAGCAGCTCGTAACGAGTTGTGTCAGAACGAGCCTGGCCAGGTGGGAGTAGTTGCAGGGGTCGTTGCAGACGTCAAGGATTTCGGCTACCCGCCGAGGAAAGCGGGCCTCGAAGGTCGTTCCGCTGTCAAAATGGTGCCGCTGCCAGTCGTGGAAGAGGTCGTAGAACATGTCCCTCTGCCTGCGGAACAGGTGGAAGTTGTGTTCGCACGAAAAGTTCCTCCGGTTGTCCGTGGCAGCTTCAAACGCGACACCTTGTACAGAAGAGGGCCACACCCTGGAGACCGATGGTGCTTCCTCGGCGAGCAAGGCAAGATCCGTCTGCAACTGCGGGGAGAAGGTAGCTAGATGTTGGACGCTGCTTAGGAGCTTCAGGGTGGGTCTGTCGAGGAACCGGAGCCAGGCGAGTATTTCTTTGAGTACACCCACTGCAAAGTATGCACAGTTGTGGACGGAGCAGAGAAGGAGAGGTCCCTCCGGCACGGCGGTCTTCTTCACTTTCAGTGTGAGCAGCTGCAGCACGAAGAACAACTCAATCGTCAGGTTCCCAACGAGACCCGCGTTGATGAGGCCCGCGTAGACTCTGAGCAGGGCGTCCAACTTCGTGCGCTCGGTCACGCACTCGCAGACCGGGACGACGTACTCGTTTAATGGCACTTTGTCCCGGTCCTGTTGTCGCTGCTTGTCGTCGACGGTCTGTCGCTGGCAGCTGACGGGAGCGGCGACGGGCGGCGATCGCTGCTGGCCGTCTGGAGACCCCCTGTTGCCTTTCTTCGGCGGTCCCGTGTCACCGCCGACGATCGTTCTTCCGCGGCCTGCCTTGTCCTGACAAGGCACGCGTTCGCGAGAAACCTCGGGCGGCAAGAAGTCGCTCACCGTCAGCTTCCGCCAATGCTGTTTGACGGGCGTCGGCGTTATCCTCCGGATCGGCTTGGGCTTTCCCGCGATCACTCCAACGACGGGGAAGTTCTGGTCGTCTTGGATGTCCGGCACGACGGTGGTCGTTTGTTGATGACTTCTGGGCCTGTCGTTCCTCTCGAGTGCCGCCAAGAGGTTGATTCTGTGGTCGTCGTTTCGTGGGGGGACCGAAGGGAACTCTTGTCGGGAAGAGTCCCTCCGAAGCCCATTACCGGAACCCCCGTGCCGATGCCAGCTCGGCGCACTGTCCCGGTTGTAGGGCAGCTCGCAGAAGACGTCTTCGCGGTTTCTGCTTCGAGTCGGGGTCGAGCTTCCCGGCGGGGATTGGAGCTCGACTCTTCTCACGTTGCTGCCGATCTTCGGATGCGGTCTCGCTGGCAACGGCGATTTTTGTGGTTGTTGAAGAGTTGGGCAATGGTCGCGGAGGAAGTTGAGGAAGAAGGGGACGAACTCTCGCCTTTGAGACGTGTACGGCTCTAGTTCGACGGTTGTTGAATCCAGCTGAGAATTGAGCAACCATTGTACCAGCTCGGCTGGCATGATTGTTCCGTCAAAGACAAGGTCTAGAATTATATCCATATTTCGAAGCTTCTGAACGGCCGTTATTGTCATTTTGCACTTGCTCTCGTGGCCGCCATTTCTTTCGTAGCTGACAGCACATGGTTACCGGGTGATACTTGGAAATTTCCCAAATCTAGTAAAACAAACTTGTAGAAAGACTTTAGCTTCTTTTATTATTAAATATAAAAAAAAATTTGAAAGGAAAACGCGCAAAAATATTTTAAAGATACACAGCTTTGAAAGCGGTTGTTCCTGAACTTGTTTCCAAACGGAGGTCCGAGACATTCCTGCTGGGTTGCCGCAGCACGAGTGCAGTCACTGGACGGCCATCTTGCATGTACCAGTCAACTTCTGGGAGCTTGCAGAGGCTGGGCGGCAGCGTGCTGAGGACACGTTTTCTGCTTGTTCGCCGTCACTCGCCAAAATTTTTTTTTTTTTTTTTTTTTCAACTTTAGAACTTTGTGTAAACGGTTGTAGTTGCTTTTTAGGACACGTGAAGTCTTTTGAAAGCGCAGTATTGCAGGAAAAGGGCACAGCTCGTCGAACGTAAGCCTCGCCGATCTAGCGGCGAGGCTTACGCTTCTTTGGCACACCGGAGTTCCGCATCCTTGTGCTTCGAACGCTTGGATACTAGGGGTGGGCGAATAGTGGTTCAAATCGAATAGCGCTGCGTCATTCATAGCCTTCTCAGTGCTAGGGGAAACGGAGACCTACCGGTTCTCTTTCCAGCGCCAATGCTGGGAATGACGCTGCGCTATTCGATTCGTACCACTATTCGCACAGTGACGACGTCATGGAAACGACTACGTCACTCTTCTAAGCGTCGCTTGCAGGGCTTGCAGCATATAGATCATACATACTAAAGGCCCGTTCACACTCTTGCGACCGAGTACGACTGAGAGAGAGGAGATCTCTTACAACTTCTTAAATGTTTCTAGAATGAGGGAACACACTGACATTGTGGCGCCATCTATGCGGTGACCCTAGAACTGCATTTCACAAAAGCGAAGGTTTTGCGGGATTTCCGAGGTCAAATGTGCGTAATACCCATAGAAAGGCTCGTTTATAACATTGACAAAAGCTTTTCGAGCCAAAAAAGAAAGGATATTGCGCGAGAAATAAAAAAAAATATGCCGGACCGCCGAGTTTACACGTTTACACTGCTTCCCAATAGATGGCGCCAGTTTGTTCTCTGGTTTAAGAAGTTTTAAAGGGACACTGACACCCCCAAAAATTTTTTTTTAATTTTTTGCCAGGCGCTTCATTATGGTATCGGAGGACTACCCAATTAATATTTTGCAACAGAGTAGCGTATTTTTTTAATAAAGTCAAAAGACGCAACTGCTCGAAACCGAAACCGAAACCCGACGGAGGTCGGAGAAGTGGAGAGAAGAGAGTGAGTGGCGGAAGTCACGTGGCCACACCCGACCGTGCGTTTTTTTGTTTTTTTTTTTTTTCTTTTTTCCGTAGCAGACGACACGACATGCGGCGTGCGGGAACTGCTCGCCGCGCGATTCTTTTGCAGTTATGTTTGTTCCGCTCGTTGTTCTGTACTCCAAGATGAGTTGTTTTGTACATTGAGGAGTCGGAGATGAGTAGCGAGTGCCCGTGGTGAATTTCCATGATCGGCTCCGAAAAGAGTACACCCAAGATGTTGCGTGAAGAGCTGGCTCACATGTCCTGCATCCGAAAAAAAGTGGCATTGTGCGACAGAGTTTCCGAAGGATCAACGGGATCGGGACCAATGGCTGGCTGCAATTCCTGTAGAACATATACGGGCATCTCGGAAAGCGGACGATGCCTGATTTATATGCTCCTTGCATTTTGTGGAAAGTGATTACATTGAGTTCGCAGGTGTCAAAACGGAAATTCCATACCATTTAATTCAGCGAAGTATCGTCCACAACATTTGTTTGTTATTTTTTTGTTTGTTTCTTCAGTGATGACTGTAAAAAAAAAAAAAAAAAAGGATATGTAAACATCAGAAAATGTTTGAAAAAAAAAAAATAAAGTTTTACGGGGGATTGAACCCAGTCCTACCGCGTCTGAACCGGACGTCTTTCCCACTGAGCTACTAGGGCATTACTTGTCTGGTGGATCTCTCTCCTTAGTAATAATTCAGCCGACAAACTGTAAGTTGGAAAGTTTGCTGTCGATTTTTCTCTAGCAAAAGCACTCCCGGGTCGAGGTCGGGAAGCACCACGCTTTGGGGGCATTCGCACCTAGTAAAGAAATCGTACGCGTGCATATTCAGCTCGAAGTAGACACGTCGTGCTTGACGTTTGCGCGAGCGATGTCTTCAGCCATGAGAAGGGAGCGACGGCTCGGCGACGTCTTCGTGCAAATCGGCTTGGTGGCCGGGCGTGTCGTACGGGATGAATACCAATTCTTTTGATCAGTCCCAAATTTTTCTTTTAACGGTAGACAGAATTCGCCGGTACCGCGAACGACAGTTCTGAAATAGAGGTCCCACGCCCGTCGTCCGCTGCCATCGCCGTCCCCGCGAGTCCCACGATACGCGAAACGACGAACGCACAGAATACTTCCGGTTCTCTGTGGAACTTTTTTTTTTTCAATCAACGTATTTACAGCTTTTTAGAAGCCACAAAAATGGGTTTCATATTTTTTTCTATTTTTAATATTGAGTGTGTGCCTTCGGTGACCCACGACTTTGATTAAATTTGGTGGTCGCATCGATACCTTAGAAAACGGCCCGTGACCGCGAAAAAGAGAGTGAGCGAGGCTCGAACCGGCCAGTTCTTGATCGGCGGTTTTCGGGTGGAAAGAAACCGAATTTCGAGCCGCAAATTCTGTTTTGGGTAGTTGAGCTCTCATATGTCACGTACAACTAAAAACCTCGGCGAGCATAAATACCCTGTCAGTGTCCCTTTAAGGAACCCAGGTTTAAGAGGTCGCAAGCAGTCGCAAGAGTGTGAACGGCGCTTAACTCTAGAGGAAAAAATCCGCCATTTTCCCATACATTCTGGCTGCCGCAAGCGGCGGATCATGCAGGCAGACCCTCGAAGTGCCAAACACGGTTACATCATCAGAGCAGTTTCGTGAACTTCAACAATCCACGAACTTACCGGTGGAAAGATATTCGCGTTCCTTTCGAAGCTTTCTTTTTGCATAGCGCGCAGATGTACGGCCTCGCGTTAACGCTAAACTAAACCACATACCCAGCTTCGCCGGTGGGGCGCGGTTGAGGAATACGAAACTGCGCAACTACCAGATTTCCGAGATTTCGACAGAAGGGAAGTTAATGCAGCGTAATGACTTTAGTGCTCTTTATAAGCGTTAGAATAGCTCAGAATTTAGTTTACAACGTTAAATTATCACTGTTTATATCGCTGAGAGTTTTCACTCTTCGCGTTTACCATGGCAACGTTGCTTTCTTTCTCTCGTGTTCTGTCGCTCTCTTGTGCGATCGTTCACTCGGGACCCCGGGTGTCGGCGCACGGGATTTGCCACTCCTCCTTACCCCCCTGGCTTGCAGCGATCTTTTAGCGCGCAATCTTGAAATATAGAGTAAAAACGCTAGAACTGGCCGATGAATACCTAAGAAAAACTATTAGCTTTTCGCAAAATCTTTAAACTGGTCAGACCTCTGATAGTCATTGGCGTCAAAACTGCAATTGCAACGTGAGCCATCAAACCATTAAAAAGTTAATGAACATGCAATTTTGTTAAGAAGTAGACCTACCATGACGGTCATACTTATTCTATCTAATGTCTACCGAGCTTTTAGATGGCGAAGACGGCACCCGCTCTCACCTCGTATAAAACACTTCCTCTAAAAATACTAGTGATTTCAGAATTCGAGACATGTTCCGCTGGCCTCCAGTGTATTCCGGACCTCAAAGCACATATGCGAAACCTCAAGGGTGTGAGGCGTCCACTGCAAAGGGTGGAATGCTTTCTCCAGCATTAGCTGCTTTTGGTAGCGCTACATATTCTGTCGAAATACATTTAAGCCCAATGGGGAAGCGGCCTCACCGTTATCATTTCGTGTCGGTAAAAAACTGTCCTAACAAAGTTTTTTTTTTTTCTTCTTTTTTTATGTCTGGACGTATGAGAGACGCGGCCGACGCTTACCGCTCATTCACACTAGAAGCGGATCCGCGTTTGCGAAGCGGTTTCGAACATGGTTGTATAGAGATTCAGTACAATTGCAGGCGCACTCGAAGCGAACGCGGATCCGCTTCCAGTGTGAATGAGCGGTTAGTCATTCCCAAACTCGTGACGCAGACGATGCAGACCTGCGTTCGTTGGCAGTTACCTGGGCAGAAGTAGAGTGAAATTTAAGACGCAAGTATCATTACGCAACGTAAAGACGATACGGCTGCATGGAAGTCAGAATAACGTCCACTTCGACTAATTCAAACTTTTTTTTCAGGAGAGTGCTGAAGACCTTGCGGCCGCTCCGTTGACGCCTCGTTGGCGAACGCCAGCGCGCGTTGCCTACGAGGCGAGCGCCTGGAGGCCACGCCGGAGAGACTCCTTTTTTAAAAAAACTATTTTCTCAGCAACAGCAAAAAGCCCTTTTCAAAGGTTTTCATATCTTGAAGAGATGAGGTGGATTGAACTGCCGGCTATTTCGAAAAAGGGCGCCGCTGCCCACATTGCCTTTTCTGGCTCTCAATATGGCCGTTTCTACATAAACTGAAGGTTTTGTGATTTAATTAAAACGCAACAAAACAAGGCTTCGAAAATCTAACACAAGCAATTCAATGATTAGTTTTAAGAGAACAAAGAAAATAAGTATTGTAGGTAACGCCGAACTCCAAGTTGACTAAACAAATAATGAAATCTCATAAAATCGCTTCTTTTGGAGCTCCTATTTGGACTCAAAAATGATGTCTTTTAATATTTGTACTTTAGTGTAAGAGAGGGGCTTCTTATTAAGTAATTAGGCGCCCGCATGAAGTTTCGTGCTGCGCAACCATTTTTTCACAACGTTTTTTTCTTAGCTACATTGGTTTTACGCAAATTTCAGAAATTTAAAGCATATTTTTACGAAAAACTATTTTTCATGGAGTTTAGAGGCTTCTTTATCCAAATTAATTTTTTCTTGCATATCTCAAGCATTAAAAATCGCCGCGTCTCCT